TCCCTTGGTTCTGTTACCATTTGAAAAGTACGTGCGGATTCTGATGAAATTTTGTAAAAAGCTACGATTCTGTCAATGACAAAAAAGCTTTTAGAGAACCCAATCTTTTTTTTACGTTTCAGACGCTCCTAATGATTTCCAGAAAAATGTTTGTAGTGAAGAACAGCCGATCTCAAAAAAGAAAAATCATGTTCATTTATTGGTTTGACGGTGTTCCTGTCCGTCTGTCCGATATCCCTTGGCTCTGTTACCATTTGAAAAGTACGTGCGGATTCTGATGAAATTTTGCAAAAAGCTACAATTATGTCAATGACAAAAAAGCTTTTAGAGAACCCAATCTTTTTTTTACGTTTCAGACGCTCCTAATGATTTTCAGAAAAATGTTTGTAGGGATTAGACATACGAGGTCTGTAGATTAAGTGTTGAGACTGGGAACGTAGCGTTCGATCTGGCAGCACGGGAACAGGCGATTCGCAGTCAGTACAAGTTTAAACTCGCTCGATTCATTTGGATTTTTTTTGTGAAACAGTTGCTTCTATGTGTTCTAAAAACGAGAGACATCAATTTTAAGCAACGGTGTGCTATCAGGTTTGCTTCAGACAGTGCAACGGAAACGCTAAACGGGACTACAGAGATAGTGTTTTCTCAAGAGCTTAGGTTTTTAGGTGGTTTAACGCAATTTCAGAAGAGAGAGAGTCGATCGAAGATGAAACAGGAAGGCCTTCAAGGACCGATGAAGATATCGACAGAATCCGTGATCTTGTGCGTTCATATCGTCGCTTGACAGTCAGAATCATCGGTGAAGAGTTAAATTTGTCTCACACAACCGTTCTTCAGATCAAGGACAACTAGCGTTGGATCACGATAATGCTCCTTGTCACACAGCAATGCCAATAAACAGGTTTTTAGCCAGCAAAATATTCCTGTTGCTCCTCAGCCTCGTTATTCGCCTAACTTGAGTCCTTGTGACTTTTTCTCCTCTCAAAGTTGAAGAATCAGCTCGATGGAACTTATTTTGGGACAATCGAAAACATTCAAAAGACTGTAACCGACCAGCTGGAAACTATTCCAGTATTGGAGTCCCAGCACTATTATGAGGAGTGGAAGAACCGTCTCGACACTGTGAAGCTCCAGAAGGAAGTTATTTTGAGGGTTAAAGTGTAAAATTGTAATTATATTAGAATAAAGAAATAAAAGAAAAACAGTCTCATAACTTACTTTACAGAATTCGTGTCTCACACATCATAGATTTCCTAATGATTTTCAGAAAAATGTTTGTAGGGATTAGACATACGAGGTCTGTAGATTAAGTGTTGAGACTGGCAACGTAGCGTTCGATCTGGCAGCACGGTAACATGCGATTGGCAGTCAGTACAAGTTTGAACTCGCTCGATTCATTTGGTTGTCCGTAGCGATTTTTTTTGTGTTCTAAAAATGAGAGACATCAATTTTAGGCAACGGTGTGCTATCAGGTTTGCTTCAGACAGTGCAACGCGCTAAACGGCACTACAGAGATAGTGTTTTCTCAAGAGCTTAGGTTTTTAGGTGGTTTAACGCATTTTCAGAAAAGAGAGAGTCGATCGAAGATGAAACAGGAAGGCCTTCAAGGACCGATGAAGATATCGACAGAATCCCTGATCTTGTGCGTTCATATCGTCAGAATCATCGGTGAAGAGTTAAATTTGTCTCACACAACCGTTCTTCAGATCAAGGACAACTAGTGTTGGATCACGATAATGCTCCTTGTCACACAGCAATGCCAATAAACGGGTTTTTAGCCAGTAAATCATTCCTGTTGCTCCTCAGCCTCCTTATTCGCCTAACTTGAGTCCTTGTGACTTTTTTCTCCTCTCGAAGTAGAAAAATCAGCGCGAGGGAACTCATTTTGGGACAATCGAAAACATTCAAAAGACTGTAACCGACCAGCTGGAAACTATTCCAGTATTGGAGTCTCAGCACTGTTATGAGGAGTGGAAGAACCGACTCGACACTGTGAAGCTTCAGAAGGAAGTTATTTTGAGGGTTAAAGTGTAAAATTGTAGTTATATTAGAATAATGAAATAAAAAAAATAGTCTCATAACTTAATTTACAGAATTCGTGCCTCACACATCATAGATTTCACCGTACATTCACCCTTAAATATTTTAAGCACAAGCGGTCTCTGTATATAGCAGCGTCGGCGTGATCGATATCTAACCGATGAGCTTGCGAGTGACGAGTTAAGCCATAGCAACATTGCGAGATGGTCGGTACTCTTGAAAAGGCAGGGGAGAAATCTAGATCTCAATGTTGTCAAATAGGTGAAGGGACTATGAAGAAACTGTAAGGGCTTGTTTGACTGACTTGATTAGATTATTTTTTGTTATACATAATTTTTTTCTCAAAAGAGCTAACTTTTGCCGAACGTAATATTGATGAACTGAAAACAACGTTGTGTGAGAACCTCTTAGTACTGCATACTTGATGCCATATCCACTTGATGATACTAATGAGTAATAAAAATTGGATGACGCAGATCGACATATCAGAAGACGAAATTCGGTGGAATAGCTTATTTCCCACGTTTAGTGAAAAATGACCTTAGAAAATTTTGATGCTGAGGACAGACTAGCTCAGAGTGGACAACAGACATACCAGGACCAGATATACTGCTAACATGTTTACTCTGAATGATTCAAAAACGCAGACACCTGCTGTCAGCTTACTAAGCGTGACATTGATACACTGCAAGCAGCAAAATTCCAAGCCATTTATGATGATAGCCATATGACGTGGGAGGCACATAATATGGAGCACCTTCTATAATCTCTTTCGAGATGTATCTTTGTTATCCGCAACGGTGATTATCAATCAAAAACTTGTTTACACTTTGGATGAATTTCTAAATAGTGACTTTTTAGATCTAATACTTTTATCATCATACGCTGTATTTTACCCAATTCGTCTGCTCTTTATTTTATTGACCTTAGGGCCGTAGCGTCCGTCGTTTCTACAATTGTAGGACGCCTTTATGGCCTCTTTGATCTTCATAGTTTTCTACTTTTCCATGTATGCGGTCTATTTTGTGGTTATGTTACAAATCTCTCAGCCTTTTTGAAGGAGAGGAATAACTATGAAAATCAAGGAGGCCATAAAGGCGTGCTACAGTTGTAGGAACATCTGACGATACGGCCCTTATGTAACATTTTTCCCTATGTGATGTCATAACATCAATTTAATTCAACTGTTCGTGTTATACTAGTGGTTTTGTTATTTTCATTAGGTGTGTTTAGGTATGATTTATTTTTGTTTTAATTATCTGTGCTTGCGTATTGCACACTTATTTATTATCTATTTACGTGTTTTCATTATTGTTTTTTTGTTTATATACTTACACTTGTACCTTTCACGATTTTTAGTCATTCTTTCCCTCTTTGATGTGTGAAAACCATGCTGTATACTATCACCAATAGATTATTATTGTTATTATTATTGCTATTATTATTTTTTTTTTTTTTTTTTTTTTTTTTTTTTTTCATGCTCATAGTCCTCACGTATGGTGGTGTACTATCTTTGAGGGGGAGTTCACCCCAACCAAGGATAATTTTTACAGAGACAGTGCCTTTCTCACAATATGACACGTTTGTAAGATAACGGCTTTTTGGAATAGTATGTGAAGGCCGTTTGGAAGGTCCAAGGTCTTTAAGCTTGAGGAGACTTGTTTGGTAACAGCCCCTTCCACGGAGATAACAATGGGTACAATCTGCACTTCCCTTAGCTTCCAAATCCTCTTCATTTCAATAGCCAGGTTCTGGTATTTAACAGATTTTTCACGCTCTACCTTGAGGATGTTGTGTGTAAGCGGAATTCCAACCTCAATTATCTGTGCATATTGGTTGCTTTTGTCTATCAGGACAATATCGGGACGGTTAAAGTCTACAGTTTTGTCGGTTAGAAATGGCCGATCCCAATAGAGTATTACATCTTTTGATTCCAGAACTGGCTCAGGCGTGTACTTGTAATATGGCGGAGGAGATTGTACCAAGTTAAGTTTACGAGCTAGCTGTGAATGGATTATTTTTGCAACCTGGTTGTGTCTTCCCAAATAATCGCCAGCTGCCAACGCAGGGCAAGCTCCAGTAATATGTTCGATGGTTTCGCCCGCCTGGTTGCACTTCCTACATTCATCTGGGACGTTGGATTTGAGAATATGTTTTTCATAGTTTTTTGTTTTTATTACTTTGTCCTGGATGGCAGTTATGAACCCTTCCGTTGTTGGATGGAGATATCCCTTTCACGCTCCTTATTATTATTATTATTATTATTATTATTATTATTATTATTATTATTATAATATTCTAGAACGAGGGAATAGAGCTACTGGAACAAAGTGGGCGTTTATCTCGTCTCTGAGGAATGATACTAAATTCTGCCAGGTGTTGATATTTTTCCAAAAAATTTGTGAATACATCCATTTCCAACAAGATGATATGCTCCTGGACTTTTCAGATCATTCTTCTCACAAAATTAACCTCGTTTTTTGAGATGAGGAGGATGGACGTCGGCGAGACTTACGCACTTTTTCTTCCGTTCTATAAGTGTTACGGGAATAACATAGTAGTTTAACAACTTAATGCTTCCGAAGTGCAGTACCTTACAACTTATCTAATGAAAAACACTCAAGGTTTAAACAAGGAAAAAAAGAGATGATCATCCTCGAAATTTGTTCAAGTCAGTTAAGCGTGTACAAAAATTCTTAATGTATGTTGATGGTCTAACAATTGTGTGGAATTTAAATTACATTTCAAATTCGTAAAGCTTCTTTAGTATGAAATGATCTTGGGTTAATATGTAGTGTGTGTATGGTAAGCCATATCAACTAAACAAAACAAGGTGAACAACACAACAAAGGCTGTCATAAACACTGAACCCTGGGTAACGAATCACCGCCAAAAACATACATATGTTAATTTTTTGCTTATTCGCGCGGGCGTTAATTTGAAATTCCTCTTTTTTTCAGGTGTCCGAAGTGAAGATGTATGACCGCCATAACCCAGGACTCTGCTACAGGAGAAATGGTGGTCAGAAGATCATCTATCAACTGCAAAATACACCATCTATGGATTATAAGGTAACAGGATATTGAACTAACTTATTGTTTTTTGTTTTTGCATAGTACACATAGTTTCTATCGGGATATCAATGAAGATTTTCAGTCTCCCACGTTGTCCAAGGAGTTCAAGCAGAGCAGACCACAAGTAAGGTTTCTCAAAACATCGAGAAACCATATCGACATTTGAAATAAATTGAATATACATTTTGAATATTTGGCGATAGACTAGCATCACATACGATTCTTGAATATACTCCTTTTTCTTCAACTGCAAGCGGTTTTTCAAAAATCTTTAACGGCATAACACAGATAATAACGCATTAATGTTTTCTTGTGTATCACTCAAAAATGTTTTCACCTTTGCAGCAAATTCACGAACTAGTTTTCACCGATGGCGAAGTAGACATCGAGAAGATAATATGCATTCATCTAATTTCTGCACACAGAAGTGAAACCCTAACACCACCAAAGAAAAGGAAAATCATATGCAAAGAAAACTCGCCACAAGAACGACTACTAGATAGGTCAAAAAAAGGGTTCAGCAACTATCAGAAGTTGAACTCCGTGCTACCACTATATACTATCGGTTAGAGATTTCAATTTTTCATTTCAGATACATAGTCTAGCCTAGAGCGTCATTGTGCAAGGTAACGTAAGTGACGAAAAGAATCAAAAATCCAAAATTGAATCTACATTATCCAGCTGCAAAGGTATTTCTGTTGGTGTACCGCAAGGTAGTGAACTGGATCTACTACTATTTATTTCATTCATAAATAAGATTTGTGATATTTTGGATTATTGTAAAATTCAAATATTTGCAGATGATACGTTAATATACATTATCAGATGAAGATAGACACTGCTTTAAAGATGCTAAATTATGACTTGTCAAAGATCGTAAATTGGTTAAATATAAAGACACTAAGACTCATTCCCCACTGTGGCCACCAGATGCCGCCGATTCTGGTTGGCTGTCTGCGGTCGGACGGATGAAAGTGGTATTTCTAGTTTGTTCAATGCCGAGTAGACCGTATCTACTATAGGACCAGAATCGACGGCATCTAGCGGCTACGGTTGTGACCCGCCTGACTGGGATACAATTTCAACAATCAGAGTGATCTTCACTCTCGCAATGGTTGATGCAGGTAATAGATGGCACTATCTTCTTTCGACAATTTCTCTTAGGACGATTCGTTAAATAAGTGTCAACAAAATTTCGGTTATATTATCGGGTAACCATTCTGATTGAATGTTTTGATCAACAGATCAAGAAATTAACCGTGATAAGGCGGGAATGCACACGCATGTATATTTTTTCCAACGAAAAGCAAAAATGAAGAAAATGAACGCCCATCTATTTTAAGGCAACAATATTATTGTTTTATGCTTTTTGGTTTCTCGACAGTAAAAATTAGGCACATGTAGGCACATATTTCATTGGATAAAAGTGACAATTTGATAAACTGGAGCAAAAACTCAATTGATCAAAGATTAACTTTTGTTGCGTTCCGATTACACGGAGACTTGGTTCTGCAAATATTTAGCCTGAAACTAACCAAAAATGGGCGAGATTTATAAGAAAGGAGTTTTTTTCCGAAAAATGATAACTTGTATTTCGATACGTCATTTAGACTTCCTCTAGAGGTGTCCAGTCTGTCCTTGGCATTTCTTCCACTTTCGAAGTAGGTGCTGTTGTTCGTGCAGGTCAAGGAGGAAAAGTTATAAAATAAAGAAAAACATGCTTCCAGCATGAAAAGAGATATTGCGATTCTCCTAAAACGTGCATTAATATGAAGAAAAGGTAAAAAGTCAGTCAAGTAGATTGACTCAACAGTTTTCATATACTCTATATATGTATACTAATCCCCCTAAGATAAAGATTCAATAGATACCATAAGCGCATTCTAAATTTGCTAGAGCTATGTGGACTTGCGCATCAATATAAAAATCTTACTGAATTTTCTTCATGCACAAAAAACTTATTGAATATGCGCTAAATGATTCAGAAGCCCACAAACCCAAATACATATTTCAGAACTGTTATTCTCCATCCATACCTCCATAACTGTTTGCTTCCTTGCTACGCCAAAAAATGGTTAGACGGCCTAAAAATAAAAAAATTGTTTGAGGACAATCTCGGAAACTGTTATTTTGCTCTTAGCCCCGTCCCGCTGTTGTATTTTCTTAGGAAAACATCTCTCATTTCTTATAAAATTACCACAGAAATTTTACAAAACATGTATTTTATGTCATTCACACCATCAGCAAGTGGTCTTTGATGATGTTAAATTAGTTAGACTTGATGGAAATATATTATTTTTTACTTTATAAATGAATATCATTACAAGATATTTGATAAAATTTTTTACATTGAGCCATTTTAATTTGCTAAGCATTTGCCTAATTGGAGCATATTTATCTTTATTTAGTATTATTCTCATGCACTTATTTTGTAAAATTTGCAGTCTTTCAAAAATGGAACTATTTGCTAAATATAGAATAGTCGAACAGTACAAGAAATTTGGAAGAATGATGGTATTATAGATAATTTTTCTGCTATATGAACTGAGACATCCAGAAACTCTCGATAAATATCCCACTTTACTACTAATCTTATTTATAACTTTTTCATAATGAATATCAAAAATTAATCGAGAGTCAACAAAAACCCCCAGATATTTAAAATTTTCTACGAATTCAATATCTTCACCATCAATATTTAGTTGAACATTTGTACATTGTTTTTTTCCGATTAACAAGGCTTTCGTTTTACTTGTATTTAATTTTAGTCTGTTAGATGCTAACCATTTTGAGACAAGTTTCAAGTCTTCATTTATATAAGAGATACCAGTCTGAATATTTTTAGTACTTATATAAATCATAGTGTCATCGGCGAAAATCTGAATTTTGCATTTTTTGACTATGGCAGGTAAATCATTTATGTATAAAATAAAAAGAAGTGGTCCCAGGATACTGCCCTGTGGAACACCCAACGTATTTTCAATTTTTGATGAAATAGTGTCATTAACTCTTGTAACTTGCATCCTTTTAGACAAATAATTTCTAAACCAATCTAAAACACTTCCTGTTATACCATATGTCTTCAATTTACCTAACAAAATATCTCTATCAATCGTTTCAAATGCCCTCTTCAAATCCAAAAATACTGCTATGACAACTTCTTCTGAGTCTATGGCTCTTCTCCAATTCTCAGTTACCAACTGGAAAGCTGTTTCTGTAGAATATTTTTTTCGAAAGCCTGCTTGCGCCTCCACTAAAATTTTGTTTTCTTCTATAAACTGCATTAATTGGTCATGCACTATGGACTCTAATAATTTTTCAATGTCTGGTAACACATTTACTGCTCTCATATCGCTGCATCTTTTAGAATTTTTTATTTTGGGAACTGGTGTTATTGTAGAGCATTTCAAATTTTCAGGAAAAGAACTGCTTCTCAGTGAACATTTGATCCAATTTAATACAGGATATCCCAAAATTTCGAAACAGTTTTTCAGCACGTTTTTAGTAGTGATTTCGGCACAGTTGTTATTTGATTTTAAACTGTTTACTTTTTTTCTTAGATAATTCAAAAAATAATGAATTTTGAAAGTGTATACAACATTTACCCCTGGAAACTGATTTTCATATAGTCAGGTGCAGCATTGGCAGTACCCACAATATCAACAATACTTTCCACAAAATATTCATTTAGTTTGTTTGCAATCACCAAAGAATTTGTTTCGGTACCGTCTTTTTAAAGTCTTCCACATCTTTACACTGTCGCACTTATTATTATCGATTTGTTTATCGTAGAATTTCATTTTGTCTTCTCTAATTACATATACACATTTATTCCTAAGAGTTTTATATACCTCCCAATCATCATTTGATTTTGTGAATATACATTTATTGTATTGTTTGTCTCTCAAATTTTGAGCTGCCTTAATATTCTTGTTATACCAGGGTGTATTTTTTGTCGAGCAAATCACTTTTTTATCAGTTGCAAGATCTAAACAAGTTTTTATATTTCCTATTATGTTGTCATATATTTTTTCCATATTCTCACCAAAATTCCAATAGCAGCCAACAAGTTCTCGTTCAAGTTTTTCGTACTTAATAGTATTTACGATTTTCTTAATTTTTGTATCAGAAAAAGCAGCAAAACAATTTTAGCTCACGAGCGTCGAATGCTATACTATACTAGCTTTGTTACCATGCAGTTTTAATCGATCAAACCATCTCTCCAACTCATCAGCACAGCTGGTCTAGCTCTAAATAGCTGCATGTAAAGTCCTGTCATCTGCGAAACCGTGGATCGGGCTTATCGCATGGAAAACAATCGTTTGAAGTAAAGTTGAATATAAAACAGATTTCATGCACTGATATTTTGGAGCAAAGGCGAAAACCCGTCAACTACCACCCGAGAGGACGTCTACATATATAGTAATACTTTGCCGTAAAAAATATTATGCACTGCGATAATCGTAGAAGGCACAATGCGAAACTTATAAAATTGTGAGATCCCACAATGATAACTCGGTTTCTAAGGGATCAGACCTCGATGGATGGTCGAGTTCTACCAAAGAGACGTTCATTTCGGCTGTTCGGGGACCAGATCAACGAGAACTTGATCTGGCACTAACACATCTCGTCAATAGCGGTAGCTGCTAGGAAACGGCTAGGCTATTTGTTTAGGGCTACGAAGTACTTTTCTCCGTATGACCTTCTCACTCTATACAAGGCCCAGATAAGGCCTAGCCTCGAGTATTGCTCACACGTTTGTGTTGCTGCCACCCCGACTACATTATCCATGTTCGCTGCTCCTCAGGGGAGGCCCGACTGATCCATGAGTCTTCTCTAACAGACAGTCTAGGGTCCCTTTCACACCGACGGGCTGCCGGCGATCTAGCTCTCTTGTACGGCTATGTCAAGGGGCTTTGCTACTCAGAGCTCTCGTCGATGATGCCGCCACGCGATATACCTGCAAGACGGATCCGCCTGACTTCGGCCTCCCATCCAAATCGTGTCGAGCTTCGTACAACCAGAACTGGCACATACGACCGCTCCTTTGTCCTCAGGGTATCGAGATTATGGAACAACCTACCTGAGGGGACTTTTTCCAGTTCTACTGACCTTAGGCAGTGAAAAATCGGGTTATCAGAGTTTCTATAAGCTCAGCATAGCAGCTGAGGTGCCCTGGTATTTCGGTTTCTAACTTAGCAGCTGCTTCTGTATAAAAAAGTAGCTATGCTGGTTGCATTTGAACTATTCATAACAGGAATGCAATACACTGAGCTATTGTGCAATCCAATTTTTTACGAGTCTCGTTACAAGACGTTTAATTGGAAAGGCGTCCAAGATTAATCAGACATGGCAGTGAAGATGTGACAACAAAGGACACTCATCTAGAAAACCCACGCTGGAAAATTTCCATATGCACTTCCAGTTGACGCGATATCATTCAGTGTCGGTCGTTAAACCCGCATTTCTTTTGTCATGTGAATAAACAAATGAGAATGATGCGTTTTTGTTACGTAAGAGACAGAATGATCATAGTATATTTGGACATGAGCATTTTAGGAGAAGCTTAACATATTCCTATAAAAATTATTATTCCTATGTGCCTATACAGTTTCTAAAGAATACCGCGGATGGGGAATAGATCTTCCTGAAGAGCTTTAAATTATGTACGTACCGTCACGTTTCAAGCTGGCTAGACGAACTAGCAATGCTTCTCCTATGCATTCTGACTGACTAGAAAAATAGGTTTTATGATGGATATTAGATATTTATTTTTCTCAGATTTTTAAATTATTCAGATGATATGTGTGAATCTTTAGTAATTAAGTATTCTTTTCGATTCAAGAGCCCTTAAAACTAGGCACCGTTGGTAACTATACCGATCCTCCGGTCATAAATGATGGAAGACTTGCTGCCAGATTGTTAGTGAACGACAAGATCAGGGAGCTTTTGAGGTTCGTGATCAACGGCTTGGAGAAGTCCAACATAGATAAACTTAAGCACATGTGCAGTGTTGCTCACGACGAGGAGTATGTTAAGGATGTGCTGCAAAATAAAAGGAATATGAAGTTCATTGAAGCTCTGGCGGAGTTGCCCATAGTAAAAAGGTATCTATTCACTTTTCTCTGTCGTATCAAGTTCGACCGGATTACAAAAAGCCCTCCGTGAAATTTTAATACGTCGCAATTCAATTGTTTTTAAGGGTTTTTCCTCCATAGCGAGTGGGAATTTCATAACTTTAGGTAGCTTTTTTTGTTGAGAATTCAAACCATTTTGCAATAAGAGCGGGTCGATATTGAATGGGAACAAAACAAAGAGAACAGAAAAATTAATTAGTGAAAATGCTACCTTGAAAGCTGAGGTGTCAAACCTTCAAACAAAAATCAATTGTCCTGAACAGGTTTCTAGACAAAAAACTTAGAAATTCAAGGCATACCAGAAAAACAAAATGAAAATCTTACAGGAGTGATCAAAAAAATAGGAGATTACATTGGCTATAAACTCGATGCCGACAAAATAGAATATATCCATCGAGTTCAAATAAATAAAAACTCTAAATTAAAAACCAAGAACATAATTGCTCGTTTTGTCTCCCGTGCGGAAAGAGATAATATCTTGGCTGCTGCAAAAGCAAAACGAATGCAAAGGAGTAATGGATCGCCAAAAATGTGTATTCAGGGAGTGTCTGATGAATTCTATGTCAATGCAAAATAAGTTGATCTATAAAGAAGCAACAAGGTTAGCTAAACTGAAACAATACAAATATGTCAGGACGAAAAATGGCGATATCTTTGCAAGAAAGGAAGATACCTGAGATGTCATTATTGTGAAAGACACTGAGGGTTTAAAAAATATCAAATAAGCCGTCAACAAGTAAAGTAAGTAGAAAATATCTATCTACGTTAAGATGGATAACAAATGTCAGGACCTAATCATCTACTACCAAAATACAAGAGGACTACGATCTAAAACAACGGAGTTCTTTAATAATGTTCGTGCAAGTGATTATGACATAACATGCCTGACAGAGACGTGGCTCAAAGATGGTGTATGCAGCAGCGAATTATTTGGAGCTGATTACACAGTATTTAGAAGAGATCGTGAAAAAAGTGATGGTGGTGGTGTGTTAATCGCGGTAAAAAATGTATTCAACTCAAAACGCTGTTATGAATTCGAATCTGATGCTGGGTAGCAATCGAACATATCAACGGTATCAAATTATTTATAAGCTGTATATATTTACCATCTAATGATAGCATTTCATATGCCTCACTTGTAAGCAAATTATACCAGAATGAAGGTTTTTTCGACAAAATAAGGTGTTGTTGGTTGGTGACTTTAATCTTCCAAGTGTCAATTGGCAACCAGTACTTAATGAACATTTTATGGAGCTACTTAATGTTGAAGAGAAAACGAGTGCCTTACTTGACATATTGTCGTATCTACAGTTAATGCAATTTAATAAAATTTACAATTCAAATAACCGTTTATTAGACTTGATACTTAGTAACGAATGTTCAATATTTCGAATTCAGTTGACATATTGGCTCCTGAGGATAATCACCATTCTATTTTAAGCATGTTTTACTTAAGCCATTAATGCACCAGAGCCAATGCCTTTACAACTTTAATAAAGCTGACTATACTTCCATAAATAATACTCCCTTAGACATAGTAGGAAAAATCAGTAGGCCCTGACGGCATACCTTCTGTATTTATAAAATACTGTTCCACTAGCTTATGTTTACCACTTCACCTAATTTTCAAATTATCATTAACTCAAAAAGTCTTTCCAACGAGATGGAAGGAAGGTAAAATATTGCCTATTCATAAAGGAGGCGATAGACATCTTGTGGAAAATTATCTCTAAAAAATGTATTTTCTCAAAAATTTTTGAAAAGCTGATGATGCTATCTTAAACATTACAAAAAATATCATTACGAAACACCAGCATGGATTTTTCCCTAAAAGATCTGTAGAGACGAATTTGATGAGTTTTATAGAACATAAATCTCACGCAATAGATGCGGAACTACAGGTGGATGTTATTTATACCGAATTCAGTAAGGCTTTCGACAAGATTGATCATTCTATCTTGATGGAGAGACTTGCTGAGGTGGGTGTAGATGCTCCATTATGGCAGTGGCTCGCATCGTATATAAGTAATCGTAAACAAGTGCTGACTATCAATGGGTATGGTTCGGAGACATTCTTAGTAACTTCAGGCGTACCACAAGGTAGTCACTTAGGACCATTGTTATTCAATATATACATGAACAACCTTACTTCTGTTTATCATTTCAGTAAATATTTGTTATATGCTGATGATCTAAAGATATATACTATTCTTCGAAATGTAAATGACGGTGTAAAACTTCAAAGCGATTTGGAATCTCTACAAAAGTATTGCACTGAAAACAGTATCTTCCTGAATTTAACAAAATGTCATTGCATGAGGCTTACTAGAAACATAGCGAACACTATAGATTTCAGATATAAGATAGGGACGGCAGAACTGGAAAAGCTTCATGTAGTAAAAGACCTAGGGGTATACATAGATGAGAAACTCTCATTCATCACTCACGTAGAGCACATCGTAAATGATGCAAATGGAACACTAGGCTTCATAAACAGGACATGCAGAGAATTTACGAACCCAAAAACGATTCTTTCATTGTACTACGCTTATATACACAACAAATTGATGTTTGCGTTAGTAATATGGAATCCGTCTTACAATGTACATATAGCCAGGATAGAAAGAATTCAACACAAATTAGTGAGTGTTTAGAATACTGTTCCGTAGAACTAATCTTGGGCTTAATTCCCCTTTGGTCAGTGCTCAAAAAAATCATAATAATTTCTGTAATATAGATTTATTTAACATTAGCTTGACCTACCTGAAAAAGGCTTTAAAGTATGAGTATTACAGCTCTATGCAAGACTAATATAGAAATGTTTTATTTTGTTTACATAACTCAAGTTATCACCGCCAATATCATTTCTGGTATGATTTCAACTTAATTTTGATTTCAGTTTTAATTAAACGTAAGTAAATGTTAAATTATGTAAACTCCTTTTATTAAAAAGGTTAAATTAATAGTTTATTGCTTATAATTAGAACTACTCACTCAGTTTATGTTGTTACAACAATATCGGAAAAAAAATATTAATATTAAAGTATTCAATAATGTAATATATGTATATGTATACGATATTTTATGTAAGTTTAGTTTTAGTTCACTGAGGGTGTGTGTTGGGTTTACTTGTTAACACCCCAAACTGTATATAAATAAAGAGAGAGGTATTAAATTCATTATTTTTTCTATTTAGAATATATTTTTAAATAAAATGGCTGGGTGCTGTCTTGGAACATATGTATAATAGAATGGTTGGACGTTTGCTACCCCATTATGATGCTCCTTAGGTTGCGGTTATTTAGAAGTAAGAAGCCTCCGTATTTGAAGTAGCTGCGCAAAATTATCGTTGCATGAGCAACAAGTGCTGAAACCTGCATTTTGCTTTGGTTTTCGGCCATAACTTATTTCCGTAGGTCTCATAACTACCTAAGTATCTTATTTGAAGAATTTTCTCGTTCCTGTCAACACTTTCGATTGAATCCCAGAAAACACATTTTCCCATTCTTTGTTGTCGAATAAAAAGTTTTCTCAGAAAAATTGGTGCAGCCATTTTATACGTCCATGTTTTAAATACCCCCTTGAACAACGTGCATCAATAAAACCAGACTTATAATTATTTCGCAAACCAGGGGTATTTTCGTCTAATATGATTAGACTATTATTTGAAAGCAAGATGTCTTTATTACCATATTATCACTGAGTGCGGTGACATAGTGGTTGATGCTATGGGTCTACTACTCATTCGCCGTGAGCTGCGCGAGTTCGAATCCCGTAGCAAAAAAACTGTTATTTCTTCTGGCGTGACGTAGATGGTAGACGGTATCAGACTGTCGAGCGTGGATGTACCACCCGGCGGAGCTCCAAGACACGGCCACAGTGTGTGCATGTCACTGCACACGTGTTCTTCCGTGCCCGTGTCACGTCCGGTCCTTTCCCTGTATCCTCCTATAGCCCCACGGGGATTTAGGCCGTAGGTGTGCGTGGTCACTCAAGCGTAAAAAAGGCCCATGTACGGAAACTGATATAGAATATAGAGAATATGAACTGCATATTTGGTAAAAGACCTGGGTTAGTTGACTTTGCGGGCATAAGTGAGTTAAGGTTTAATGACAAAGACAGCGAATTCCAGAAAACTCCACAGTCAAGCATAACGAGGTCAAGGCGCACGATTTTGATGGTCAATTCACGTCACCATTGCGCCTTCAATTGGTTCATGCAAAAATTTGATTATCACTAATCTGTCGCACTACAGTTGATCATGATCGCCTCACTAACATTGTTGGTGAGAAAGTGGGAAGCAGTGACGCAATAAATATCAAACAGCTTCTTGCTCCACCGATGTTCGCAAAGTTAGTATAGCTCAAACAATTGTGCTGATATATGCGGAAAGTTTGCAAGCGCGGATCCAGCCGGGAAGTCATGACCCGGTCATGAAGGGGTGAATCTAGATTGGCTACTAATATTTATGACTTTGAAACCTCTTTGATAAAATTAATAGAATACAGACTGTTTGCCAATGTATACGAATGGTTGAAAAACCATTAGATTTGGTGACACCTGGCAACCCTGATCATTTTGTAATCGCATCGATAATGACGTGGAAATAAGAGGGATGCATAAGACTTGCCTATGCGTTCAGCTTGATATACATAAAATAGTAATAATTATAGTGATTCTGCGTTTTTGTCTTGGTAAGCACTGCATGTCCGTTAGTGCATTATTGGATGTTGAGCCTCATATGTTCCGTGAATTGAAACTTCAGACAATATATACCACTGTATATTTTTGACACCTTTTATTTTTAATTTAGCATGATGGTATTGTCTTAGTTTAGTTATGTACCCCCAAACATGGGGCAAGAATCCAATGGGTGACTCTTGGGGCTATTCTGAACCTGTTGTATTTGATTCTGTCTTTTTGCGAAAAACCTCTTGATTCCGGAGAAACACGCCCCTGGAGGACACGTCGTTGGAAATAGGTTTTTCTTAAATAATTTTCACATATCGTCGCTTTAGTTTTAACATCGCGCGTCTCAAAAGATATGCGTGTCATTCGATAGGGCCAAAGATTCGCCGATTTGTTGCACTTTGTCAGCTTTGTGTTACGCTATGTTAGAACTTTGGCGATGATATAATCTAACGAAAACTATCAGCTCATGTAGTTCGCCAGAGACGGACTTTCCATAAATGCAATATATACTGCTGATTTCTTTACACCTTTGTATAATAATGGCTTGAAAAACATATTTTTGGAAGTTGGAGCGTGCATCGATAGCGTTATTGACTGTTTCATCTACATCAAAGTAATGCTACCTGCGGCTGTTACAAGGAATTTATTCATGTTTGATAATATCGTCCGTTCTTTTTTAATTATCCGTGGCTTTTCAGGTCACTCCAAAACCCCATTAAATGGATATCCCCCTCCCCCCGTCCGAGAAGAATATCTCTTTGAACAGTAACCCCCCTCTTGACACAAATCCTGGAGCTGCCCTTTCAAGTTAGTCGAAGACTGGACCTCTTAATTCAATCCCGCGCTATGCGAAGCTGCTGCGGCTAATTGATTCATATCGAAGCAGCCGCGCAGGCAGAAGCCTAAATGCCGGAATACCGCGGCTGCTATGATGATCCCAAAGAAATTCTGTTAATACGATTTTTGAACTGCCTAAGGTTAGTAGAACTGGGAAAACCTTCCTCCTGTAGATTGTTCCTCAGTCTCGATACCGTCGGGACAAAGAAGCGGTCGTATCGCCCAGTTCTGCATGTACGAAGCTCGACATGGGACGCCACTTCGTGGACCGTTTTGTAACCATTCACCTTTCCATTCAAATGAGTTTTTCTTATATATGTATTACACTAAACTTCTTATTATTGACCCTCTATTGCCCTGGATAAACAATCCTGTCTACGCACATGCCTCTCACCCACTTTTAGGTTAACACGACCCATCAAAATCACCACAAAATCCTCGAAATGTAACTCATGCTTATTTCAGCTGTGAATCCTTTGTTCTCACTCCACCATTCCGCATCAAATCGAACAGTTTGTTCATCAAAACACCCAACGGCGCATTGGAACGCATCGTCAACCAATTCCGTCATGAAATCCTGCAGCTGCCCTCCAGAAACCTTGTGATCACCCAATCGACGCCCATTCAGATCGAAGCAACCCCAAGGAAGAGCCCAAGCACCTGGTCAGCGCCTTGCGAGAGGTTGACTGTGCGTGAGTTCATGGATAAGGATTTGGGTATAGCCACCTCAAGAGGCTCAGAGGAAAAGGATGCAGGTTTGTACATAATATTGTGGTCTCAAGTCCAATGGGAGTTTGTATGTATAAACTATTTTGAGCCTCCAACTGCTTACTAGAATGGGTAATCAACTGAATCGCGTTGTACTGCAACTGCACTCTATAAACATTTTGAGCGCCCATTCAGATGGAAGCAGCCCAAAGAGCCCAAGCCCCTGGTCAGCGCCTTGCGAGAGGTTAATGGATAGGGACTTGAGTATGGGTGCCTCTATTGGCTCACTGGAAAGAAATGCAGGTTTGTACATATTGTAGTCTTAAGTTTGAAGTCCAAGGGCTCAGTGGAGAGACAAGAGGGTTTGTACGTAGAAAGTATTTTAGAATTAAATCCATAATAAGACCCCCAACGACGTACTGGTGACAGCTAATCAACCAAATTACGTTGACCTGCGGCTGTCTTCCAGAAATATTTTGATCCCAGTTTCAGATCGAAGCAGCCCCAAAGAAGAGCCCAAGCCCCTGGCCAGCGCCTTGCGAGAGGTTGTCTGTGCACGAGTCAATGGATAGGGTTTTGGGTATGGGCGCATCTAGAGACTCAGTGGAAAGACATGCAGGATATTATTGTAGTCTCAGGTCCAATAGTATCAATAAAAGTGGTGCTATGTGTGAAATAAAAGCGCGAGTATGTCGTCAGCGCCCAGCGAGAGGGTGACTATTCGAGATGCCAATGATAGTTCGGTGAGGGCTCAGTGGAGAGACATGAGCGTTTGTACGTAGGAACTATTTTAACATTGAAATTCCATTATAATAGGACCCTCAAGCATACTAGAGTAATCAATCAGCCCTTTTTATCGCTATACTACTACTATTTTTGCCCCGAGAACCTTCAAAGATTTTAAAAAATTCTTATGTAAATACCACTTCGAAAAAAAAAACGGTTTCTTGAATCGGGTGCGTATATCCTGGATCTAATGTCATTTTGTTGTTGTGATCGGTGGAATGCCCTAAGCTCCCACTTTTCTACTTTAAATAGGGCTTCTCGACACCTCAGACAGCATAATATATACTAAAAATATTCCTGGAATGTTCTTCTTGGAGCATTATGTCACACTCTGGAATATATACATTCTCCGAGGAATACTCCAGAAAAGTGAAAACGGGAATGTGAAATGCAACCACAGAATATTCTCAATCATAATATTCCAGGAATATGCTAGATATATTAATATTCATAAAACTTGTGGAAAGAATATCCAAGTTATATTAGAAAGAAACGTTACAAGAACATTATTAGAGTACCTATTCATCATTATCTGATTATGGTACTACAATATGCAGAGGAGAATGATCTATACTTGTATATTTGCACTTTTCTGGAATCTAACACACGAATATACATAAAAATTCTAACTAGCACCTTAGAATATTCTTTTCGTTTTCATACAGGGTCACTGGTATCTCAGCCTAGTCATTGACAGACATGATTGAAGAGCTAAATTGCAACAAAATGCATACTCAAGTCGTCGTTGGTTGTCAGAGCGGTCCGTGCGACCTTAGTTCTTGAGTCATAGGGTCAGTTTGTAAGTATGTCAGGTCTGGTAACCCAGAAACCAGACAATTTTAAGGAAAAAAATGGAAAGAAAGGAGAGAAGGGAGCACGAGAGCAAAGAGGAAGAAGACAATCTTTTAGGACGGAGCGTTTAGTTAAAATCACTGGACAGATTTTAATATGGTCTAAAAATATTTGATTTAAAATGCATATACATATATATATAACTTGAGACGTGGTCATTGTCGTCTAGACCAGTTAGGTGAAAAATTAAAGCTTCCGCTTTTTGTTGGGTACTTCGACAAGATTTAAGCAAAGAGGACTCTTTATACTTTTTTAATTCTCTCTAGCTTTCAATGGACTTTGCCATCATCATCAGGAGCTGCAATTACAATGATAACAGTAGCAACAAAGGTGTAAAATGAATTTAAATTGACTCAACTTACAGTAGTATGTGAGAATGTTGCTAATTGTTGTTTACGCATATGATGAGGGAAACGTCAGGTGGTTTTCACGATGTAATGTTCTAATTTTTTAAAATAATTTTTAATCTGTTTTAACGTGTTCTTGTCATGTTTTGTATAAATTTTGACTATTGTGCAACCTATTCAGCTCTCACCATGTTACTGGACGTTTCCCTCATCATATGCGTAAACAACAATTAGCAACATTCTCACATACTACTGTAAGTTGAGTCAATTTAAATTCATTTTACACCTTTGTTGCTACTGTTATCATTGTAATTGCAGCTCCTGATGATGATGGCAAAGTCCATTGAAAGCTAGAGAGAATTAAAAAAGTATAAAGAGTCCTCTTTGCTTAAATCTTGTCGAAGTACCCAACAAAAAGCGGAAGCTTTAATTTTTCATATATATATATATATAACTCGAGACGTGATCATTGTCGTCTAGACCAGTTAGGTGACAAATAAAGCTTCCGATATAAGTTGGGGTACTTCGACAAAATTCAAGCAATTAGTCTCTAGCTTTCAATGGACTTTGCCATCTTCATCAGGAGAATAGTATGTGAGATTGTTGCTAAATGTTATTAAAGTTGAGGGAAACATTTAGCAGGCTGGTGAAAGCTGGATACATGGTAAATTCGTTGAAATTAGTATAAAATTCACACAGCTGTATGTCAGGAACAAAACAAAACGGATTAAAAATATGTAGAACGGAAGTTAACACAAACCAAACCAAACCAAAACCCCATATTATGTAATATAGATCCTCTTCTTTTGAATTGGTTTCTTCAAATGTGCAATAAAATTTGAGGCATTCCATTTAAACCATCACAACTTTGATATGTAGGTCAAAGTTGGGACACCCTGTACAATTGCTAATATGTTAGAAATGTGCCCTCAAATGTCATCCATAATATGCCTTAATAGACTTTCACCAAAATGTGTTTGTTTATGAGTAATACGAGGGATGTCTTTTAAGTTTTCCATATAGAAACATAGTAGGCAACGCGGATCGAACGTCAGTACTGAACCTTAACCTCACTCTTTAGTAAACTTAAATTCAAAGTTTCACAACAATACGTGCAGTGTTCTCAATACACTGAATTTCTAAGTGTCACCAAGTCATTAGAAAAATGGAACTCAACCGAGAACATTTTCGCGCCATAATTTATTACAACGTTCAGAGACAATTATCGCAACAATAATGCCTTGCTGAGTTACTGTCTGTTTTCGGCAACGAAGTGCCACATCAGTCGACAATTTCCCGTGAGTATGGAGCATTCAAACGTGGACGGGTGAGTCTGAGCGACGATCCCAGGGTGGGTGCACCAAAAACGGAGTCACCCAGGAAAACGTCGATGCTATGCGCAAACTCATCATTGAAGATAGACATGTGACATATCGCGAGATTGAGGCGTCCTTGAAGATCTCAAAGATCTCAATTCAAAAAATTTTACATGAAGAAACTAGGAGTAAGAAAATTAGTTTCTCGACGGATACACCATCTGTTGACTGAAAAGCAGAAAGCAGCCGGGGTTAATTGGTGTCAAAAAACGCTTGACCGTTTCAAATCCGGAAACTCAAAAAATGTGTACAGCATTGTTAGTGGTGATGAACCGTGGATTTACTGTTATGAACCAGAAAACAAACGACAGTCGGCTGTTTGGGTGTTCCAAGGTGAAGAAAAGCCAAAAAAAGTCATCCGTTCTCGAAGTGTTTCGAAAAAGATGGTCGCGACATTTGTGTCAAAAGCGGATCTTATTGCAACAAATCCTCTTAATGAGCAAAGAACTGTTACTGCGGATTGGTATACCACCATTTGCTTGTCAAAATTTTATCACCGAGCTTCGAAAAATCAACCCCGAAAGAAGAATCATCCTCCACCAAGACAATGCAAGCTCGCACACAGCCCCAAAAACAAGGCAGTATTTAACGGAAGAAAACGTGGAATTATTGGACCATCCTCCATATAGTCCCGATCTAAGTCCTAACGAAAATTAAAAACAGACTGCGTGGTCAAAGGTTCCAGTCACCAGAAGAAGCAGTTTTACGCATTCAAAAATGCCGTTTTGGATCTGCCAGCAAACAAGTGGAATAAGTGCTTTGAAAATTGGTTCGAGCGCATGCAGATGTGTATTAATCTTCGTGGAGAATACTTCGAAAAACAATAAAGTCATTTAAAACTACCTACCTTGTTGTTTTATTTCCATATACAAAACTTAAAGGACATCCCTCGTATTCCGTCCACATATGGATGGGCCACCCTGTAGTTTCGATCATATGCGCTCCCAGGAATTTTTCTCACGGAAGGGGGAGGAGCATCCATCGTCAAGGGATAACTTTTGTGTGAAATTGTAACTGCCTGCTATACTTTTTGAAGAGCAAGGGTGAGCATATTTTCTCAGAGAACCAAATTATAAAGAGCCACGAAATTGTACAAAAAACATGGTAAATAAGAAAATTTCAATTGTATGAGTCTGTTTGACTAATTTGATCCGTTTCGTCTTTTTAATAGAACATGTCCGTAGCTAGCTTTTTCTCTCAGAGGGGCCAACTTGTGCCGAACATAATCCTTTATATAACAGCGTTGTGTAGGAAGTGCAGAGTCAACCTACCTGACGATTTTTTCCAAGTTTTTGGTATACTGGTTGGATTGTTTGGTAGGTCGTAGAGAGAGCAGCAGCCGCTCCTCACAGAACTTCGTTCTGAAGAACATCAGACAAGCATCTAAAGCGAAAAGGATAGAATACGATGACAGCGATGAAAACATATTCACGAGGTCCGAGAGGAGGCAATCTACTACCAAAACTCCTTCACCGCCCAGCTCTATAAAACTTTCAGATATAAGAACAGAAGAATCTATTAACATCTCCGGATTAGATATGAAGTTGTCAGCGATCAGCTCTTTCATTACCGAAGACACAGAAAAAGAAAATATTGAGAACGAAGAGGAAGACACACCTGAATGGTAAGAATGTGTTGTTTTCTGTAATATCGTTTAATAATAAAGTATTTGGCCCAAGGGTGATTTCTTGAAGGAATCTAAGAAGAAAAGTGTATACCTACGAGTCTTCACGGTCTTTGGCGGGCTACAGTAGAACTGCCTTAATAACTTTGACACATCAATCTCTCACACATAGATATGCATATGGACGAACGTCTTACATTTTTTTCTCGTCAACGTAGTCATTTTGGCTTATCACCGGGCTTGTCACTGTCAGTCTGACAACTTGCTTCTCATGGGCGTGCGATTTCTGTTTATCCCTGCTGATTTCCAACATAAAAAATAGTAACGCCTGAAGATATAACGACAATGTCGGCAGTTTGGATTACAAGAATTATCCGAAAGTGAGTGAAAACAATGTTCTTATTTCACCCATCTCATGTGTGTGTATTCACAAGCGAGTAGCAGCTGCGTTAGGGATGGGCTTGCGCAGTATGTAATTTTCCTTAGGGAAGTTATGCAATGCTTATGATAACATCAGTCAGTTGGATTATTTATTATGTATGACATTGTGACGACGTTACCAGCAAAAACCATGAAAAGGGCTGTATAATCGCACGTTCGAAAGTGCTTTATTTTCAAGATACATACGAGGTTGTTCAAAAAGTATCGCGAATTTTGAATTTTCGCGGCTACGTATGTTCGATTTTCGATCTTTTTGTGGCGTTATGTTGGTACTCAGTGACCTCCACTAGAGTTGACAATATCTTCCATTTTGAATGTTCAGTCAGTTTTTGACAGCTATTGTGCGTGGACGTGTTTTAGCTTGTCTCCGATTTTTGAAAAAGAATTTGTAAAAAAATTTTGTAAAAAAAAACAACTTGAAGTGCGCGGACATATTCCAAATGTTGACTGTTGCATCCGAAGCTACTTTGGACAAAAGCAACGTTTATCGGTGGTACAAAATGTTCTCAGAGGGCCGAGAAGATGTGAGCGACGAAAAGCGTTACGGACGCCCGTCAGCAATAGACGAAAACATTGATGAGTTCTTGCCGCAGGGTTGAACGGCCGATAAGGAATATTACCTTCAAGTAATACGCAATTTGCGAGAAACAATTCGCCAGAAACGCCCGGATCTGTGGAAGAACAGAAATTGGCTTTTGCACCATGATAACGCCCCTGCTCATGCATCGTTACTTGTGCGCGAATTTTTAGCCAAAAACGACACTCCAATAATGCCTCACCCACCGTATTCCCCAGACCTGGCCCCCTGTGACTTTTTCTTGTTCCCGAAACTGAAGAGGCGCATGAAAGGACGACGCTACACTACGATTGAGGAGATCAAAACGGCATCGAAGGAGGAGCTGAACAATATCAGAAAAAATGATTTTTCAAAATGCTTCGGGGATTGGAAAAAACGTTATCACAAGTATATAATGACTGATGGGGATTACTTTGAAGGGGACAAAATTGTATTCATGAATAAATAAATAATTGTTGAAAAAACATGAAATTCGCCATACTTTTTGAACAAACCTCGTATACAGTCCCGAATACAATTTTCCGGATGGGCGCATCCGCAACAGCGAATAAACAACTTGACATATAGGAAAAATGGGGACCGCCTCGATTTCAGGTAGATACTAGCAATTTTCAGAGCAAGACGCAGCTTCAGTTCTGAGGAATGCGGTATTTTTATTTTTTTGCAGTAGGTGTCATTTTATTGTGTGGTAGCTCTTATGGTTGCATCAGCTAAATTTAAGTATAAACTACGAAAATGGATCGAATTTCACGCATTTTGTATATAGTTTTTTATTAGACTCAAATGCTATGTTTCGGGTGCTTTCAAAAAATCATAGAACTTCTAAAACTATAGTCGAAATCACGAAAGATGACGATTACGTCATCATTTTAGTCTGTAGTAAAGATAAACGACAGCGATTTGTGAATATATTTAATGAAGTTTCTGATATGTTAGACAGAGACAAACAGAATTTTATTGTCTAAACAAACTGTATCGCTAATTTGCATGTATCCGACAAAGATAGACGATGTTTTCATATTGCTTGATCGATCATATTTGAAATATGAATAGTTAGGTTATGTTAAAGCAGGTTAGGTTGTTTTCGAATACCTAATACTTTGGTCTTTGGTGTTCCTGTATTAAGGTATTCTACTCATAACTGTTTTTTTCAAAACAATTTCCCCATTAAAATTATGATTAAGGTATCACTCAAAATCATGAAATAAATAGAAAATAAAAATAAACAGCGAAATAACCTAACTTCGCAAAATCTGAATATAAATTTGTTATCGTTATGTTTCTGACTCGTGATTTTATCATCGACGTACGTCCATGGATTACTTCAGTACAATTTATGGTATGACGTAAGTCATCTTTCGTGATTTTGGCTATTACTTGTTGCATTTTATTTCCCTACTAAAACCTGGCAGGCGAAATGCCAGTAATCCTGTATAAGTCGGCACCGTCCGACGGTAATTCGAAAAAAATCCATTAAATATCAATTTCGAATTGCCTTTCATTATCATAATTCAATCTTTTCAATTTGAATGCTATATGATTTCAAGATGGTAACGTTCTAGTGTCCACAAAGAACAATCAGATTCAAAAAAGCGTAAATCAACTGATGATCCAGGCATTCCCAAGCACTTTGTGAAGAAAGTCATTTGTCCAGCATGCATGGCAAAATGGAAAGCTGCCCCTCCCACACCAAAAACACCCAGATTGAGAAAAACTGACGTACCTACATTGAGTAATCCAGTTTTTAAGACTAACGACATCAACAGGTATTGGTAAAGATCTTTGTTCAACCACCATGCCATATATCTAGCCAATAAGCTAGCGCAATTTTGCTAAGGGCGCTCTATGCATTACGGATAAAGCTAACCGGCAGGAATATTGCACGTAACTTCAAAAGTGAACGTATGTCGGTTTTTTTATACAGGTTCCGTCAGAAAGAACGTTTATTTTTCGATTATGGGTACTACATCGACTTGGCTGGTCCCGTGTCGGTGGGGATGGACGTGTTGGATAGCGGGAGAAGTGCCATTTCAGTTGGCAAGAAGGGTTGGAACGTTGGCCATCCCGTGTTCACTTTCGTGTTACACGTCATGGGACAGTACCAGACCGTAACACCATTTTGAGATGGGTGCGAGCATTCGACACAACAGGTAATGTGATGAAGAAAAAACCGCCAGGGCGAAACCGTACTGTTAGAACCCCCAAAAACGTAGACAGAGTGAGAGTTGACACGCTGCAAAGCCCGAAACGTTCTGTCCGTTTGCGTGCCAGTTCCCTAGGGATCTAAGCGTCCTGTGTACGTCGCATCTTGAAAAAGGATTTAGTGTTCCATCCTTACAAAATCCAAGTTTGTCAACAACTGTTGCCGGATTATGCACAACGTGTTAATTTTGCACAGCTCATGATTGAACAGTTGGAAAACAATGACATGACGTCGTTTATGAGTGATGAAGCACATTTTCATTTACATGGATAAGTCAATAAACAAAATTGTCGGTATTGGTCTCCAGTGAACCCCGAACAGTTGCATGAGCACCCCCTGCATACCATGAAGTAAGTAACCCAAATTCCTGCACGGATGCTGGCCGACGGATTGGGCTCATTTCGGGAGAGGCTTGATTCCTGCATTTCGGGTCAAGCGCGCCATATGGCCGACATAGTTTTTAGAACGTAAATTTTGTTTTACTCAAAAAATGGCATGTATTTGAGTATTTTGATATAATAAAATATTTTAACATACTTATTTTGACTGTACTACTCATTTAAAAAACATGCTTTCTTTCTGACGGATCCTGTATGTAGTTTTTTTATGATATTTCCGACGTCAAATACTAACAGTCATGCTCCCTGGTAGCAGACGTGGAATGAACTATTTGCACACTACCAGCTATCTAGTTAACAAGTTGACATGTTACGGTTATTTTTTGACATTATATAGGTTTTTTACGTTATAACCATGCCGTAATACTCCTACGGTACATAGATAGCGTTTGGAGAGTCGGCCCGACGACAGCTTCCCACCAACAAACCAATGGAGATTACATATACAAAACCACTGATTTAAAGAAAAAAACGCCGAGTCACGTCAACAGATTTGTCAGGGGGACAACTTTTTAACCAAAAACTACTTCACCCCGTTTCACCCTCTGCCCACCAGGGTCATCTTAAAAATTTTAAATAGCAAAGGGTATCGAGTAATAGCTTGTCTGAGAGGTCTTTCGAAGTCCTTTATTTTGACGTAGGATTTTTTAAAATCGGTAGATTCGTTTTCAAGAAAATTAGAAAAATCTTTATTAGTTATCTTCCAAGGATGTCTGGCGTAAAACGTGCAACAAATAACTAAACAGGTATAACAATAAATACAGTTCGCCCAAGATATCTGTGTTGATGAAAAGAATGCGGAAAAAAATTCGGGTTGTTATTTGGTTGTTGCCACGTCTAATATTCGAAATTGCTGTTTAGGTTGGTAGTTTCCGTTTTAAATTATAAACCAATTGTAGATTTGGCAAACCCTAAAAGGCAACATTTTGATCACTTATTGAAATAAAAAGTGATATTTTTTCTAATTTTCTCGAAAACGAATCTACTGATTTTGAAAAATCAAACGTCAAAATAAAGGACTTCGAAAGACATTTCAAATAAACTATTACTCGATACCCCTTGTCATTTGAAATTTTTAAGGGAATGACCCTGGGAGCCGAGGGTGAAAGAAGAAAGTAGTTTTTAGTTAAAAGGTTTTCCCATTGACAAATCTTTTGACGTGTCTCAACGTTTTTTTCTTTTAATCAATCTTCGATAAATGCGTGGTGGGGAGTTTTCAAATGAACACGCTGTACATCACTTTTTGTGGTAGAAAGATAAGGAAAAATCGCGTAAGTCCCGGTCATACTGAATAGAGCTCTGAATGTTTTGCTACCTCAGCTTAGGCTGATAGTAACTGAAAAACACTCTTTTTATATGTGCACAAAGTTGTACAGTCAACTACTTAATCATTTGAAAGCGATGGAAGGTACAGGAACCATCAAAAAAAATCTGGAACCTTACAGTATTTCTAAATACTATATGCATCTCTCGTTTCAGTTTTTGCATGGTTATGACGTTAGTTCCACAAGTCATTAGAACATATTACGTATTAGTGATTATACATTTGGAATAAACATTATTATTATTTGAAGGAAAAGGAATGTATACCTACGATCTACCTTTTTAGTTTTTAGTAAAAAAGGCTGGTGAAAAATGGAGTCAAGTGTTTTTTTACTGGCGATTCAATTCTATTCCTCTCTCTCTCTCTTTCTCACTCACGTATCCTTTCTCAACAGAATATCTCTGCTCATCAGCAAAGAAGAATTCAAGCTACAATCGTACGAGAGAAGGTTCTCATCAGAGAGCTCTGCTAAAGGTCAAGGAAAGAGAGAGTCAATTGTCACTGAGAATATAGAAAACATTTACATCAAACCAATGGATCTGGTTAGGATAGAACAAGAAATAAGGGAAAAGGAGACCGAAAAGAAGCTTCAGAGATTTTTGAACGGTCACAGTTAAATATTGAAGAAGCAATATAGTTTTGAGTTCGCTCGACAACCGACTGCAATGCTAAACATTTTACAGTCAGATGTATCATATATTGGCTAAGAATTGTTACTGTAGACATTTTTTTAAATATCTGTATACTTCAACTGTTAGAAATAAAAAATGTTCTGAAGCGTCTTCATAGTCTTACAGAACATACAGGGAAAATCGTCTGACGGCCTGTGTTCAATGTGTATGAAAGCAAAGCACGACAAGTCTGTATCAACACATGTTAGATAGAGATAGAAGCCGGCTGAAAAGAGAAGGTCATCACCACATTGCCTAGCGGCGGTGACGCGAAGTTCATGCAATCTACCGCGTTGTCAATATGTTACACCAGAAAATGTTCGCACGGGCTTCTACAATCCGTTAGGTTACCACCAAACCCAAGCAGCAGGTCTGTTCGAACAATTATTATTTTGTTTCCATTTTGATTAGAATTATTTATTTCAATTTTGATATGACTTAATGTTTTAATTTAATTTAGAATTATCTTTGGTTTCCACCGATGGTGATAATAATTACCAACACATCCTAAGTTACATTTTGCGACAGCGAGCGGTCGGAAAATATAACAAATACCATTACGCAATTCAAATTATCACTGCCTGTGAGTACGCAGGTGAAAACCATTTCGAAGCAGGACGACACTGCCCAATGGTGGAAACTTTGCCTTAGAATGTACGAGATGCGATGTCGCCAAAGAAACCAATGATGCAATGTTGCAGAATTTGTGGCGATCCTGACCTCAATCGATCTGAAGTCAATCCTAAACTGATTCGACACAATTCAACACTGTGTACGCTCAAAATAAAACCATTATTTGGGTGTAGAGAATTAATGCATGTTTTCAACATGCATATTAATTCAAGGAATCGGTGCGATATATTGGCAAAGCGGCAGATTGCCGCGTCAGCGTTGCTAGGCAACGCGGCGATGAGCTTCTCTTTCCAGCCAGCTTCTATCTCTTTCTAACATATGTGTCTATAAACACTTTTCTCAAGTACACATTGAACTCAAGCCGTCAGACAAATTTGGTTCTTGGTGTATAGTATCGAACTGAATGCAAGACGAATGTCTGGTCAGCGAATTTTTTCCGATTCTTTTGGACTACTTCTCGCATTCCGATTTAATAAATTGGTCAAAAAGTATGCTTCCAAGTTAGCGAAAATGTGTCTTGAGCTTTCGATCATTGGTCAGCAGTCGTACAAAGAGGGCCTCATTTTTTTCTGCCCTGAGGCTCATTCACACGTACCTTTGGCCCTTTAGAAGCAACATCAGAGCTTTGGTAGAGCAACTGTTGAGATTCCCTCTTCCTCAAAAATGGCTATTGAAGTAAATAAAGCTACTATGTAGTGAAATATTAGGAAAATATTTCGAGGATCGTGCATATGCCCCGAGGTTTTAACCCTGAACTAGATAAGCTTTAATAAAAAAAAAAAATCGAGAAAACGTAGAAGAAAACTGTTAGGAAAACACTAATATATTCACGATACCTGAACAGTATTCTGAAGACTCATTCATCATCGAGAACTTAAAATTGTATCAAGGAATTAATTATGTCCATATGATTTTCAGTTCTTTAGACTGTTTAAGAACAACCAATTCTGCGTGGAACGGAATATACAGTTTTAAAGATACTAACTTTTAAGAAATCGCAGCAAGTGGGATACTGGCGAGTTTAGTAGATAGACGTATCAACTAGTTCCAAACATCCAGAACTGGCTTTGACAGAATAGGAGGTGAGATTATTTCCTCACTTCTCGCCCATATAAACTCGAATTCGAAAATTTAAAATAAAATTGAATTTTGAAAAAAATGGATTTGAAATTTTGAAAAGTAATTGGATAATTCGAAAATTTGTAAAATATTTGAAGATTTGAAAATAATTACCAAAAATCAAAGCTCTATATTCTAAGGTACTTTTGCTTTCGTCTTGGGACTAAAAATTCAGAAAATAAACTGGAGTTTAAAAAACAAAAAAAAAAAACAGGCGTTAATAGCAAATTGAGCTAAAAATGAGAAAATAATTTGTGTTAATGCAATCGAAAGTCTAAAAATTGAGTATGAATAATTAATCTGGAATAAGATCAATATAAAAATTGAGATAATAACAATAAAATCAACTATAGTACTAAATCATGTGCAATAAACTATATTTTCATACCTCCAATTTTGTAAATATCAACTACAAAAATAAGTTCTAACATTTGATATCAAGCACTATAATTGATTTTTTTATTAACAAGTTAATTTTTAAAATGATCTGATTACAAATTAATTACCTCATACTTTTTTGAACTTCTCTTGCAGTAACACAAACTCTCTTATACTTGAAAATTATTTCCTACTTTAAATTAAATTTTAATTTTTGATCTCCCAGAGAATTGGTTCCAGCAAAACGTTCTCAATAATAATGTTCCTTCATTTTGGGTGAAGCTTTTTTGTGCAGATACTTCGATACGAGTACACATTTTCTTTGGAAGAAGTTATTCCCCTATGGAGCCCTTTGGAAATACAGCATACCCAGCCATTGAGATATAATCTCTTTTATCAGTAACCCAGCATACTTTGATACTTTGCTCCTCTGTGACCATTATGATGCGTCTGCATTCTTGTTCTGCATGACACCTGCCACGAGTTTGTCTCTCATTCTAAATTCTTTGTCCCTAGGCTATGAAGAATACAGAACAATTTACCAGAAAAAGATTTCCCTAGTTCAACTTGCGAGGCAGTTTATGAGAATAACTACAACATGTCTTTAACTTCTTTATAGCAGTTGTGGTAACTCGGTATTAAGGCTCTACCTTCGCGCATGCAGTCTCACAAATTTCATCAACTTTCCAGGGTGAATTCAAACCAGATACGAGTAGTTCGCAAGACAGGTCATGTATGACAATGAAGAAAATGTATGAGTTGACATATATATTTATTTCACTCCTACAAATCATATACAAAGAAATTAATACAAATACGAATGAAACACCAAATTAACCTTAGATAATATTGTTAAAATTCCCTCCTGTGGTATTTATCAGGATCAAAGTACGACGTTACGACTACTCTGTTGCTGAATTTACGTCCCGTCAGAGACTGTTGTGCTTTCTGACAATCCAATACAGAGTTAAACTCGACAAATACCTGTAAAGAAAAAAATGTTGAAGTAGTAAGCGTGCATTCCTCAACTTGATTTTTTTGGCAATGACGTAGTCTTACATCAAGAATGAAACGATAACATACTCACGAAATTTTATTGATAAGTAATAAGAAAACAATCAATGTATTGGGCGACCCTGCAGCTGAATACACTTCTATAAACCACCTTGATCAAAAAGATCCCGGAATGGTCGCTGAGTGGCGGTCGTAGCATGTCAATTCTGTTATGTTTTGTTATGGTACACAACTGTCACTGATATTCCCTACGAATTTTAGCGTCATTTCATTATCAGTTGTCAAAGCTACGTCGAGTTGAGTACATGTGCCTTTGAGCGTGTTCACGATTTATTAGGGTTTTTAAAATGGATCTGAATGAACAACAAAGCGTTCGAGTTAAATTTTGTGTTAAAAACAATATCAACGGTACGCAAACCTTGGAAATGTTAGGAAAATGCTTCGGCAACGATGCTTTGAAGAAAACAGCTGTTTCCGAGTGGCACAAACGGTTCGTGAGTCCATCGCCGATGATGAGCGCAGCGACATAGAAAACAGATAAAAACATTTACTAAGTGAAGAAAATGTTGACCAACAACCGCAACTTAACTATCAGAAAGATGGCAGAGAACTTGAGCATTGGTTATGGATCCGTTCAAAGCATTTTGGTCAACGATTTGGGTCTGCGGCATGTTGCAGCCAAGATGGTGCCAAAGGCTTGAATTTCATGCAAAAAAGGACCGTGTTGACAATTTCCATAGCTGATCTGACCCAACATTTATCAAACGCATCATTACTGGAGACGAGTCGTGGGTTTATGAGTACGACACGCAGGCAAGACATCAACCGAGTGGATAGCGCGCCGGATGAGTCGACACCGAAGAAACCGCATCGTTTCCAGTCGAAAAAGAAGGAAATGCTTACGGTTTTCATGGAGTACTATTTGGGTGTTTTGAGTCGTTTGCGTGAATCAATCTGTCAAAAACGCAGGGATTTGTGGGCAAGCAACTCGTGGATCTTGCACCACGATAACGCACCATCGCACAATGCCATAATTATCCGTGAGTTTTTGGGCAAAAACAACACGAATACCGTTCAACAACCACCCAATTCAGCTGATTTGGTCCCCTGTGACTTTTTGTTCAATCGGCACTGAGAGCAGCCGAGAGAAGATAATGGAAGAATCGAAGATGACCCTAATAAGAGATAGATACATATCATCGAGTTTAAAAAATGTTCCGAGGACTGGATCAAGCGTTGGCATAAGTGCATTGCAGTCAATGGGGACTACTTTGAAGGGAACAGTATCGATTTTAAACAATAAACTTGTGTTGTTTATTTTTTTTTTTAATAAATTCCGGGAACTTTGATCAAGGTGATATGTCTAGGCATCGACAAAATGAGACGATCGAAGTCTGGTTGTGGCACCTCATTCCAAGCAACTCAAACTTCGTGGATTAGCTGTGGCAGAGTCTGTGGCGGATGGTGCAAAGTGGATAGTCTCCTCCCCATCTTATCCCACACATGTTTGATGGGATTTAAACATTAACGCCTGTTTCTTGAAGAAAGTCCCAGCAGTCATATTGTGTTGAACAAAGAGGAGTGATCGGCTATCATACTCCAACTGTCCTGTGTACATGCTTCTCAACATCAAATCCAATATCACGCCGTTCTCCACGCCGGCGTCTTACCCTTCCTCGACCATCGTGCGTACCTAGACAGAATCACGATTCGTCGCCGAAGATGATATTATGCCATTCTGCCTCCCAATGTTGCTGTTCTCTGCTCCAGCTCAAACGTTAACGACAGTGGTCCGCAATCAGAGGAAGCACTAACAATGGACGGTATGGAAAAAGTCCATAGAGTAGACCCATTGTAACATGTCTACCTTCTTATCCAAACCACTGGTCACCGATCTGACGTGTAGTAGCAAAATGGCCTCGGTGGACCAGCTGGCCTTCTTCGTGTTACTCTAACTTCTTCTATCCACTTACAACACACGCATACATTCATTGCGTCAACTGGGCGGCCAATTTCGCGTTAGGACAAACCATCATCTCGATAGGCAATAATTATATATATTATATACTTTGGACGTCTTCGAAATCGATGCATTTTGTATGCTTAACATTAGTAAATGGAGGCGCAATAAGTACTACTCAGCTCTCAGACACTGCTTTCTTCACAAGAACTAAGAGATAATATTTTAACAAACGTAAACAAAAACAAAGCTAAAACGTTGCCATAGCTTGCTTTAAATATACGAGCAGTCATTCTGTTGCCAAAAAAGTTGATGAAAATATTTTTTTGGGTGTAACACTTCTAATGACATCAAGTATATTAGACTCGAAGCTCAAATTGGTAACGTTAAGCTTATGGCAACATTTATACATAAAACGGTTGTGTTTACCTTTCCACAGCCAGGAACCTCAACACCTTCTATTGGTCGAGGGATTTCAATACTCCTCACAACGCCATACTTGTTGCATTCTTCCTTGATGTCTTCAAGGATATCTTCATATTCTTCTTCATCCTTTAATTCGTCAGGCGTAACCTAAAACAGGCAAAGGGAGGTAAAATGTCAAATAGATAGCCTAATGTAACAATTTTGGTTTTTGAGCGTATAAAAGCACTTACCATGTTCAACAAGCATAAAACTTCTGTAGCAGGCCCAGACGCTCCTACTAAACTGAGACCCGGTACTTGAATCTGAACAGCTGGCAACACTGTAGTATTCTTAGCACCAACACTTGCCCTTTGTACAATCAGTCTCTTGTCACCAAGTTGCATACCATTCAATCCCGCTATAGCCTACAAGAAATTCAAGTCGTTTAAAAACTCGTCATTTTCGTTAATGGCCAAATGGAGTTAGCAATAAGTCAAATATTTTTATAAAAAGAGTGAAATAATGCCTCTAGTAATCGAGCAATGTTGCCAAATTACTTTGAAACGGGTTCACGACTATGAATGTGATTCTCCCGTTTGAAACTCTGTAATTATTCAACTGTTAATCTTACCTGATCTGTCATGGTAATGTCCACATATTCAGCAAACGCATATCCTTTGCTCAGTCCAAACGCTGTATCCTTGACTAGGTTGAAAGCTTTTAATTGTCCAAAAGACATAAGTAGTTCCTTGACCTACATGATTCATGAAATATGAGAACGATATTCAAAGGGTAAAACTCGTACCCAAATTCAATACTGCAACGCAAAGATCTTGCTTCAAATTAAAGTAAAATGGAAACTATATCAGTGTCCCTAACAATTCATACTATCCATTGAATGTGGGTACGTTCAAAGAAGTCCAGTGCTATCGTATTATGCAGAAAAATTGTGACAACGCATAACCATATAGAAAACGACTACTTATATTGAGGTCAAGGTTTTATTGACCTCAATGTCGATGGTGAAGTGCTGATACATTTGCTACCTTCATCTATCCTTTGGGGTTTCTCTCAATCCTAAATGCAGTAATATTTTATGTTTATTTTCAACTTTTCTGCAGATCCGGGGAGGTACCCAAAAATAACCGGAATAGCATTGCAGTGGGCGGAGCTTGAGTTGAGTATTACACATTTCTGTCCCTAGAGGCAAACAGCGCAATTCTTTACCAATTCAGTGTCACCTGAGTTGTCGATCTGGATTGTTTCGTTCCTCTGTAGTCATTACTTTTGCTAGAGCTGTTTCAAGCTTGTTTCGTTTTTGACTATGGCAAGTTTTAGCGAACATCGTGCAGCTGTAAAATGTTGCTTTCTAATTGGTAAAAATGCTGCTGAAACTGTTTTAATGTTGAAAATAGCTTACAAATATGATGCTATGGGAAAAACTCAGGTGTACGAGTGGTTTGCTCGATTTAAAAATGGAGAGATGTCGATTGATGACAAACCTCGCTCTGGACGTCCATCAACTGCCCGAATCGCTGAAAATATTGAAAACATTCGAGAGCTTGTCCTATTTGGAGATTTTAAGACGATTGCGGAACAGTGGTCGGCAAAAAACAACCAATTTGTGGCAGTCAGGAGACTGGTTCTTCCACCACGATAATGCATCTGCGCACACAGCAATCTCTGTTCGACAGTTTCTGGCTGGCATGGTTCCACTGCCTCACGCACCTTATTTGCCTGACCTGGGTCCTTGCGAATTTTTCTTATTTCCACGGATAAAAAGGGGCATGAAAGAACGCCGCATTGACCTCATTGAAGAGGTCAAGAAAAAAACGAGGAGTTGTCAGACATTTCTAAGGAAGACTTCAAAACATGTTTCGAGCAGTGGAAGCACCGATGGGACAACTGTATTAGTTGTAGTGGACAGTATTTTGAAGGAGATAAGGTTACTTTTTGAAAAAGTTGAAATACCTTTTAAAAAATAATTCCGGTTTTTTTTTTGTACCCCCTCGTATACGATGTTTGCACTAGGGTAGGATTTATGTATCATGGATTTATACCAACAGCTGTTGGGTACAAACGGGTCATAGAAATCGGGCTCGTGTATGCATTTATGATTGAACTAGACAAATATTTACGCGGACCAAATTCCATTAAACTACAATTCATCAATATATAAATTCGGATTTGAAAATCATAAGGCGATGTGAGTGCGACTTATTTAAATGACGAAAGTAATTTGATCTTGAGAATGTCAGAGTGCCTGTTACATGTTCGTTTAAATAAAAACTTAATTTTGGGAAGAGGCCTTGAACAAAGCAATACATATTTTGCAAATTCTCCATAAGGCACCCAGCATACATATTATTTTTGTACAGCTAGCAACACATAAAATCACGGTCAAGCATATACTCTTTTACCTACTGTTTTGTGCAGATATTTCAGTAGCCCCAAAGTCAGTCAGAATTAGTAACTTAAACAAATGGCTAAACAAAAAACTTTTACTGCGGAATCTTTGAAATGACTTGCCTTGCGGTTTCCATAGGGTGTTCAGGTTTTTATTTGTAGCAGATACACTCATTCTTACGGATCGCTCTGATAACCCTAGCTACAGGGCAAAAAAGCAGAATATATCAGATTTTTTACAAGTTTCTTTTCGACATGTTATAAAAAACTAAAATTCAGTATTGAACGATAAAACATGTATTGCGAGGAAACATTATCAGCTGTTAATGCAAGGTGCACTAGTATTTTGTTATAAAATACCCTTTTAGGGCTATATTTCTGCATACAGCTAAGATACGAATGAGAAAAACTCACATGTCTACGATTCTAAAAATAATAACGTCTTTTCGCCTGTCTATAGGTTTTTCAATAAATTTTTGTAATGGGTGACAGAAAAATTTTGAAAATTAGTCCCATGACGACGAAATGATCGGAGAGAAACATAAATAAAAAATACACATTATATGAAAATTAATGATCTCGCTTTTAGGCTGATACGGTTTTTCAAATGATCTCTTGGGAGGAAAATGCCTAGGAAAAGTTTCGTGTTAAACTGCCGTGCTAATTCTGGCCAATAATTAGAACACTGGTGTTTAGAGATTAACTTCAGCTTGGTTTAAGTTCGCTATTTCGAAAAATACAAGATATTTTAAACATGGCAATTAAAGTAAGATTGAGGCTAACATCTGAAAAAGTCACTCTATACAGAAATATACCCAATATAATGTTATAGTTTAGTTTCAAAAAAGCTCTTGCACAACAGTTAATACGTCACATTTCTCATTTGGTTTAAACAACAAATGTTGTTTTGTTATTTGAGACTATTTACAAAAATCACAAGCATCTGCAAGCTTAACAGATATAAGATGAGAAATGTACAAAATTTATAACTGTCGTTACTAAATAAATTTCAACAGACTTGTCCTGTCTATAAAATAAACTTATAAACGATAATATCAACGACGTTTGCTGCTGAAGCTGAAAGAACAAGCTGTAAGGAAAATGTTCTTTTCTCCTGTGAAAATTTGTTATACTCTGAGGTATTACTGATTTCAATGCCTGAAATAAAGCAGCTGGAAATAAACCCTGAAAAACCTAAAAAACTCTGCTTGATTTTGTGAAACGTTCGAATGATCCATCACAACCTAAAATTCAAGGCTGAAAAAGAACAGGGAACATTCGTGAATTATCTTCTAATAATTTTCGGATGAGAAAACAAGAAGTAGGTAAGCAGAATAATGAGAATACAAAATACCCAAAAATCTCATTATATTTACTACTCATTCATACACCCAAAAAAATCTAGATTATAATTTACGAATTAGCGCGGAACTGCGATCTTACCGGTATTTTTGGACGTAATTTACCGCTTGTCGTTTTATAATCTGTAAACCTGAAAAGGCTGTAAAAAACCGCAAAATAACCTGCAAAACCTGAAAAGGCTGTAAAATAAACCAATACTGACAACTCTGACTGCTCTAGTTGGCGCCCATTGCTAAAGAAAAGTTAAAACTCACACACACATTCTTCACCTGAAGTTTACTAAACACGCAATTATTTCATTTAAACTATGGCACTTGAATACTTGAGATAATAGGAACGTTGCTAAGAAAAGTACTTTCAGTTGGTTTAAAAAATTTGTTCAAAAAACAATATATTGCGGTAAAACAACAAACAAATTGAAACACGCAATAAAGTCGGGCTCTTTTAATCTTTGTAGCAAATCCGGAAAAGTTAACAAGTCACAGGAACTAAGAAGACAATTATTATAGTCATTACAAATGATATACAACTGACGCATCTTAGCGAGTGCTCAAGATAACATGCTGTCTACTAACTGGTGATGATTCGACAAAACGCTTGTAACGGAGGCAGTGTTGCAGTATATACCCTCTCAGATGATTCTCTTATATAATTACAAAATAACTGTTTCTACAAGCTGCATGGATTTAGTAAACTTCATTCCATTCCCTCTCTCATTCACAACCATTAATTTAGCTGTATGACATACCTGATCTTCGTTCAAATAATTTGGCAACCCGCCAATGAATATTTTGTGCGGTGAATCCGGTACGACCGTGCTGATTACGCCAGCCGGTACGCTTATAGCGTTTTCGGCCATACCTGGCATGGGTTGGTAATCATGGGGTCTGCGAATCTTCAGGCTCTGACCTAAATAAAATATGTTTTATCAAATATTAACACGTTCGCTGCCGCTGGCTCTTATAAAAGTCAACGTTTGCCGGTGCCGCTGACTCTTATCAGAGGGAAGGGGTACAATACGGCAAGCACTCAAGGGCACAAATTAGTAAAACGTGATTTGGATGGTAAAAAGCAAGTATCCAGAAAAAGATGCCAGTCTTGTAGCAAGAAGGAAATCCGTACCCAAACTATGTACGAATGTAGAACATGCCCTGATGTTCCAGGATTCTGTTTGGAGTGCAGTGACATTAACAAATAATTTTTTTGCACTAAAAATAATCCATTCACCACAAATTCACGTTTATATTCTAAAGAAAGTTGTTTCATTTCTTATTTCTGATTAGATTTTATCACATTAGGTGTATTATTTACAGAAAAAGTTTTTGTTATACTTTTATATGTTCTCTACTATTTTGAGTTACAAAAATTATTTTTAATATTTTATTTTCGTTAACAGTCGATAATAAATGTTTTTTGCTTTTAGTTTTATTTCCATTATAAAAAACAAATAATTATATTCCGACTCTGCCAGCTAGCACACAGGAAACCGATTTGTAAGACAGTGCCGCCTGCCACAAAAAATCTAATTAACAAAACATTTTACGAAAATACCTCAATAACTGATTTTACGAAGTTATATTACCAAAATAACAAATTAACCATTATACAACTAATTGGCTCCTGGGTAAAACCAACCGAAAAAAGGTGGCAGTCAACGTGTTAATGGTGAAGCCTCATTTACAGGGTGGCCGATATGTAACTGACTGGTTTGTATCGTCGGTCATCTCACGAAGTGATGTACCTTACATTTAGATAATTGTTCAGGAGAGGCGAAAAACGAAAATGCTTCATGTTTGAAATGCTTTAAATCCTGATATGACTGAGTTTTAGATCTGATATAGTTATATGTCATTTAGTGCTATGCAAGTTATGAATACCTGTCACGTAAGAGACCACAACTATTCACACTTCTGAGAAAAAAAAGTTTGAATGCAGATACGTCACTTCGTGTAAAACTAAATCTTGACTTTTTGGAAATACGTCTCTTTAACTAAATGTATAGGGAAGGCACAAAAAATAAATAGCCAGATAAAAATCAAATAGCGTTCTATTACAAAATAAAACAAGCAGTACTAAAACATTGAAAAACAAATAAATCAAATTCACATGAGAAGAAAGTAAGATTATGTTGTAATCTAGAAAACATACACCTTGTTATTGTTTTGCTAGATTACGAGTATATTGGAAGCAAAAGAGCTATTACTAATAAAGTAGTATTAGACACTGACAAGGGTTCAATCCTAGGTTATGCCAATTCGTCACTATGGGGAAGAGTAAGGAAAAACTGTTGATGTTCCGGTAAACGAATTACGGAAGTTTCTCCTTGACACAAGGAAACCAAGTCTTTATATTTTTTACCAGATATCCTTGGTTGTTCCTTGTTCAGTTAGGGTAGTTCTAATTGTGAGAGATCAATGTTTAGACGTTTTACAACTATACAGTCGTATTCGGGCTCTAAATGGCTGTTTTTGAAAAATATTTTTAGCGGGGAAGCTTGCGTAACTAACACTTCCATTACATCGGTCCACTTAACGTTCTTGCCACTTTCGCTGGCCACCAATGTCACAGGATTTGACTCTTTTTTTAATGGGGATTTTTGACAAATAGGGCTCTGTTAACAAACCAAATACTGTAGATCAGCTGAAGAGCAATATTACGGAAGCGATTGAACATATTGCTCCCAAAACCTACCAAAAAGTGATGTAAAATAATAAAAGATTAAAATGAAAAAAATTGACGTATTTTATTTCGTTTCACAAATATTCAATATACCGTCGGTCATCTCACGAAGTGACGTATCTAACAAAATTTTCAAAATTGAGTTACGCCGGTAAACAAGTTGTCTGTGCACCCACTTTGATCTCACGAAGCAGCGTATCTGTAACTCTTTTACTTGATGGTATAAAAGCATTTGATTGAAGTAGAGAAATCAAACGTTCCGGAAATATTGCTCGCAAAAGATTCATTGTTTCCCTAGCTGTGTGACAAGTTGCTCGGTCATGCTGGAACCACATGTTTTGCAGGTTAAATTGTTGGATTTGAGGAGCCAGGAAGTTTTGCACCATATCACGGTTGCGCTCGTCAGTGACAGAAAGAGAATTACCTGCAGCGTTTTCAAAGAATTAAGATCAAATGACACCTCCATACCAAACACCGCACCAAACTGACTCGACGTAGTGGTTGTTGATGGGTGACACGAGGGTTCTATAATGCCGAGATACGACAGTTCCGCTTATTAACAAATCCGTTCATATCAAAATGGGCTTAATCGCTCATTATAAGTTGTCGGAAAAAATCGTTATTTTGGGTATTGAGCTGCAATATTGCATGACTGGAATGTCGACGACTCTCATGATCAGTTGGGTTAACTGAATTTTCTATTTCCGCAAATGCAAGTATTTTTATGAAATAGTGCATAATGACGTGCGACGAATATACCCAGTTCTTGAGAACGATGTCTGGTAGTCGTCTCAGGGCGCTCCACTACACTTTCGCGAACTCTCGATATTTTCCGAAGTACGAACAGTTCGAACACGGCCTGACCTTGGATAGTCATTAACTTCTGTTTCTTCAAATTTCCGCACCAACTGACGAATGGTGTTGACACTGGGCACATTATTTCGACCGAAATCTTGCCGTAGCTTCCGAATCGTTGCAACAAGACTCATTATTTACGTTTTAACAATATCCGTCAGTTATATATTGGTATGTACACTGAGAGATTATAGAGGAAATATTTTCGGCTTCTATTATCATTTTCATTACGTTCAAATTCTCACGCATCTATTAGTCAGCAGCCCATAAATGCCTGAAAAGCAACGGCAAGCAAATACGAGGTCTGTGAATTAGCTGAGTGACATATTTTTTATTTAAATATAATTAAATTTTTAAATTGTCACCCTCAAAATAACTGCCTTCTGAAGCCATACAGCGCTAAAGACGGTTCTTCCACTCCTCATAGCAGAGTTGGGACTGCAATACTGTAATAGCCTTCAGCTGGTTGATTACAGGCATTTGAATGTTTTAGACTGTACCAAAATGATGATGAGTAAAAAGTCACAAGGACTCAAATCAGGCGAATATGGTGGCTGTGTGACGAGGAGCATTATCTTGATCTAATGAACGATGGTGTGAGTTCAATTTAACTCTTCCCCAATCATTCTGTCAACCGACCATCTCAAGGTACAAGATTCCGGATACTGTTTCTTCCGCTTCCCACTTCGTCCCTTCTGAAAATGCCTTAAACCACCGATAACCTGTGCTCTTGACAAAACAAAAAGTTTAAATATTATAAGCAGATATTTTAATCACAATGTTTTATATCTATTATTATATCAATGTTCCTAGCAAAGCCATTATGAAGAGTTTGATAAAACTTGGATTGAATAAATAATGATTATCTGCAAAGGCATATTTTATAAGTTACATAAAAGAACAAAGTATTAATAATTTATTCGCTTTATTTATCCAGTCAATAAAAGAGTAATAATTGTTTGTTAGTGTGGCTTTCGATTGTCCTCCCATCTTATTTGATACCACTTGATTTGTGCCAATGAAGTTAATTTTTGCAATAAACTATAGAAGATTCTCAGTAAATTTACACTTCTGAGCATACATTTAAGAGATCGTATTTTCTCATCGTCAGTTAGTAGTGAGATCTTTCTTGTACTCAAATTGTAAATATATGTAAAATTTGATGCATTTTTTCACATTTTCTTTGTACTCTCGAAATATGGACTTCCCATATACCTTATATCATTGTCATAGGACAGTCAATATCTATCATATTAACAGCATAACTATTTTATATAATGTATTACATCAACAAGCAAGACTCTGTTGTACAAGCACAATGGGACCTCGGTTGGCCGCGTGGGTCAGAGTGTCGTGCTACTGATCAGCCGGCCGGCCGGGCCGCGAGTTCGAATCTCGCCTTCGCCATGGATGTTGTGTGCTTGTTTTAGGCAGCAGCGGTGGCCGCAGTAGTAGACTCTTCGGTCTCCTGATCAGTCGCCATGCGCTGTGCGGGTTCGAGTCCCATCCCAGGAGAAATCTTTCTCTTGGCTATGGATGTTGTGATTGTCCGTAGGTGGTAGATGGTCTCTGACTATCGAACGCGGAGGTACCACCCGGCGGTTCTCGTAGGCGGAGCCAGAATGTGTGCATGTTGCATGCACACGTGTTCCCTCGCCAGAGTCCGTGTGGCGTCCCCCCTTTTCCCATGTATCCCCCTATAGCCCACGGTACCCAATGGGTGCTTAGGCCTTGGACCTTCGTGGTAGTTGGAGTATAAAAAAAAAATCCCACCAAATGAATACCAAATTACTGACAAAAACATCAATGATACTCTATATTCCTCCATACTTTCCAGCATAGGGCTAATTTCAGATTTTTTTTGTATTGTTGGGCATGCCTATAATCTCTAGATTCTTTCACTTTTCAATTATATAATCTGGAAAAGCTTTGTCTAATTTTTGTAAATTCTACATACCTTTGAAATTGATGCCATCAAAAGCCATAGCCTGGGTTGTTTCATCAATGGACCTAAACTCTAAAAATGCAAAATTTTTGTCAAGGTTAATCTGACAAGCTAGCACAGGATTTCCTGCAGCCTGAGCCAAACCACTCAAGTGCATCTGCTGGTTGAAGTACTCCATCATCTCTTCTTCTGTCACTCCAAAAGGTATATTACCAACATACAATCGCCTAGCCTGCCTCGTGATTGTAGATCCTACAACTGGAACCTACAAAGAAAAGAAAAAAAACAAGTTTTTAATATTGTATACATACATATAATTTGAACATGTCAAATGTGATTACTCAAGCGGAATCGCACAGCAACCCTCTATTGCATGATTCAGTAGACTACACAGTTGAGCAAGTTCGCAAACATTCCAGGCCGCGACTCGCACTGTGATCAAAATTAGATTGTAAATTCAGACCAGACAAAATTATTTCAGTATACAAAACCGAACAAAATTATTTTTTGGAGCTACAAAATAATTCCAGTAGTCAAATCAATAATGCTAAAGATATTTCAAATGATTTACTTCTTTTCTTTGCTCTATTTCTTCCTTCCTTTCTTTCCTTCTTTCTCTTTTCCTCATGGTTGGTATCTGGGTAGCCAGACCTGACAGACTAACAGACCGACAAGACTTATAACTAAGAGCAGAGGTCCATCAGACTGCTCTGATGAATAGTTAGTTAGTCAAATGTGATACGTCTCTTCTTTCCGCGTCTCTCAAGTGTGCAGACTGTCACTTGATTATGTATAACACTATTTGACCTATGAACATCGAATCTGGTGGAGAAGTAATTTATGGACAGAACATAGCTGATAACTAATTTTGCAATAAGGCTGGGTCAGGGGGTTATGGGCAGATATATGTGAATCTTATAAGTTAATTATCCAACAGTCACAAAAACTCAAAAACTAAGAGCTAAAGGCAGAATTATCATTGAATCATGAAATCTAAAAAAATATTTGATGTATGAAAATGAAATTTGGTAGGGAAAAAGATACACATTAATCATGAAATATTTGAAACCATGAACATGACATTTGGTAGAGATATAGTTCATGGAGAAGGTATGTCAGCTAAAAAATGGATTTTACAACAGAGCTGGAGTACAGGGAACTAAGGGCAGATATGTGTAAGAGCGAAAAGATCAATCAATAAATCTCAGAAACTATTTGACTTACAAAAATGAATGTGGGCAGGGAAGTAGCTTATGGACAGGACATTTTAGCAAAAAATCGATTTTGTGACATGTTAGATTGGGGGATTAAATGTCACAATGTTTTCCAATATTTAAAAATTAGTAATGATTTTTTTTTTTAGAGTAGACTTAAACTAAGAATGGATAGTGTAAAAAGAAATTTGGCATAGAGGTAGCTTTTATAGTATAAAATTTAGTTTGATTTAAAATGCTTAATTGGAAAAAAATGGCAATATTATTCATTTGTTACTTTCTTTCCTATGGTTTTGCCACTGCAGCTTATAGATAGCTCCATTAATAAAATCAAATGTCCCAAGTACACAAGTTGACTGTCAATTTCCTAATGCAATGTAATCATAGCAATACTCAAAAACAATGTTATATGTTAGTAACAAAGTTGCATTGAACATTTAAGACTTACAGCAGCCTGTGGGGTATCAGCAACAATATTTGCAGGAATCTGCCCAGCTGCCTGCATAGCTTTGTACTGTAAAGGAGTAATGTGTTCGAATCCGGGTGGAGGGACATCCCAATACAGGGATGGTTTGCGACGTCTTGAGAAACCGCCGCTGGTTCCCTTGTGCCTTGGAGGACTCGCAGATCGACTGCGTCTTCTAGAACGATCTTTGCTCCTGGACCTGGAACGACGTCTATGCTCCCTTGAACGGGAGCGGCGTCTTCTTTCACGGCTTCTCTCCCTTTCCTTGCCATCTTTAGGGTGGAGATAAAAAAGATTGTGTTAAAAAGATAATAATAGTAATCATACGTTCTTACCTTTTTCTTCGCCCATTTTATTGGTGCTTTAATTAAGTATTTGGACGGATGAATGTAGAGTTTTTTTTATAATTCTTCAGAAAAATTCACACCCACATCAATACTAAAGCTTAAGCGGACTCTACCAAACACAAAATGGCGTCGATGTGATGGCTGATGGATCAATGTCAAAAGTAAAGAAAAAGTCCAAGATCGGAGACGTCAAGTAAGTTATTCGGTACGGAACGAGCTCGCAGGAATAGACCGTTCTTCAATATTGTGTATTTGTATATGTGTAATGTGTATTTTTATATTCCTATAAAGGTTCTGATTTTCACGAGGAATGCATATGCAAGAATATCACTTTTATTTGCAAGTTAGACTTACAAACTTACATCTCGTAATATATTGAATTGTCAGGGGAGTAGCAAAAGGGGGCAGCAGAGGCGGGCGCGGGCTGCACCGTGTGTCACCATTTTTGGGGTGACACCCACCCGGTGACTCTACTTTAAGAACAATGTACAAACGTAAAAAAAATAAATCGCTAGCACACTTCTAGAACACTTCTTCGGTGATTCCTCCACAATCACTAGCTCAGAGCTCAGCACTATGCATAATTGGGGGACTCCCCCAAAATCATGAGACTACGGTATTCCAACAGAAAGACGACTTCGTCGCAAAAAACGGGTGATTGGTGAGATGGCCAGAGATGCAGGACTCACACTGAAAGAAGAACTTTAAATAGATATGTTGGAATGTCTTGACCGAATCAGATTTTACAGAATCTCTTACAAATCTTATGATTGCACTAAAATTGCTCGACAGTTTGCGTGTCCGTAGCTTCATGTGAAAGGAGTTTCAATAAACTAAAATTAATAAAAAACTATTTTCGGGCAACAATGATCCAATCACGGCTTAGCAATTTTGGTATATTAGCCATCGAACACAAGGCAATACAAAATATAAATTTTGATGAAGTTATTTCTGAGTTTGCAGCTGTCAAAACTAGAAAGAAGAGATTTTAATTGTAAGATAAGAATATTTTTCTGTCTTAGTTTTTATTGGGTTTTGTTATTTGTTCAATATTTTAAATATCAAATGAACAGTGACGTTTATAAATCATATAAAATGAATTGCTTTTGACTTTCGATGAGGGTGGCACCACCAGCTTCCGCACCGGCAGGGGTATCACGTATCTTGAAAAGTGACGCCGATTTTTTTTGACATTATGCTGTTTTTTTTTGACATTATGCAGGTTATTCTACAAGATGTTAACTTAGCACTTAGTTGTACGTGTTGCCTAAACGTCATGAGGCTTGTTATCAACCTTTGGCTCTGATGTGAAGTAAAATCTGCTACCTAGTCTACAAGTTGACATCTTATAGGTTTTTTTGACGTTTTATAGGTTTTTTACATGATACCCGTGCGGGTGCCACCCAAGGTAGCTACGCCACTGCATTGACTGACTGCCGAACAAAAGTCAAGTTCTATGATAGAGATGGAATGCCGGACGGTGCGAGGGATGTGTCAACAGTGTCAGGCTGATGTATAACGTCAATCTTGAAAACTGTCAAAGTTTAAAATAAGGGCTTGTCTTTTGGGTAGCAAAATTTTTTGTTTATTTTGATACTTCATTAATTCTTTGATCAAACGTTCGGAAATTTCTTCCTCTTTTGATTTTCAAAAGATAACATTTTTACTGTCAGTAGCGTCAACAGTGCCAACACCCAACACCCATCTAGTAACTAGTAGCGTAAATGACTACACAAAATACGCAGATACTTTCAAAGAAATTGGCCATGCAAGCTCATCAGTGGGGGTTCCGAAGAAATATTTTCTAATCCAAAAATATTTTGGCAAATAAGGGGGAACATTTTTCTTCTACACAGTGTGTTCTGTCAAGGTCTTTCCCATAAATCGTGCAAGCAAGGAGTAGATTCGCCTGAACTTGTAAGTGTATCTTTTTTGCGGTAATCTTACCCTCTCACGTGTTTATCAACATTTCTATCGACTGAGACGTTATGAAATCAACATACAGACATTCACAGCGGCTATACAGGTGACTCCCACGTTTATCCGCTTTAATAAAAACTGTAAAGTAAATAGAAGTGCGGCTCGATCTTTTGAAAACAGTGCGGTAAAAAGTAGTGCGCCTGTTACCAAATTGGATCGCAATGGCTACATACTCCATGACTTCCGAAAACGATGCATGGGCCCTTCTTGCATTGAAATCGGCCCCCGCTAGCCCTTCGAAGGTCCAGTGGAGTCCTGACGATAAAGGGGAAGCGATTGCACGTGTAGAGGGGCGAGATTTTGAATATCTAGTCAGGCAGAGCCGTATTGTTATCGGTAGAAATAGTTCACGTGGTGATGTAGATGTGAATATGGGACATTCTAGTTTCATATCTCGGAGGCATTTAGAAGTTTTCTACGAACATCCGTATTTTTATATGCTGTGCAATGGGAAAAATGGAGTTTTCGTGGACGGCGTTTTCCAGCGGAAAGGAGCCCCATCAATCAGATTACCCAAGACGTAAGTATAGCTCATGTTATGTAAACAAAAGTGCTGCCGTTCTCGTAATTAGTGTATGTTTATCCCGGGAGGCCTTGAGAGGTTAATTTTTTCCGACGATACGATCACGTGGATGTACATTTTCACGAAAATCCTTATTTATTTCTATCCTACAATTATCGAAAATCAATAGTCCTTTCTCGCGGGCTGCATGCTGGTACAAATAAACATTGGTGATCCTTTGATTTGGAACTCCAAGTGAAGTATTTATCGAATCGGATGACGTCAAACGATTTCCTACAAACAATATCTCGCCTTTATTTCTAGACTACATAAGGCTGGGATTTCATTGTACTAATAGTAAATAGAGAGTACAAACCAGTTATATGTACCAAATGTTGGTTCAATATGAAAACAATACTAATGAATTTCATTTTTCAATTGATAACATGTGGTCTTCAACTGGTAAAGTGTTTATGCATTGTAATCTACTTAATTTTTGTCTACAAATTACTGAAGTATCTTTTACATTTTTTCTATGAAATGAAATCAATAATGTAATGCATGTATGTCTATAGTGTCCTTTACTATGGAATTGATCTGCCATGTGAACAAAATGAAATCAATCTCCATATATATATATATTAGCTGAAAAAAATCTTTTGCTTGTTAGATAGCAAGTCAAGGTTGTTTGCTTAATAGCATGTTAACAGTGGAAATATGTAAACAAACAAGGTTCATTATTTGTTGATTTCTGAATATCAAACTGGACTACATTCAAAAAGATATTGGTATTTGATATGATAAAATGAATTAATCTCTGAAATAATGCAGGTTAACTGAGTATATATATATATATATATGCTCTATATTTTTAGAAAAATTGTAATTTTTGTCTCTTCTCTGCACTGAGGAAGATTGCACAATTCCGGTTTTTGGTTAAGTTTCAAACAAGATTATAGTCTGTGTTTCCAGATGCAAGACATTCAGTTATACTGATTTTTCTACAGTCTGTAAAGCATTTGCCCTCTTTATGAGAAACAGTTCTTATTTTCTGATAATTTAGATGGTTGTATCCAACATGGAATCACAATAATTAAGAGCAGAACACATATTGGTCAAATCTGTTTTAAGGACCTTCATGTGCTGTTAAACATCTGGGGTTACTTGCTTTTGGTAAATTTTTGTTAAAGCACATTTATCTTTGCATATTATACCTAGGATATAGGTATATTTTACAGTGTTTAAAGTTAGGAGTAGATCAACAGAAGTCAGGTGATAGAGGGCCGCAAAACCTATCGAATGAACCCTACATGTGTGGTCAGCAATTTTATAGTTCAGGAGATATTTGCAATTTTTTGAACTTAAAAAAAAAACGGATAATGAACTTTCAATCCCAATTACAACTGAACCATTAGGTTTAGGGCTGTGATTTTTTTTAAGCTAAATGGTTCGTGTTCGAGCAATGGTTATGTCACTGTTTAACAGAGCTTACTAGAAATCAATGCAAAAAATCTTGAATTCATTTTCTTGTAAAAAATCGCTTCCATCCCTCAACTTTGGTGCATGGTAAAAAAAGCTGAGGTTGTATTTCATTATTGATTTTACTGTAAAAACTATTTCAATCCATGTAGAATAAACCCTGAAAACTTCAGCGTGCTACAATAAGTACCTCACCTTAAAAAACCTGTATGTTTGGCTTAGGTGGGTATCTATACATGCATGTAAACAAGAAATTCTATTTTACGAGCTACAGTCCAAACAACTTGATGGATTTTGACATATGAGGTATGGTTAGATTGGTCCTAGCAGTGCGAGTGATACTGTATGTATTAACATTTTGTAAAATCAAATTGAGCAAATGAGCAGGGGCATTCAACTTGGCATTCCAGGTGCGGGAGCGTTCGGACCTACCGAAATTACTGATTCAAACAATGGCCCAGCGCGGAATTTGTATTTAACGTTTTTCATCTGAGTAGAATCATATCATATTCTCCGCGAGATTATGCAGAAATGCATTACTATTATGGTGTTGCCCTAGGAAATGCTTGAGCAGCTGCTCACATGTATTGGGAGTATGTGGTTAGAAGAGGTGGACCACAACCGACGGTATATCCTGACTACCGCGTTTTTCTACGCGTCCATAATGCGTATAAGGAGGCACTCATCATCAGCTAGGAATGCCGAGGATACGCCCAGAAGAAATAGAAGATATAATAGAAGCAGCTGAGAGAGATCCCTCCATAAGCACCAGAGACATTGCCCGAAGCAGACACATATCCCATACTTCAGTGCACACAATACTACAACAGGTTGAATTTTGTGTGAATATGGTGAGAAGGTGCGAAGAGGATGTAAACCTTTTTTCGACAGCATCTTATGGACAGACGAATCCATCTTAAAACAAAATGGAATATGTATTCAACATGCACAATTTCCATTCGTGGAGCCTGGAAAATCCACACGCTATTCGCCGATACAGCTTTCAACGTCAGTTCGGCGTTAATTTATGAGCTGGAGTACTCAACAAAACATTAATTGGACCATATGAATTGCCTGCCAGGTTGAATGGTTAGTCATATCTTGCTTTTTTACAAAGCACTTAGCATGGGCTGCTAGAGGATGTACTTTTGGACATTCTAAGCTACGTGATACGCCATGGCACTTTGCACGGGATGTACGGCATTACTTAGACAGTGCATTTCCTGGGCGTTGGATAGGTAGAGGTGGACACATACGATGGCCTCCAAGGTCACCCGATTTAAATCCTCTGGACTTTTTTATATAGGGGTTTTATAAGGGGTTAATTTATATATCTGAATATACAAATGTCAACCAACTGCGCCAGCAAATTGATGAAGAAAAAATAAAAATTGTGGAAAACGCAAATTCATTTCAAAGACTAAATGACAATTTTATTAGAAGGTGTCGCACATGTTCTGTAAAAGTTAGTTAGATTAAATTGTCTTCCAAATTTGCCGGCAAATCGCCATAAAGAGCGGCTAAACACAATAGGTTCTGTACTTGTAGGTGGTAAGGAGGATTCAATTGCGATTCTTACGTTTATCGCATCACAACGAATGTGACATGATACTCATCGTAGAAACCTCAAATTTTCAGGGCTTATTCTATATGGAATAAAATAATTTTTACACTAAAATGAATAATGAAATACAACCTCAATTTTTTTAGCGAGCTCCAAAATTGAGGGGTAGAAGAGATTTTTCACAAAAAATGGATTTGAGATTTTTTGCGTTGATTTCTAATTAGCTCTGTTAAAAAGAGACATAACCATGGCTAAAACTAACCATTTAGCTCATCTAAAAAAAAAACACATCCCTCAACCTAATGGTTCAGTTGTAATTGCGATTGAAGTTTGTTATCCCGTTTTTTTCTAAATTTCACAAAATTGCAAATATCTCCTGAACTATGAAATTTCGGACCACACATATAGGGGTTCATTCGATAGGTTTTGACGCCCTCTATCACCTAACTATGGTGGATCCACTACTAACTTTACACCCTGTATATAGAGAAAATGATCATGCGGTATATAACAAAAAATAGGAAAATAATGGGCAAAGTCCGCAAAAAGAAGGAAAGTGGATTCAAGCGGAAAATAGGATATTTAACCCGAGCAATACGTATTTCTGCTTGTTGGCTTCATCATTACTGAAATGAATGCACATATGCAACCACAAAGGTAGATACACATGTCCATATATCCGGATACGGTTGTAACTTGAGGAAAAATATGACACACGAAGTCTCCAACAAGGGGAACAAGCAGAAATACGTATCGCTCGGGTTACCTATCCTATGCACTTCTCGAATCCACTTTCCTTCTTTTTGCTGATCTTGCCCATTACGTTCCTATTTTTTGTTACACCATTTGTTATACCGCATGATCATTTTCTCTTTGTAGATCCTTTGTGCTTGAAGTACCACAGCAAGTGGCTATTGCCGGCCGCGTGGTTGTGTTTAGATGTCGCCTTGAAAATTTGAGGTCTTCTAGCCATTTTATACAATGCGTAGGTTGGTTCTTGTTGGGGACTTCATGTGTCATACTTTTTCCCTTCTCCATCTTCGTTTCCTTAGGTTACACTTGTATCCGGATGTATCGGCATGTGTATCTACCTTTGTGGTTGCATATGTGCATTCATTTTGGACCTGATGAAGCCAACAAGCAGAAATACGTATTGCTCGGGTTACCTACCCTATTTTCTGCTCAAATCCACTTTCGTTGTTGGGTACTTCGACAAGATTCAAGCAGTGAGAACTCTTTATACTTTATTAGTCTCTAGCTTTCAATGGACTATGCCATCATCGGGAGCTACAATAATATTAAGAAGAAATAGCAACTATTGTGCAAAATGATTTTAAATTACTTACAACAGTATGTGAGATGCTTGCTAAATGTTATTAAAGGTTAAGTTGAGGGAAAGATTTAGTAACCTGCGGAAAGCTGGATCCATGGGATATATATATATATGCTCTGATGATTGCTTACAACTACTTTAAGTTTTTAAAACTATACTAGATGAGGATTTACTTGTACTTAAAACTATTTATGTGGTTCTAAAATTTCTTAAAAGTCATGTTTTTATTGTTTGTAAACTGTTCCCCTCTGTAAGGGTTAATACTCCCAGTGTATCTAAGTCAACCTACTCAGTTCTTTTTTTCTTTCTATAGTCATATGTGTTTTTTTTAATTAATACTAATACTTAATAACTTGTTTTTCAGATGCACATTTAGATTTCCAAGTACAAATATTCGACTATCTTTCCAATCACTGATTGATGACAATAATTGTGAGCCTCCACCCAAGGTAAGTGAAATTTTTGTTAAAATTCTTGGTTTGTAGTAGGGATCCACAAATACAAATATGTATGTCAGCTTATTTTGTCAATATGTATATAAGTATATATATATATATATATATATATATATATATATATATATATATATATATATATACAACGTGGCCCATCCATGTGCGGATGGAATATTACTCATAAACAAATACATTTTGGGAAAATCAATTTATGGCATTTGAGGGCACATTTCTAAAATATTGGCAATTATACAGGGTGTCCCAATTTTGACCTACATATCAAAGTTGTGATTTTTTAAGTGGAATGCCACAAATTTTATTGCATGTTTGGATAAACCATTTCAATAATTAGCTACTGAGATGTAAGGTGTTTTGTCCAGAAAAACCGTCCACTTCGGCAATCCCTCAAACCGCTATTTTTATATTTGGAGTGCTGAATTTTGTGTCAAAAGAAAAATCAATTTTTAAACACGCTTTTATTATAATGCTCACAAAGCTAATTTTTAGTTTGTAACTAATAAACCATTTATTTGTTTCCAAGGATGGTGCGATCTTTGGGAATTAAGCCATTCCATAAAAGACGTGCTTGCTAATAACCGAAAAAATAGCCATACAAATCGTTATGTGTGTAGTATCAAAAAAAGCTTATAAAAACTCAAACTTGCACAAATATACAGGGTGATGCATTTGAATTTTTGAGAAAAACTACAGTTTGCGTTTTTGACCACCCTGTATGAGCAAGAATTTAAATTCGAAAAAGTAACAAATAAGATAAAAGCTGAGGTGTGTTTTCTTTGATACAAAATTCAGCACTCCAAATTTGAGAATGGCGGACTGAGGGGTTGTCGAAGTGGGGGGTTTTTCTAGACAAAACACTTTATATCTCAGTAGCTAATTACCAGAACCCCCTAGTATGTTATATCAGTTTTCTTCTTTTGAATTGGTTTATCCAAATATGCAATAAAATTTGAGGCATTCTATTTGAAAAATCACAGCTTTGATATGTAGGTCGAAACTGGGACACCGTGTATAATCGAGAATATTTCATAAATGTGCCCTCAATGTTATGTATAACATCCCATAAATAGATTTTTCCAAAATGTTTTTGTATGAGTAATATTCCGACAACACATGGATGGGCCACCCTGTATACATATATAACAAAAAGTCGGATTATCTCTTTATATATATATATATATATACAGGGTTTCTCCGGAAAGTAATAGGACTGAGCCGATTTAAAAAAATTTATTGAGCCAATCGTTACAATTCTTTAAAAACTTTCAAAATAGGCTCCTTCTGCGTCGATGCAGCGCTGCCAGCGCGATTTCCAAGCATTGAAGGCGTCACGGAAGGCATTCTCTGGAATAGCCTTGAGAGCCGCGGTGCATGCTGCTTGGATCCCCTCTGTCGTCTCAAAATGCTTGCCTTTCATCGGCCTTTTCAGGCGAGGAAACAAAAAAAGTCCGGGGAGGCCACATCTGGGCTGTAGGGCGGCTGCGGAAGCGTTGGGATGCCGGCCTTGGTCAGGTAGCAGGTCAGGAAAGGCGGTGTGAGCCGGGGGCGTTGTCGTGGTGCAACTTCCAGTCGGCTGCGATGTCTTGTCGGACCCGACTGACCCTTCGTTTGAGTCTCCTGAGCACTTCCACGTAAAACTTGGCATTGTCGGTTTGTCCAGGAGGAACAAATTCATGGTGGACGATGCCTTTGATGTCAAAAAAGACAATGAGCATCGTTTTCACTTTGGATTTGCTAATTATTCCCTTTTTTTGGGCGAGGAGACGCCGTCGTGTACCACTCGGAAGATTGCCTCTTTGTCTCGGGATCATACTCAAAGATCCACGACTCGTCACCTGTGATTACGTTATTAAAAAATCGGGAGCCACTTTCACACATGTTCAAATTTTCTTGGCACACTCCCACTCGCCGCAATTTCTGGTCGTCAGTGAACACTTTTGGAACCATCTTCGCGCACACCTTGAGCATGTTCAAATGCTGTGTCACAATGTCATGAACCACAGATTTTGGTAAATTTAACATCTGGGCAATTAAACGAATACTTAGTCGACGGTCTGAGTTCAAAACTTTGCGCACACGAGTCGCATTATCGGTGTTTGTCGAAGTCGAAGGTCTTCCAGCACGGTCTTCATCAGCGACCTCTTCCCGGCCCTCCAAAAAGGCCTGGTGCCACCGAAACACACCACTTCTTGCTAAAGCAACACCTGGGTAAGGCCTGCTTGATCATATCAAACGTCTCTGTCGCAGATTTACCGAGTTTCATACAGAATTTAATCGCCTACCTCGGCTCTAACGAACGCTACATTTTCGGCTTGCACCACTCACAGAAACACGTCGCGCGAAAATGCCTGTCCTGACTCTCCAAGTGCTCGGAGACAACTGACCAGCCGCTCATTCGTTAGCTAGGAACGCCCTCTACCGAATCCCGTCGGTGCGCGCACGCTCCGAAGTACAGTCGTGGCGGAAGAAAATGAGTCCTATTACTTTCTGGACAAACCCTGTATATAAGCTAGAATGTTCTAACCCATGTTATGCTCTGTTTATGGAATCATCTACTGTTATTAGTAGAAATTGAAAGAATATATTTTTTAACTAAATTTTATCAGTTTCTAGACTAATCATCATAGTGCTATTCTTATACATTTGTTTGCCTAAATGGTGCACATTTGGTGAATAGACAAACTTGATGTGAAGCTGTCATTTCCATAAGTTATCAGTTTTTCAACATTTGAAAGCATGAATATAGTGGCAAAGCACAGCTACACTGACACTTTGCTGGAAGACGACATAACTTTAATCTAGCTCAGTCAATTATGAAAATCATAGCCATAGAGTGGTACTGGTAATTCACCATATTCCTTCCAAGGTTTGATAGGGAACTTGTATTATGCAGGTTCGAAAACAATACTCCTTGATATTTTCCAATTTTTGCTATTTTTGATCAATATCTCAAAATTAGAATAAAAGGAAATTATGTGAGAAACGTGTCAAAATTCAATTGGTTTTCGTAGTTTATATCTTACTTTCAAATAATCATGAAACGTGCAGATATTCTACATACAATAAAATATCAGCTGTTCCAAGAAATAGAATTGTTTTGTTTTCATTGCTAGACTAGAGTCATCTTTCCAAAACATATACACATACATCAGTGTTAAAGTTTTTTTGTTTCTATTAAATAGTCAGTCAAACTGATTTAGGTCAAATAATGCTTTGGCAAATTGATAATACCGCCAATTATTTTTACTGAACGTATTTGTTTTTTTAAATCATGTTTAATATACGCATCTTAGTTTCGAATAGAGTTCTGCATTCACTTTCATCTTCCTGCAATTCTGTGGTAAAAGAGGACGCTCAGTATTGTTAAAATATTTACTATGTGCTAGAGAATGTTTTCCTAGCGCATAGTAAATCAATATAAGGCAAAATAATTAGATCCGCATTCGCAACTAAGAAACTTGTATTGAGTATGATTTTTAAAAGATAAATGGGCGGATATACGGTATTTCGGTTTCCAGTGTCAACTAGAAAAAATAGCTTATTTTGTTTTCATATTCATTTTTACGATATTTGGACGGCTTTTTGCAGAAAGGAAACAACCCAGAAAAACAATTATTGAGAAATTAGGCTTAATAGTTTTGACAATGATAACAAATTCATTTCAGACCAAACACAATTTCAATTAATGGTATACTAAAGGCTTTAAATATGTGTATGAATCTTTTTAATAGTGAATGGAATTTCTCGTTTATTTTTATAAAACCTAGTTACTGACATGTGAGCAACCGACGCGTTCCTGGTTTCACTAGGCCAAATCGCGCTAGTTTCAAACTATAATTTCTTGATTTGTTACGTATCGATCAGGGTCAAATCGCAAAATTGCCAAATTTACACGAAAATGTGCAATTTGAATTGCACCATCTGGGGATGACACCACTAAAAGTATGATGTTCAAGCATATATACAAATTTCTAGTGTCCCTATTCATGAAAATATCTAATGTGTGTGTGTTTTATAGCTCTTTAGAAAGATGACTATATGGGCAAGTTTTTCTAGCCATTTGGACTACCAATATACTAGCAGAGTTACATACAGTTGTGTCCTAAGGGAAACCAAAAACTAAAACAATTTTATTTTATGGAATTATTTATTGTGTCTAGCATGTTTGCACTATTTATGATTATCCTAATTTAAGTGTTAACTAGGAAAATTCAATTGCATTCTCACGCGTTTCTTACATAGTTATTTTGTTCATTAGACTCAAATTAGGCTTGTAAAGTATTACTATTGCAAACTACTGATTTTCAACTATAAATATTTGGGATAAAATTTGTATTCTAAGTCCACTATCACACCTTGGAAGGAATATGGCTATTTATCTGTAACCCTGTATACAATATCCACAGTATTCAGGACAGTACTATAGGCACAAAACTGATTGATGTACCTAGTAATACGATTTCAATATTTTTTTATAATTAAAATGCATGCTCACACCAAACTCAATTGTATCAAGTAATGGTGATCTTGGTTTGAGTAGTTATAAACAGCATGCCAAAAGTTAAAATTAAATTCTAATCAGCGATGTTTTTGTATATTTAGTGTTCAACCAGGACGGATTTGCTTTGTTTACAAACGAGTCCATTTATATAAAATGCAACTAAATGGAGCTAAATTAGTGTAAGTGGGTTAATATCTAGGTTAATGTGTGGTATAGAACGATGTAAATCACTCTCTTTCTTTATTAGAGCTACTCATAGCTTGTTTATAATCAAACTAGATAATAAATAAGTTGTTCCTACTTTTGGTATGACTCATATTGTTGAGTCTAGCAATTTAGAATAAGTTGTCGAGTGTCGCATCCTGAAGGACTTGACTTCGGCCATTGTGACGGTAAAACTAATAAAGTGAAATCGAATTATAGCATAATGCAGATATTGGATAAAATGTACAACTCGAAGTGGAAGGCCTTAGTAATAGATCGATATAATTCTCAACAAGGCATGTATGAGAAAATATTGACACAAAAATCATCTCATATAACAACATTGTTCAAAGGCGCATTGATGTACCATGCTGCCACATTGTGAAATGAATCAGAATCATAGGAATTCCCAGTTCACATGTCGCAATTTGAGAAAGTTATGATTTCTTTACCTTATTGGCGTTTTTTAACATTCTCTTTGCTTTTAAGGTTCGAGACATTTCACCCGTGCGGATGCGAGATCGTTCAGGTGGCGGAGCTCAAGCAACATTACATCCTCTTAGGATCAACATACCAGATGCGGAGTATGGTAGTCCATTTCCATCTCCAACTGGCACTATCAGCGCTGCTAATAGCTGTCCTGCAAGCCCTAGAGGTCAGTATCTAGGAACATTATGGTTTATACTTACCCAATTAGAATCATCACATTTTGTCACAATATACAGGATGTTCTGAATGTTAGGACATTTTTTTTAAACAACTACAATTGATAAGCTTATGTGAGGAAACAACAACGTAACAAAAAATTGCAGAGATCATTTTAAAAAAATGCCAGGCAGCACTTTTTCACATGTTACTTATATGAGTGAAGACTCTTCAATGTGGTCGATCAAACATTGCTATCTTCCTTTTACAACATTCATCGTGTTTTGGTGTTGAACTCTATCTACCTCAATCCTGATTTATAAATAAACAGCTAGGTATACCTGCACGGCACACAAAGCTTGCATGGAATATCTTTGAGATACGCCGGTCGACTTCATTTACCTTTGGTTTAATCTGTATTATACTCGTTGTACATCAACAATTTCTTCACGAATTTATTCAGATGGATTTCTTCAAGGTCATCCTGATTATGCTTTCTGGTGTTTACATCTATGCACAAATTCGTGGATTATCTGTCAGTAATCAGTCCTGCCAACCACACAATTAATTCCAGCTAGAAATATTTTGAGCTTAGGTTGACAGCTGATGTGATGACGTTAGCAACCGGTACCGTTGAATGGTCGTTAATAAAAAGACGCATTTTTAGCCTTCAGGTTGCTGTCATATGAGAAAATCTAACTTTTCTTTTATCGTAAATGGATACTTGTTAATTTGAACACCGTATCATTTAAAATAATTATGGAAATGTACGCAGCAGTTGGTATTGTCGTGGAATGTTTGTTAAGCTATTCGAGTGATGATTCTGATGAAGAAGTTATCCAGCGGAGAGAATTTGCGCTCCGAGAATCAATATAAGAACTAAAATCAGGAAACCCAGAAATTTTCAGATATTACGAGGCATTGATTTGAGATCGTCGATGCTTCCCGAATAAGAACCATCCGTATGGATTTTCTGAGAGCATTCCTGTAATCATATAGGAATAAAAACAGAACAAAATCAGAAAATCGACATTTTCGGACTTACGAGGATTTGAGATCGTCGATATACATAATTGTGTTGAAAAAAAACATAAAATTTCACGCGACTCCTATGCTGCTAACTTCAATCTTTTCTTCTTCCATTTTTTCACACAAAAGAGTAGTTGTCAAAAACTGATAAAATGTAGAGGTTAGAATATCGTGGATCAACCGAGCCCGAACGTCGGTAGATGCTGCTGGCACCGGTGGCATATCCACCATCAATATAGAGACAAGTTTGATGTACAACCGGTCGTTCCAGCGGAAATTAAAGGACGCAAACTTGGCTAACCGGTTGCACCGGTAGCTCAATCGGTGAATTAAAGAATATACCTTTTTTATGTCTATTATGTATTATCAAAGTTCTATACTTGAATTGAAAAGTTGTCCAATATAATGAAAAGAAAAACAAGGTAGACACCATGGAATTTGACATCAAACTTGTAAAAAATTAGAATAAGTTCTAAATCGTGAAGAAGTGCACGGAGAACTTTATTTGACGTGAAATTCCTATTTTACACTTTAAAAATTTGGCCATGAACTCAATCCATGAAGAAATATGTGGATTTATTCTCAGTGTAAAACTGTCCTAGTGCGGCGCGCGTGGACCGACGGCTGTTACAAGCTTCAAGGTTAGGCGACGTGTCTGGTCGTCTGGCTAGTAGCGGCGTGGCAGGGTGACGCTAGTACGCGTTCCAACACTTCCCCTCGAGACGTAGCAGACACATACGTGTCGTCTGTAGTCCCAAAAGTTCCATGCACTTCCGATGTTTTGCCTTTGGCAACCCCTTCGTCAATACGTCTGCGGCCATTTCAGAAGCTGGAGTATGCTTCAGCTTAAACTTCTTCTGTTCCAGGGTCTCCCGCACAAAATGGTAACGTATGTCGATGTGCTTACTTCTGGAATGATATCTTGGGTTCTCGGCCAATTTGATAGCACTCAAATTGTCGCTATACAGGGTTACGTTAGCGAGTCTTTCGAACCCAAGTTCGATCATGAACTTGCCCAAGTAGATTGCTTCCTTGGCAGCTTCGGTGGTACCCAGATATTCCGCTTCGGTGGTAGACAATGCCACTGTGCCTTGCTTCCTCGATTCTAACGATACGGGTCCGCCTGATAGGATGAATGAGAATCCGGTATACGAATGCCTATCGTCAGGGCAGTTTGCCCAATCAGCATCAAGTATACTATCGAGTGATCGATGGTGCCCTTTAGATACCCAAGCACTCGTTTTGCGACTATCCAGTGCTCCTTAGTATAACAGTTGTTGAACTGTCCTAAGTAGCTTACGGCAAAGCTAATATCGGGTCTCGTTCCCAACGATAGATAGGTTAGCGCGCACCTATGAGCTCTCTATAAGGTAACTTCAGCTCTTCACTAGATGGGCTCTCCGTCGGTTTCCTTAACTTCGTTCCTGGATCAAGTGGAGTGCTTACAGTGTTCGCATCTGCCATATTGAATCGATCCAGTATTTCCAAGATATAGGCTATCTCACTTAGACTTATCTTGTTTTTCTTGAGTGAACATTCCATCCCTAGGCAATGATTAACTGCTCCCAGATCTTTCATTTCAAATCTTTCAGATAATTTGGCTTTTAGGGACGATATTTTTTGTCACGTGATGCAATAATCACACCACATTCAGTAAGTGTCTGGCTTAGTTTCTGATACCAGCTCCGACCGGCTTGCTTCAGGCCGTATAGTAACTTCCTGAGTAGACATACTTTATCACCTTTTTCCAGCGTGTTCAAGGTATCTCGAGCCTTCTTTCTGGTAGCCTTGTCGTATTTCGAGCTATCACAAATAATCTTTAATGATTCATCCAAATATTCGAGGGTTTCCATGTAAATCGTCTCATCTGGACTTCCATTTAAGTATGCGCAGGTAACATCCAGTTGCTGCATGTCCATATTTAAATGTCCTGCTAGGGCAGATACGAGTCTTATGGAGCTAAGTCTTGCTACAGTGGCAAAAGTCTCGTTAAAGTATATTCCGGGCTTTTGGCTAAATCCCCGAGCGACTAGTCTTGCCTTTCTCCTTTCAATAGTTCCATCAGGCTGATACTTGCTTCTCAGGACAATGCGGCTCCCAACGATGTGCTGGTTACATGGTCGGTCGACTAATTCCCAATTACCATTCTTCAAGATAGATGCCACTTCGTCTGCTTTATTTCGCCAGATACATAACTGCAGTGGTCGTTTCTTACCAGCAATGCCCTCATTTGTATTTTCCACGTGTCGTAGTTATCCCTGCTGAGCGAGTCTATACAGGATACTCTTGCCACACTCATGTTTGATAACACTAGTCACACACTTCCTATATTATCTTCAAGCACTTGCCAATATTGTTCAATGTCCGTAGCACTGTCTCTGACACGTAACCTGTTGAGGATTGGTAAGCAAAGCAATTCAACTCGCAGTGGTCTTCGGTTCAGAACAGTTTATTGAGTACTTGTACATGAAGGTGTAGAAACGCGACAGGTGTATACAGGGCTTCCGCGATCCTCGCGCGTGCGTTGGCTGCTGTTGTTCTTCAACTGCTTCCTACGACTGACTGCATTCGTAGTGCAGCGCGCGCGGACCGACGGCTGTTACAAGCTTCAAGGTAGGGATGCCCACGATGTATCGATGTATCGAAAGTATCGATATTTTTGTTTCGATTTTCGATGATTTTGCATCGATATTTTTGTTCCGATGTATCGAATGTATCGAAGTACTGCCTATAGATGTATCGAATCGCTTCACTATATCTAACAAAAAAAAAGGAACATTGGCAACAATGCTTTGATGCCCTGCGTTCGGGGAATCCCATTTTTTTAACCAACACTGCAGAATTGTGCCGACTTGTAAACAGTTTTTTAGTGTTGTTTTGAAGAGCTAATGTAACGTTATTTTCGAACGGTGCTGTTCAATGTTCGTATTTGTGTCTGTTCTACATTGAAATAACTAATAATTACATACTCTACAAGTAAGTACTTATTTGTCTTTACAAATTTAAATCATGTTGCGAACGCTTGTCGCAAACTTATTATTAATCAAAATTAGCATCGTATAAAACAAAAAACATTTTTATCTCTTTTTAAGCTCAAAATGGCACCTCTAAAAAGCAACGTTTGGCGACATTTCTCAAAAAATTCAGCAAATACTGCCACTTGCCGTTATTGTTCTAAAATTCTAAAAACTTCTGGAAATACTACGAATTTATTGCTGCATCTTGATCGCCTGCATAAAAATATTAATCCAACTAAGCCAGTGCACTCTAAAAAAGAACCTGCAGGTACAGGTACTGCCTCCAAAAGCAATTACTACGATGACGATGTATTACCAGGGCCATCCAAAGCAAGATCTCGATCTCCTTAGCCAGTAAGTTCAGAACAAAGTTCATCTTCATCTTTCACAGTTGCCCCAAAGCGTAAAAAACCATGACAGATTCGTTTGAGTATATACGATCGTTTTCAGAAGGTGAAAAAATCGTCAAATAAAGGAATCGATTTTATATATGATATGTAAAGATTTACAACCATTTTCTTTTGTTGAAAATGAAGGCTTCCTGAATTTGATGAAGGTAACTGTTCCTCAATTTAAAGTACCAAATAGAACTAGCTTTACTCGACTTTTGGACCTCAAATATGATTGTGTAGCTGCGAATGTTCGTGAAAAGTTGAGTAAAACAAAGAATATTACACTAACCACGCACGTGTGGACTGATACGATGCAGACGCGAAGCTTTTTAGGCCTTACAGTACACTATTGCTCTGATAATGAAACAGAACTAGCATCAAGTACTTTGGGTGTAATCGAGCTTCAAGAACGGCATACGAGACAATATTTAGCTGATGAATTAGTAAACATCTGGAGAATGTGGAATATAGAAAAAGAAAATATTTCAGCAATCGTAACTGACAGCGGTGCCAACATATTAAAAGCAGTAGAGTTGGGGTTTGGAAAAAAATATAGTCTTCCCTGTTTTGCACATTTAATTAATTTGGTTGCTGAAAAATCTGTTAGTGACGTTGCTAACTTGTCTACTCTGATATCAAAATTAAAAACGATTGTTACCTGGTTTAAAGCAAGCGTAGTGGCTAGCGACGAACTAAGAAAGCAACTGGTACTGAAACAAAACTAATTCAAGAAGTTAGTACTAGGTGGAATTCTAAGTACTTTATGAGCGTTTTTTGGAACTAAGACCAACCATAAATGAAATTATTAATCGACATAGATCAGCACCAAATATGATCAGTGCAAAAGAAGCTGAAGAACTAGAAGAGATTAAGCACTTATTGCGACCCTTGGAAGCGGCAACTAGAGAATTATGTGGGGAACATTATGTAACCAGCAGCAAAGTTATCCCAATGGTACACTGCCTTCTCGGTAAAATTAATGAAACGTCAGCTGTTTTAGAAATTGGTAAAGAATTAAAAAAAAGTTTGCTTAAACAGATGAAAAGAGATTTGGAGATATTGAAAACGTAGAGATACTAGCAGTGTCCACATTACTGGATCCACGTTTTAAAAGACTTCATTTTAAGAACCCATTAGCTTGCGCAAATGCTGTTAATTTATTACAATGCCTTTACAAAGAAGAACTTAAGTTACAGAAAGCTGGAGAACCTTACGTTGGCGATGTTGACGGAATTGACAATGTAGATGCAAATCCTGGTAAAACTAATATTTTTCAATAAAATGAAAGCTAATTTTTGCATCTATTTTTATTTTTTCAGGCAGTTCAAAAGAATTTAATTTGTGGAGCGGTCACCATACAATTGTTGAACGAACGAAATCGAAACAATTAGATGAATATTCTACAGATATTACATCAGAAGTCACTCAATACTTAAGGAGTCCAATTTCCAATTTTTCTGATAACCCGCTGTCTACTTGGAAAGCAATGTCTGGAACACATCCCATCCTAGCAAAATTGGCCCAGAAATACTTATCGATTGTGGCAACCTCCGTACCTTCTGAACGTCTTTTCTCTAAGGCAGGGCAAACACTGACACAAACGAGAAATCGTCTGAAAGGAAAAATACTTTCAAAGTTACTATTTTTAAATAGTGTTAATAAGAAGTTTTGGAATGTGTAAATTAATTTGTTTTTATTTTATGTTGCAGTTCATTTTCTATATGGATTTAGGATTATATGTTTAGAGTAATCTGTAATCTAATGTATAACTATATTCCAAAAGTATATTTTTAAATAAAATGAGTCTCCTTTATAATAGACTTTTTACTTTAATATTTAATGACTAGTTTTTCCAAAATGATTTGAATTATGATTATTTACTTTACTAATCAAAACTAGCAAAATTCGCTGATTCGATACATCGATTTTTTTGAAAATATCGATGTATCGGAAAGAACGATGTTTTCAATTTTCGATACATCATTTGATACCAGTATCGATGTTTTTTCAATTTTGGGCATCCCTACTTCAAGGTTAGGCGACGTGTCTGGTCGTCTCGCCAGTAGCGGCGTGGCAGGGTGACGCTAGTACGCGTTCCAACAATCTGGTATTACTGGTTCACAACAAAAACACGGCAATCTATGAGCGAACCGTCGTTGGTTTGACGTTGCTAAATTTATGCTGATCTGGCTAAAGTACAGTTGTTTTCATCGTTATTGGCGATACGGTCATAATGTCAAAAATAATTAAAAAAATTTAATACCCTGTCGACATTCCTATGTTTTATATTGGAGTTCAACAAGTCGTAAACTCATATCGCACGCCCATGACAAGCAGCTTGTCATACTGACAGTGAGAAGCATACATGTGGAAAACTCATACGTTGACATGAAAATCCTTAAAGCGGCGAGACAAAACTAACAAAATATGTATCTGGGAGATTAGGAAAACAAACTTCCGCTCAGAGAGGCCTATTGCATATTTATGTGTAACAGAGATGGATATATGAAAGTAATTCATGTAGTTTTTTAACTATGACCGGCCAAAAACCATGGAAAGGCCATAACGTTTCTTATTGTTGTATATTCCATACATTTTACTAATTGCATTTGCTTAAATATGAATTCCAGATCTAAAAACTGAGCTTTCCAGAATACGATTTTCGATGGGATCCATTAGTTAACATGAATGAATATTAGAATGGCATTAAATGAAAAATATACTGCACATGGATGTTAAATATCCCGACATGAATAAATGTCCAATGTTAATTGGAACAGAAAATGATTAATCTTTCACTCCAAGTGATGGGCAATGAATTCATCAAAAAAGGATTATCTGGCAACACCGCATACACGTGGCTAGAGGCCATCAGCTGTTTTGTGGATCCCATGTTTTTGGTTTAACGAGTCTATCTCTCTAATTTATTCGCCTTGTCTAACTATCTTCTCTTGAGATAACTACTCTAGTTGGATACTTTTTACGCTAAGACAGGACCAGATTTGGTGTCCTAGATTTTGTCAGAACTTTATCAGTTATCTCAACTTTTTTGTATGTATTATTAGGAAGGTTCGCTTACTTTTACAAGAACTATACAGGGTGTTCATTTGAAAACTTCCCACCACGGCTTTATCAAAACCACTGATTAAAAGAAAAAACGCCGAGACACGTCAAAAGATTTGTGAAAGGAGACATCTTTTTAACCAAAAACTACTGTACCCCCTTTCATCCTCTGTCCCCCAGGGTCAGCCCCTTCAAAATTTTAAGTGACAAGGGGTATCGAGAAATAGCTTGTTTGAAAGGTCTTTCGAAGTCCTCTATTTTAATATTTTAACGTTTGATTTTTTAAAATCAGTTTTTTAGTTTCCGAGAACATAAGAAAATTTTTCATTTATCTTAATACACCAATATATCACTTTTTATTCTAATAAGAGCTCAAAATGTTGCCCGTTCGGGTTTGCCAAATCTATAATTTGTTTATAATTGGAAACGGAAACTACCAACGTGTTAAACGTCGCAACAACCAAATAACAACCCGAATTTTTTTCAGCATTCTTTTTCAATAAAACATATCCTGGGCGAACTTCATTTATTGTTAGACCTGTTTAGTTATTTGTTGCTAAGGGGAAAACAGAATTGAATTTGCTGTCAGTTACCTTTGTGACAATCTTGGGATAGTGAAAACTAATTTATTGATTCAGATTTTTACTTCCAAAATGGTTTACACACTAGCTGAAACAGTGGAAACGCTTCTAATTTTTGGTGCCCAAAATCAATGTGCTCGGCAAACTGCCTTCAGGTTTAACGCCGAACATCCGGGGAAGATAACTTTGCATAGGTATGCTTTGGACTTTGTTACTAAATTTACTCAAACTGGATCTGTTGCAAATAAAAAACATGATCATTGGAGAGTTTTGGATGAAGCCGCTCAAGTTGAAGTTTTGGGTCATTTTGGAATAATTCCCAATACTTCATCACGAAAAATTGCAAGAGTTAACTGAAGGTGAATTCGATAGGCGAGTTGAGTTTTGAGAACAAATGACTGCAGCGATTAATGATAATACCATTCGTGTAAAGCATATGTGCTTCAGTGATGAATGTACATTTTATCTAAATGGATTTGTTAATAAGCATAACTGCAGGTATTGGAACAATGACAATCCTCATGTTTTTGTAGAGGGGCATACCCAGTACCGCCAAAAAACTAATGTATGGGCAGGCATTTCAGGAAGCAAAGTGATTGGGCCATTGTTTACTAATGAAAATTTGAATGGAGACATTTATTTGGATAAGTTGGAAAATACCATCAATCCTCTTACTGAAACCATTGAAAACAAATTCGAAGAGGATGGAAACCCTATACTGGTTGAGACTGATATATATTTCCAGCAAGACTGCACTCCTCCTCACCATGTTCTTTAGGGCGAATAGGGCCTATAGAATGGCATGCAAGATCTCCTGATTTGACGCCATTAGACTTTTTTCTATGGGGCCATTTGAAATTTATTGTGTTTACTTCCCAACCTGAAAGTTTGGATGAACATCGTCAACACATCATCGATATCACACCTGTTTTTGAAAATGTCACTCAGGAATCGCCTATATCAGGGCTGTCCAACTTATGTGGCCCAAGGGCTACTTCAAAAACAAATGCAGTTTGGAGGGCTGCATTATAAAATCTTTCTATGCAACATTATTACTGGGATTTAATAGGTATATACTATACTATACGGTATACATATATGTATACATGACCCGTGAAGCGGGCCGCAAGAAAGGAGTTCGCGGGCCGCATGCGGCCCGTGGGCCGTATGTTGGACAGCCCTGGGCTATATCATTGTTTGGATAATAACGGGCAACGTTTTGAACACTTATTGAAATAGAAAGTGACATTTTCGTGTGTTTTTGTTTTTTATCTGGACAAACTAAGATAAATAAAGATTTCTTGAAAACGAATCGACTGTTTTTGAAAAGTCAAACGTCAAAATAAAGGACTTCGAAAGACCCTTCAATCAAGCTATTACTCGATACCCCTTACATTTAAAATTTTTAAGGGGATGACCCTGGGGGGCAGAGGGAGAAGTAGTTTTTGGTTAAAAAGTTGTCCCCCTTGACAAATCTTTTGACGTGTCTCGGGGTTTTTTTTAATCAGTCGTTTTCGATAAATCCGTAGTGGGATGTTTTCAAATGAATACCCTGTATGTAATCCTGTGTGAGGTGAAGTGCCAGCTTTGGGAGCAAGCTGCGTACTGTGTGTGCGATAATAATATTTTAAAACGTGTTTAGTCAGAATACTCCTAAAATCTACGTTTTCTTTTCAAGCTCATGGTGGGCATTCTGCCAACCATGGCAAGAGAAATGTACAAGCAGATCTGCAAATGGTTGCCCAGTATGCAGCCCAGGTGGCCCATCGTGACGATAGTCACCATGTTCCTCCAAGTAATAGCCCTGATTACCGGCAAAGCACATCAAATGGAAATGCTGTAAGTATTGGACACTACCTTTAACTCACAAGTTTAGTTGTTCTATTGGTTCCCAGTAAACAAAATCACTTTTAATGCATTTTCAAATAATGCCATCTAATAACAATATCACCTTCTAAACACGTACCTATATAAATAACGCCCATCAATACAATGTGCTAAAAATATATTACAAAAACACCACATAGCTGCGGAACGATCTAAGAATATTAGCATTAGGTGATTTGACAAAGTCTTCCTAGTGAGCACACATACATCCAACAATCTGGAAATTATGTGATACTGACGTTTTGCATCTAATATTATTATTATCTGAATGTTCGTGAAGTATCCAGTGTTTCGTCATAGAAACGTGTAATGGCTGCTTCAGGAATATTCACATGATTTCACCATACGCACGCGAAAATGTCAAGTCCAATCTCAAAACGAGGAATTGAAAACCTAATAAAGCAACTTGACTATGCATTCATAATAGAACTAATATCATACGTAAAGTCAAGGTCCCGTTCTATCGTCTTCCAAAAATCTAATCTTGTTTTTCTTAGACAGTCGTTTCTACAATTGTAGGATGCCTTTATGGCCTCCTTGATTTTCGCGGCATTTTATCTCGTTCAAAAAGGCTGGGGTATTTCAAGATTTCTACTGTTCCGTGTCAGCGTCAGCACTCTAATAGTTTTGCTTTCTTTTTAATAAGTTGTAGGAAACCGAACGCAAGAACAATTTGATGCAAATAGATTTTTGTAAGATAACCTCAAAATAGAGTACCTTTCCGAAGGACAGGAAAACCATGAAAATCAAGGAGGCCATAAAGGCATCTTACAACTGTAGGAACGACTTACTCTATTCATATATTTCCTACATCTCTCCATCAGCTGTAGATGCCAATTTCTTCTCACTACAAATTAAACTTCCTATTAATAGATCTTTTTGGAGGTTATGATCTTGTAAACACCTTACTCAATTGACCCAGTGTCCATTAGTCAGATGAATTGAGATTCATAATTATCACGAAAGTTACCTTTTACCTCAAAGTAATGTACCACTTGGAGACATGATGTATGCTATATGTTAGGTAGCACAGTTAGAGTAAAAGAACATGGAAGCCGGTGAGCGTCACATCGCACATGCGTTATAGGCCGAAAAATTCACCTGATGTAATGTGCTTAACACTTGTCGGGAATGTAGCTTTTTATTTTGACATTTTGTAACTGCAAGTCTTAAAGGTGAATATTCTTAGCATGTGAGAATGGCTCGCCTTTATGTGCATATGCTATGAACATTTTCGTTCCTAATGCTCTTAGAACGTTCTTCAGGAGAATATCCTTTAAAGGGATATGAAGAGTATGTCTGAGAACATAGTTCATTAGGATTTAGAATCTAACACGTACATTCCAAGAGTTTGAATATACCTTTGCAAGTTTTCAGGTACTATCCATATCACTTTTATGATTTATCGCATAATGGTTTCACAGCTTTTGTACTTCATTCTAAACTTATGCTTTACTAGTGTTCTAAGAGAGCTTGAAGCAGCGCAGTACATGATTGGTTGGACAAATAAAAACAGTATTATTAGAATGTTGTTAGTGCCTTGAACAATACCCCAAAAATTTAACGATTGACCCCATTATTTTCTATCGCAAATCTCCTCATAATGTAGAGATAGATAGAGAGTTTTATTGGTCTTGTTTACACGAAACGTGTTTACAAAGCCCAATATGTGTGTGGCAGTTTGACAGTGTAACACAGTGTTCATGTTTGGTTAAGTGACATGCCTGTTACGAAATCCCAACGCTCATTTGAAAGCAATGGAAATACTTTTTCATTGATAAATTTTTGCATATGAAAGAAATTTTAAATGGTTGAAGTAGATAAAAGATTAACGATTATTATACAGACTGCTTGGAGGGTATATACAAACCCTTCAAGACTCCATTATCAATAGAACTCAAAACCGCAGGATAAGTTTCAGGAGTTACATTAAACTCAAGTGTTGATAGTACACCCCATTTGGAACACATTAAGCCACCAATACGTTAGTACAAATTTTGTACCGTTTTTGAGTTACACGCAATTTTGCCAAATCCTCAAAAGCAGTGAAAATTGTGCCACAGCTTGTTTAATGATGAAGAGCAACTACTTTGCTTTGTTATTTTTATCATTTCACTTGGTGTATAGTCTTCCCATACAAATAGTTCCCATATTGTCAATATATGTCTTACATGTCATGAAAAGTAATTGTAGTTTTCTGAATAGTTTGATTATGTAGTGCTTTGTGGCTTTTCGAACGAATTTTCGATAAACGTTGGCAACAGTGCAAGTCAACATTATTGAAAAAACTTCTGCTCTTTCTCACGATATGTCATAAGAAGCGATGCAACTGAATTGTTTTCTCAATAACCCAAAATAGAATAAGCAATGTCATTGAAATTACAAAAATAAAAAACATAATGAGTTGCCCTTCATTATTGAACAAGCGATGGTTTTTTGTTTGATGTTGGCTGTTTTCAAGGATTTCACCAAATTGAACTCAACTTGCCGACTACCGACTTTTGTATATGTGGCTTAATGTGTTCCAGATGGAGTGTACGATTATCTGTTGAAACGTTTGTATTGACCCTACAAGTTATGGGTATATATGTGTATATCAGGTTATTTGTCTGTTTCATTTGATTTTATTTGTAATTGCACATGATTCACCCGTTGCTTGTTCGCTTGTAAAGATTTGCGGATATAAAAACATATCCTTAGCAACAACAAATGCTATGACTCATTATAGGTACACAATTGCTTTTTTAGAGATCGTTTACATTTGTTGAACTGTTCTTCATGCCTCCTTAAGGAAATCATTACATGACATCCTCTTTATGACGCGAAATTTATAATCATTAAAGTTAAAATCAAATAACTTGAAATAAATACAATCTAAAATCATCATTGCTAGCCAAATGAGGAAATAGCTATTCGAGAAGGTTGATGTACCATGGTTAATGTATTCCAGTTGAGTGCATCGGCATCTAGGTCAACCATCTCCTCAGGGTTGAGCATACTCCAAAAATAATTTTTCCGTCATATGTACACATAATTGATTTATGTATTTGTATAAAATTGTGACCCGAATCGCGAATTTTGTAATAGCGAAAAGCCCAAATATTATTTTTTATGTTATTTAACATGTATATCACGAAAAACCTAGTCATTCATTCCGTCTGTCTTTACCTGTCCATTGTATTCCGAGAATCCGTGACGTTTATATATGGAGGAAAATTCCGATAGGTTTTTACTGAGATTTTATCATGCCAAACTTGACGTTGAGTATCTTCCTGGTTGCAACCGAGCTAGAACCGAAATGCGTAAAATGCCAACACATCCAAACTTTGTTTTTCAGTGTGTCTTGAGCTGCTAAGATTTTGGAAGTCGAGATTAAAAACATCTTGTCCTCGATGTTAGACGTTTTTTCAACATTTTGATCACTTAAGGATGTAGTTAAAAAGTTAGATGTATAAAATAAAATTTCACTTGACTAATGAAGATTAGAATGTTGTATACTATTATGTGAGAATTACAGAGTCCATCTACTTGGCTCATTTTTCCTTAGACATCTATTGGTTGGTACCTTTGGCAAAACTAGAAAGTGGAACAGTCTATTCTTAAGGAAATTTAAATAACATACTTGTACAAAAATTTATTTTACACCATCTTTCGGTGTTTTTGTTGTTATACTTCGTCAACAGTCTGCCATGTTTTATTCAAATTAACCGGCGCTATAAATATAAACAAAAACTATGAAATAATTCATAAGAGTATTGTTTTGATTAAAACAGGTGTGTGAACTTAATTATAAACATTTCCAACCGTTAAGAAATATATGTTTCTGCTTGTTTATAGTATAAATAAGTAGATAACAGGAATCTGAAAAGCAAGATGCATTATCTTGTGTTTTTGTGTGCGTGTGTGACATGCAGTTTACTTTTATTGTGGTAAAACCATACAAAACAACAAGATTAGAATGATAGCACTTAGAAATCACACATGTTTTTACAGTTGGAGGGAAAACAAGTTTAAGTGGTGAATAGGCGTACAAAAATACTTCTTCTGGAGTCACATTCTTTGATCGTCGGTTATAATTATAGCACATATACTTTTTGCAAATCATGATTTTTGTTTGAGGTTCAACCATTGATTAATGTATTCGTTACGAAAATGGCCAACCTTATGTAGTATTTGGACATTCACTTACAATTTCCATAGTCACAAACATATTGCCAAGTAAGATCGCAGTAATTATCTTAGAAGTAATAACTCTACTTTCTTTTTAAAGAAACTTGGTTATTTTTTAATATAACACCAACCTTCTAAGGAATGATGAACCCTCAATCGCCCCTGTAATTAGTCATAAGATTACATATTCTCAGACTTTCTTAACAACCGAAAAGGAAATCCGCAGCAGCAATTCGAAAGATCGCAATGCTGATCCTTTAGGCCATTGAACGTACAACAAATCTATTCTTCTGTACTCTCTGTACAATTAGCCAACACATTAGCTGTGTTCTAGGACTCCCTAGTTTTACCTTCTGGAAGCGATTTGAATGTAGCAGAAATTTAACCGACCCCCAAAAGTTAGAACCATGTTTCTAAATGTTTTCTAATAATTTTTATAATAAATAGTGTCAACATGAGATTCACATGGTTCTAACTTTTGAACGACTTGACCAACTTAGTCAACACACACACACTCAAAACTTGCGGACAGATGAACCGATTTTCGCCAAACACAGCTAAAAGCAATGCATGTGATATAAACTATTCTCGCACCGGCAATTTTTATGGCATTATATTGTTGTTTTGTGACATGATGTAGGTTTTTCTACAAGATGTTGACTCAGCACTAGCTGATGGACATTTTGTGAATTCGTTTTGTAGTTGTACGTGTTGCTTAAACGTCATGAGGCTTCAGCTATCAATGTTTGGCTCTGATGTGATGTAAAATCTGCTTCTGAGATGGCATTACTGGAGATAACGGCCATGCATAGGTGCATAGTGAGGATTGGTGTACTTAGAATACGTGTTGATAATTCTATTGAATTCTTGTCTCAAATACACTTACTTGAGATTCAAAGCTAGAAATTAGTTGCCCATCCACTTTTTCTTATCCATTCTGGAAATTACATTGCAAATTTGCTAATTTTCAAAAATGAGGGAGATAAGAAATAATTATATTCACTGTACACTATCGAATTACAAGTCATATACATGCTAACAGTAATTACACAACGCGGGCGCGTTGGTGATTTCCGTAAAATAAAGTTTTTGAAAACCCAAAAAACGTAAAAAATCGTAATTTATAACATAACCTGTCTCCAGAGAGGACAACATATAAATAACCCATTAGCCCAGCTAATAGATATAGTTCATTGGCAGCACCTTCAGTAATGGTTTTTTTACACAGCAAATATCACTGATTTTATACACATGCAGACCAATACACACAATCATCCAGATGCGATCTTGCTATTCAACCAACTTTTCTTCTCAGAGATAATAACTATAGCCTACTCGTCTTCACAAAACATATGCAGCCAACAATGCGTATAGTTGCACCCTAAAAACTACCTAGTCTGTAAGATGCCCACATATCAAGGATGTTGCCTCGGGCAGAAAAAGGAAAAAAGATAGAGGGAGAGGATTTTATAGTTATTTTGAATTTTCAATCATTCACGCGTCCAAAATTAGCAAATAAGACCAACAAATTATTGATGTGATTATTGACAGTGACACCTTGCTGTTCCAAAACATATACAGTCATACACATATATAACTGTCTATGGGTCAAACTTGGACAAAAATAACGTATAGAACTTTTAATAAATTATACGTGATGCCATTCGCTGGAAAATGGTTACTGCATACATTTGCGAGTTTCTAGTCTAGAATTACCCAAACATTTACATGTACCTTGTAGCATGAGAGAAGTAGAGCACTGAAGTCATTCAGTACATACTCGCTGAGCCCACTGTCTACATCCACTCTGTGCATAGCTCGTAATCTGTAGATGTCTGTCTTTAACGTCTGGATGCGCCTGCTCTCGTAGGTCTATGTGGCATTCCTTACTTACAGCTTGGCTAAAGGCTACAAAGCCTAGAAGATATTTTATATTGAAACCTCTTGATCATGTTTGATTTCAGCTAGACATGTCACTGCCTCTGTGCGTTATAGTTTAATAGGCGAGGAAATCAGTCTTTGATCTGCATCTAAGTATTTCCACTTCAGTATGGTGCACTCTAAAAATGCAGCCTTGGTAGTCGTAACATAGTTCTTTAAAACCAGGTGAAGGACTAAACACACAACAGATGAAATTATGTATGTTACAGATATCTCAAGTTATAAGCTCTGAAGGAAGCTATCTATCCAGCAGTGGAGGCGGTAAGGATGACTCAAAACCTCCATTCTCCTATGCTCAGCTTATAGTCCAAGCAATTGCTAGCGCTCCTGATAAGCAACTCACTTTGTCTGGAATCTATAGCTATATCACAAAGAATTATCCTTACTATCGGACAGCTGATAAAGGATGGCAGAATTCTATTCGACATAACCTAAGTCTCAACAGATATTTTATTAAGGTAAGCCCTTTGAATCATCAATGTTTTTTCCACATTTATATTTTATCGCTGGAAATACAATACAGTATTCCCAATTTGTCCTAATTTTGCTAAGCTTTTCTATATTTAAGTTTGTCATCTATTTGTTTACTATGCCTCTTATTTGTCGCAGAGTACCAGTGTGGCATTTCCCATCCAGTCCATTATATATGATATAGATTTTCGGCATCCATTTTTGTTGGATACATTGAAAGAGAACTGAGAGGTCTCTCTTAAATTCTTCTGTATTTCTCACCTAAGAAATCAGCCAATAAATAATTCTTGAATTTTATTCTAGATACTTATAGGAATAGAATAAGATTTCAGAGATACCCTATAAAACTTATTTTCTGTAAGACGTCTGCGTACCTGCTAAGTAGCTTCTGTTGGGTTAGCGGAAGTAATAAAACTAACCCAAGTTAAATTCCGATGCCAGGCGCTTGAAACAAGGTGTCCTTCTACAAGTTGACTTTTATTAGGGTTAGGGAAACAGTTTCATATAAAAATTATAGAATGTAACATAAAGCTTTTCATGTTTGTTTATATATTCAGAAGTCATGCTAAACAAAGTTGTTAGCATAGTTAAAACTACACCTAATATGGTTTTCCGTCGTTATCAAAAAAAAAACATTCTGTCCGTCCTTTTGGTTTTATAATTGCAACAAGTGCTCTCATCCACGCTTTCGTTTGAAACACGATTTGGCTGGAACCTGAGCTACGACTCCTGATGATGGTTCCATAGAGGACCGAAAGCTCGAGATTACCGTTAAAAGAGTTTACTAAAGCCTAAAAAATTTTGCCAATTTTCCAATTAATAATCCAGTATACTTCTTGCCCAACTGGTCATTGGCAGTGGCAATGACTACTGCTCGTATACACAGGGTGTCCGCAAAGTTGGGGTTTTCCTTTTCACAAACAACTACACTTGAAATAACAAAGGTAATGTGTAGTGAAACGAGGGCGACCAAGTAAAAAAAAATAAAAGAAAAAGTACTCACTCTCCAGTTGACGAGAAGGGCTAAGTACGTCTCTGCCCGAAATCATACCGCTCCAACAGAAAATGAAATCAGCTGATGAGCTACCGAGCAGACGCAGGCAAACAAGGAAGACAAAATGTTGCGTAATGACCAAACATAAGTGTTGCGAAAGTTATTCACCCCATTACGCGTGAACGTAGATTCGTCTGTCACCAATATGCACTTCAAAAAGTCCGGATTATTGTCATGTTGATGCAACAACCACTCACAAAACCGCACTCTTGCTGGAAAATCGTCAGGTTGAAGGGCTTGTACACGTTGGACGTGAAACGGATACAGCCCCTCTTCACGCAGCGTTTGCCACACTTTAGTTTTTGATACTTGCACTTCTCTAGCCACGTCTCTAGTGCTTGTTGTTTTTTGAAACGCAATCGATTATATGGGTTCGTTTACTTCTACACGCGTGACCGTAACCGTCGGTTGAAGGTTGCATACTGACCTGACATACTGACCCCGACCCAGTTCTGCCGTCTGGTTGAGACCTTGTACCAATCGGTGATGTCCCGGGTCGTGGCTACAGGACGGTATTCAGATATTTTTGATGTTGCAGAGCCCTTTATCTCGGTTCCCTTAAGACATTGGTGTATATGGTACTAAGAAAAATTGCTTATGTTTTCAAGATCTATACGTCGTGTAAAGGAAAACCCCAACTTTGCGAACACCCTGTATATATATACAATTACTTGTTAATTGGGAAATTGGCAAATCTTTTAGGCTTAAGTTGACTCTTTTGACGATAAAATCAAGCTTTCGGCATTCTCTATGGAGCCATCATCAGGATTCTGAAAACACAATTGTGATGCTAGCAAAGAAAACAGGACAGATTTAAAATGTCAGACAACTTACTCGTCGGTGAGGTTGCAGCCACAAGGTGTTTCAGAAAGAACGTAGAGAAGATCGAACTTGTGTTCAGTACAAAAACAAAAGCACGGGACATTGGGCTTGTTGAAAAACGACAGATACCTTCGTTGAAAGTTAAGAAAAAATAAAAATTATATCAATACACCCGAACAAGTTAAAAATATTACACGTGGGGAGACATTTTGTTGAAACAATCGGAATGCAGTTCCTAACCTTCTACCACCGCTACACGTGGAGAGGGGGAAGGCACGAAACGGTAAAGCGTCGACAGAAAACAACTGATTGACGCGACGGACCGTGGAAATGTACACCTCCCATTCCAACTTTGGGTATGAAGTATACGAGGGACGCTCGGTAAATCTCCACCCAAAATTACTAAAATGCTGGAATAACTTGTTTTGGAAAAGAGTGTGTGGTTCATATGAGTGCAAGAATGTGTGATATTGATACAACCTTGAAAAGATGGGTTATGTGAGTTTATATTAAACATGTGAGTGAGAAAATGTATTCTAATTTTGTGAAGATGTTGGATCAATTGGACAGGGAGGTGTACATTTCCACGGTCCGTCGCGTCAATCACTTGTCTTCTGTCGACGCTTTACCGTTCCGTTCCCCCTCTCCACGTGTAGCGGTGGTAGAAGGTTAGGGACTGCATTCCGATTGTTTCAACAAAATGTCTCCCCACGTGTAATATTTTTAACTTGTTCGGGTGTATTGATATAATTTTTATTTTTTCTTAACTTTTAACGAAGGTATCTGTCGTTTTTCAACAAGCCCAATGTCCCCGTCCTTTTGTTTTTGTACTGAACACAAGTTCGATCTTCTCTACGTTCTTTCTGAAACACCTTGTGGCTGCAACCTCACCGACGAGTAAGTTGACATTTTAAATCTGTCCTGTTTTCTTTGCTAGCATCACAATTGTGTTTTCAGAATCCTGATGATGGCTCCATAGAGAATGCCGAAAGCTTGATTTTAACGTCAAAAGAGTCAACCTCAGCCTAAAAGTTTTGCCAATTTCCCAATTAACAAGTAATTGTATTTTGTACCCCACTAGTCGTTGGGTTTGGCAATGACTACTGCTCATATATATACAGGGTGACTTTGAAGTTGAGTCATTAATTTTCAGATAATGATTGTAGAAGGAAGATAAACCAAAATATGTGTGTAAAAATAAAAAAAAAATTAAAAAAAAATTTTACCTTGTTTTATAAAGTATCCTCCCGACAAGTATTTCAGTGCGGACCTGTATTTGATCGTGAGGTCCCCTGTGAGGTCTTAAGTCACCTGATTCACGAGCCCGTTGTACTACATTAACAAAGGCACGAGGGGTTGGTTGCACTCGATTGGGAAACCGATCCGCATAAACATGTGCCATTTTTTATTTCGTTTGAGCCACGCAACAGACACTATTCACACGCGACTGAAACTGACTGTATGTATAACTGAACTGAATTGTAATCGTAAAAACGTCGTTATAAATTCTTTCGCTTTTTTGTTTCCGATGCGATGAACCGTTGTTGCCAAACACGAACACATGATATTATTGAGACAGGGCGGTACTCAAACTTCCAAAGGGCTATAACTTTGTTACTTTAATTTTACCAGAAAAATGGTAAAGGAAAAAAACATTTCTTTTGATCAGATCTACACACTGTTAAAATAAATGACTCAACTTCGAAGTCACCCTGTATATATATATACGTAAACAACAATTAGCAACATCCTCACATACTACTGTAAGTTGAGACAATTTAAATTCATTTTACCCCTTGTTGCTACTGTTATCATTGTAATTGCAGCTCCTGATGATGATGGCAAAGTCCATTGAAGCTAGAGAGAATAAAAAAAGTATAAAGAGTCCTCTTTGCTTAAATCTTGTCGAAGTACCCAACAAAAGGCGGAAGCTTTAATTTTTCACCTAACTGGTCTAGACGACAATGACCAGTCTCAAGTTTCAAAAAAAAAAAAATATATATATATATATAATTGGGAAATTGGCAAAACTTTTAGGCTTAAGATGACTCTTTTGACGATAAACTTGTTCGGGTGGATTGATATTTTTAACTTTTAACGAAGGTATCTGTCGTATTTCAACAAGCCCAATGTCCCCGTCCTTTTGTTTTTATACTGATTACAAGTTCAATCTTCTCTACGTTCGTTCTGAAACACCTTGTGGCTGCAACCTCACCGACGAGTAAGTTGTATGACATTTTAAATCTGTCCTGTTTTCTTTGCTAGCATCACAATTGTGTTTTTAGAATCCTGATGAAGGCTTCATAGAGAATGCCGAAAGCTTGATTTTATCGTCAAAAGAGTCAACTTAAGACTAAAAGTTTTGCCAATTTCCCAATTAACAAGTAATTGTATTTTGTACCCAACTGGTCGTTGGCTTTGGCAATGACTACTGCTCATATATATATATATATATATATATATATATATAACTTGAGACGTGGTCATTGTCGTCTAGACCAGTTAGGTGAAAAATTAAAGCTTCCGCCTTTTGTTGGGTACTTCGACAAAATTTAAGCAAAGAGGACTCTTTATACTTTTTTTAATTCTCTCTAGCTTTCAATGGACTTTGCCATCATCATCAGGAGCTGCAATTACAATGATAACAGTAGCAACAAAAGTGTAAAATGAATTTAAATTGACTCAACTTACAGTAGTATGTGAGGATGTTGCTAATTGTTGTTTACGTATAGGATGAGGGAAACGTCCAGTAACATGGTGAGAGCTGGATAGATGGTACAATGGTCAAAATTCTATAAAATATGACAAGTCAAGTTAAAATTAAAAAACATTAGAGCATTACATCGTGAAGCCACTTGATGATTGCACAAAATGGTGGTCATGGAATAATGAGTGAGATGAACCTTTGACAGAAGGCCGAAGGTTGTCAATGTCTGTGTTGAAAGATGGAACGAATTGTGGGCGTGTGCCAAAAGTTGCCAAATCACTTCAGATGATGTGATTTTCAGAATGCTATGTAAGAAATTGTTAAACCGACCAGAGGCAGTTGAATAAACTATATTTTAATTAATGGAATTTAAATTAACAATTATTAATAAATCGTGAGAAGAGAATTATTAGATTTTGAGTGGAATGAAATTTGTTGGTGGAATCGGCCAAAACACAGATTATATTTATGGTTGATGTAAACAACTGAGTGTCATTTACTCATATTTGCTAAATTGCGAAAAATTGGAGAACTTACATATCTCCCCAAATTTCGACTTTTCACAACCATAAATATAATCTGTGTTTTGGCCGATTCCACCAACAAATTTCATTCCACTCAAAATCTAATAATTCTCTTCTCACGATTTATTAATAATTGTTAATTTAAATTCCCATTAATTAAAATATAGTTTATTCAACTGCCTCTGGTCGGTTTAACAATTTCTTACATAACATTCTGAAAATCACATCATCTGAAGTGATTTGGCGACTTTTGGCACACGCCCACAATTCGTTCCATCTTTCAACACAGACATTGACAACCTTCGGCCTTCTGTCAAAGGTTCATCTCACTCATTATTCCATGACCACCATTTTGCGCAATCATCAAGTGACTTCACGATGTAATGCTCTAATGTTTTTTAAATAATTTATAATCTGTTTTTAACTTGTCTTGTCATATTTATATAATTTTGACCATTGTACCATCTATCCAGCTCTCACCATGTTACTGGACGTTTCCCTCATCCTATACGTAAACAACAATTAGCAACATCCTCACATACTACTGTAAGTTGAGTCAATTTAAATTCATTTTACACTTTTGTTGCTACTGTTATCATTGTAATTGCAGCTCCTGATGATGATGGCAAAGTCCATTGAAAGCTAGAGAGAATTAAAAAAAGTATAAAGAGTCCTCTTTGCTTAAATTTTGTCGAAGTACCCAACAAAAGGCGGAAGCTTTAATTTTTCACCTATATATATATATATAGAGAGAATATGATCATTCGGAGAAAGGTATATAACAACAAGTAGGAAAATAATGGGCAAAATCCGCAAAAAGGAGGAAAGTGGATTCGAGCAGAAATAGGATAGGTAACCCGAGCGATACGTATTTCTGGTGGTTGGCTTCATCAGGCCCGAAATGAATGCACATATGAAACTACAAAAGTAGATACACATGCCACACATCCGGATACGGGTGTAACCTGAGGGAAACGAAGTTGGAGGGGGAAAAAACGACACACGAAGTCCGCGTGGTTGTGGTTAGAAGTCTCCTTGAAAATTCGAGGTCGTATAGCCATTTTATACTACACTGTGTAGGTTGGCTCTTGTTGTGGACTTCGTGGGTCGTTTTTTCCCCTCCAACTTCGTTTCCTCAGGTTACACCCGTATCCGGATGTGTGGGCATGTGTATCTACTTTTGTAGTTTCATATGTGCATTCATTTCGGGCCTGATGAAGCCAACCAGCAGAAATAGTATCGCTCGGCGGGTTACCTATCCTATTTTCTGCTCGAATCCACTTTCCTCCTTTTTGCGGATTTTGCCCATTATTTTCCTACTTGTTTATATATATATATATATATATATATATATATATATATATATATATATATATATATATATATATCAGCTATCAGAATGTAGTGAAGGTAGTCTTATGTTTACTTAACATTTCTCAGCTGGTATCAGTAAATCAGGGACGCTGGCGTTGAAACCACATATAACCGTTATTCATTGCCCCACATTTCATCTTTTGGAAAATAAGCAATATCTAGCAGCACTGATATTTTGGACTAAAACACATTTGAGGCCAAATTTTCATCATCAGAGAATAAATGTTATTTTCCTCGCATCTGATGGATGTCTAACCTCTAGGGAAAAACATGCTAGGGACAGGGAAGAACTTATTTCATTACACTAGAAATGATGTACTAGCTTTGACACCAACGTTTACGTTTAGACTTTGGGAGACAACATTTATAATTTCTCGTTTATAGGAAAATATGAAAACAACCGAATATATTATATGGAAATTCTCTATCCCTTTCAGGTACCTCGGAGTCAAGAAGAGCCTGGAAAAGGTTCTTTTTGGAGGATAGATCCCCAATCTGAAACAAAACTTATCGAGCAGGCCTTCAGGCGCAGGAGGCAAAGGGGCGTTTCTTGTTTTAGAGCACCATTTGGGTTGAGTTCTAGGTGAGTCTGGACACATATTTTCAAATAATCGCACCTACTTCTGTTTCTAAATGATGTCCAAAATTTACACATAACAGTGGGTTGCTAAATTATTTATTAGTGATAGTCAGATTTTATTATTTTATGACTTTAGGCGCACTTAGCTGCAATTCCAAGCAGTATAATGTGTGACAGAAGTTTAGGTTTATCTCCAACATTTTTTAGCAAGTTAATATTTGAATAGATGTTGAGAGTTAAAGGGCGCATACATTTGGTTTTACAAATTGTTAAATAAGTGATAGCCAGATAGTACTGCAGATGCGAGTCAGACAAGTTAGCAGGTTTTAAGCAAAGTTAATGAGGTAATTTTGCTGTAAAATAGCAGTTAAAATATATTATTTTGTTAAAAATATATTTTTATAAATAATTTTAATACTAATTTTAATGGGGGTAAGCTCACTGTCGCATAAAATACTGCTAATTTTACGGTATTCGTGGAAGCTCTTTGAACTTTTCCATTCTAAATTGGTAAATCGCTGTCCGATAGTATCTGTGGATGGCGAAGTATCCATCTAGCTTGACAGAATATGGTGCACTGCAAGGCTCTGTTTTAGGGCCTTTACTTTTCGTGATATATTTGAATTACGTCTGCCATTAGTTATCAGCAATAAATTGTGTGTTTGTTTTGCTGACACTATCCTAGTTCAATCGCATGAGGACAAAAATGGGCTCATTGCAAACTCTATAGACACAGAACTCAAAGTGGAACGATGGTTTCTATCAGTAAACAATCGGTTGAACGCAATCGAAACGGTTTCTCTTCTTGGCATAAAGATCGATGGTGCTCTCAAACGGGAAGCTCATCTTTATGCAAAAAACTTTCAAGTCTGTTCGTATATTGCGACAACTACAACGTATCTCTACGGAAGAAGGTCTTTTAGATGACTATTTCGGCATATTTGACTCGCGTCTGATCTATGGCGTCATGATTTGGGGAGGATCATATCACTTTCTGCCTGTATTCAAAATTCAAAACCGTGTAGTAAGCAGTATAGCAGATGCTAAGTTAAATGAGCACTGCAAACTTCTCTCTTCATTGGGGATACTGCCGTAGCCATGTACAGTAGCGAACAAAAATTTGGAAACATTCTTAGTAATTTCTGAAAAGTGTGCTAATCTATACAGTATAAAAAAAACCCTAGAGTGAGAAATACTGTCTAAAAATCTACTCTCTATTCTCTGTCTGAGACAGAACTACACATCTAAAAGGTTCAAACTTGGAGAAAAATCCTTGCACATTCTCTTTTACAAAGAAAACTGATTTTCTTTCTGCAAGGGCAAGAAAATATAAAAATATACAAAAGTAATATACCCTCAGAAAGTTATCGTTGTTCTAAAATAAGTTATCGTAGCTCAAAATTCAAAATCATGATCAATGTAATGTAATAAGCCCAAAAGACAGGGACATGTAGGCACTACCCTATATTTGAATACGTAAAATGCCAAACAAAATCAAGATCACACAAAGAATCTCAATTAGCTACAATCGATATATCAGTATCTATAAAATACCCAATTAAAATATGTTTTACCTATTCACATCAGGTTTTTTTGTCAAAGGGAAGGGATGGCTTCCAACAAAATCGGCTGCAAAACAGCTACAAGACAGCTACAAAACAAAGCTGGAGGAGTGTGAATGGTGGTTCTCCACAATGGCTTTCCACTAAAAGCAAGCAGATATTGAACAAACTTCTTCAGGACAAGCATTAGTAAACGTAAACCGATGGTATATAAAAGAGAACTTACCGCTGGAAGTTAAAATCCCATTAGAAAATGGACGGGGTACACCCAAACCAAAACAACTAAATGTACAAAATAAAAGGGTACCACTCCATAAACTGGTGTTTGGGGCGTTAATATCCATAAATCTGGAAGTTAACGAAGAAACGCCCGCACACAACCAAAACTACAGCAGAAAGAAAAATGGCGCTGGACCGTCTGCGCACGCAACCCCCTAAAAGAAAGTTGAATAAGTGGCCCTGAAGAAGGCGCATCCGACAGAAAATCAAAAGGAACAGATAAAAGCCGGTAAAGAAGGTATCTTGATAATAAAATAAATTTTAACAGAAGGTATCTTGATAGGAAGGTAAGCATTCATATACGGCTAGTACGAGTAAAAATCACAAGATGGCGTGCTGGTTGCCTACTCCACAAGGGTCTCAATACTATAACATTAGCGTCCAAAAAGATTTCAATACAAAACTGAGTCGATGAGAATGGCAGATGTAATACGTGTGAAATTCTACAATAAACTATGGAATTTGACAAAAGAAAATCATCGAAAAAGGTTTGGTCTAGGAATCGGTACTCTACTATTAGTAAAGAGATATTCAAATTACTCATAAGTGATCAAAACAGCAAAAAGGAAGGTTACGTGATTTTAGCACGTGACAAGTCTTGAAGGTACAAATGACAATTTGTGTTTGTTGGGGTACTACAGACTAGTATTTAGATACCTTCATATTATTAGCCCCAAACCATGATGTTGCCTCCATCGTGCTTAACTGATGGCAACTGATACTTTTTGTCGAATCTTTTTCGTATTTGACGTCTCACATATGCCTTACCGTCAGATCCAAACAAGTTATCGCTCCATAAAACTGTATTCCATTGTTGTTCTGTCCAAGTTAGATGAGTTTTAACAAATTCAAGCCGAGCAATACGATTTTTTTTTTGAAATTAGAGGCTATTGCACTGGACGCCTACCAAAAAGCCCAAAATCCACCAAGCGTCTATGCACTGTTCTGACAGAAAGATTCTCGGCATCCTCTTCTACGATATTTTTGCAAATCTGTGTGGCTGCCATTCGAGAATCTTCATGGGATAAGCGTTTAATATGTAGCGATCCAAAACATAATCGGTTGTTTCGGTCTTCCGCACCTGGGCCGCGTTGCTGTTGATCCGTATTCTTGATATGTACTAATAATTTTCGAAATCGTCCCTTTGTCTCTTAAATCTTTTGAAAATTCTTTTACTTTGGCCATTCTCACTGATGTTAATATTTACCGCACGCAATATCAGAGTATCGCAGAACGAATAGATACTGCAAAACTGAAATGTTTCCATACTTTTGTCGTTTCAAAAACTGTGGCATTGAAAAAAACGCGTTTCTATTTTCAGAGAATTTCAATATTGATAGGATAAACGAGTACGGGAGCCAAAGGTAGACTTTAATATTCCTTCACAATTTAAATTTAGGTGTATGAAATAGTTAATAATAATGTTAATATTTGTTTTCAAACTTTTGTCCGCTACTGTGTATACAAAATATCGTTGTTTTGGTATTAATTTTAATATATTTTTTTTTATTATTGTAGCTTGTCTGATTTTTTTCATCATTTTTGAGCGTCACAAAACATGTTTGTACCCAGGATATTTTTGTTTAATTATAGTACTTGAATATATAGTGTATATTGTGGTAATATATTCAACAAGTTTTTATTTCAAAAACTGTTGAATGCATCTTTCAAACGCGTCATGCCCTTTCATCGCGGTAATTTGCTCAGGGTATCAGTAGTCATTATCTACTCGTTACTCGAACGTCGTGATCACGTCACGCTTTTGAATCACTGATATCAAAGTCATCATATGAGATATCACGGATATCCAAAAATAACTATAGCAAACATCTATACCTCCTAGATTATGTGATGTAACACCATCGAATTTCGTTGTACGAGGGATGTCTTTTAAGTTTTGCATATAGAAAACATAGAAGGCCGCGCGGATCGAACGTCAGTACTGAATCTTAACCTCACTCTTTAGTGAACTTAAATTCAAAGTCTCACAACAATACGTGCAGTGTTTTCACTACAGTGAATTTTTAACTGTCACCAAGTCATTAGAAAAATTGAACTCAACCGAGAACATTTTCGCGCCATAATTTATTACAACTTTCAGAGACAATAATTATCGCAACCAGAATGCCTTGCTGAGTTACTGTCTGTTTTCGGCAACGAAGCGCCACATCAGTCGACAATTTCCCGTTGGTATGGAGAATTCAAACGTCTTAGCACTCTTAGCGACGATCCCAGGGTGGATGCACCAAAAACGGCAGTCACCCAGGAACACGTCGTTACTGTGCGAAAACTCATCATTGAAGATAGACATGTGACATATTGCGAGATTGAGGCGTCCTCGAAGATCTCAAAGACCTCAATTCAAAAAATTTTACACGAAGAATTAGGAGTAAGAAAATTAGTTTCTCGTTGGATACTCCAACTGTTGACTGAAGATCAGAAAACAGCCAGGGTTAATTGGTGTCAAAAAACGCTTGACCGTTTCAATTCCGGAAACTCAAAAAATGTGTACAGCATTGTTAGTGGTGATGAATCGTGGACTTACTGTTATGAACCAGAAAATAAACGACAGTCGGCTGTTTGGGTGTTCCAAGGTGAAGAAAAGCCAACAAAAGTCATCCGTTCTCGAAGTGTTTCGAAAAAGATGGTCGTGACATTTGTGTCAAAAGCGGGTCATATTGCAACAATTCCTCTCAGTGAGCAACGAACTGTTACTGCGGATTGGTATACCACCATTTGTTTGCCAAAAGTCTTCACCGAGCTTCGAAAAATCAACCCCGAAAGAACAATCATCCTCGGCCAAGACAATGCAAGCTCGCACACAGCCCAAAAAACAAGGTAGTATTTAACGGAAGTAAAACGTGGAATTATTGGACCATCCTCCATATAGTCCCGATCCTAACGATTTCTTTACTTTTCCGAAAATTAAAAACAGACTGCGTGGGCAAAGGTTCCAGTCACCAGAAGAAGCATTCAAAAGTGCCGTTTTGGATCTGCCAGCAAACGAGTGGAATAAGTTCTTCGAAAATTGGTTCGAGCGCATGCAGATGTGTATTAATCTTCGTGGAGAATACTTCGAAAAACAATAAAGTCATTTAAAACTACCTACTGTGTTGTTTTATTTCCATATGCAAAACTTAGTCATCCCTCGTATGAGGTTGTTTGCAGTAGAAGGTCTGTGCCAACAAGCACTAATGCGGTAAATGAAGAAACAGCGTTGCCTTTTCCAGTTTGTTGTAGAATGGAGTGAAACATTTCATTAAAAGATTGCATAAGTATGTATTATCTCAAAACCCTTCGAGGCCATTCGCGTGACACATACATACCCTATGAGTCATAAATTAATAACATAAAGGACCAGAGGTTGTAATCCCGTAGCGGGTTTGACATTACTGATACAGCAATGGAAGTGACGTCATCTTCGCTTAGCGACTTCTGTATATGCTTTAAAGGTCGAGAATACCAAACCAGTGGCTCTTTTTCAGAATATCGGAAATAAAGTTTGTTACATTGTCCTTATTTTGTTATTTTCAGGAGTGCACCAGCTTCACCATCGCACGTCAGCATGTCCGACATCATGACGCCCGAGTGCTTGTCGCGCGAAGGTTCCCCCAGCGGGATGGAAACCTCTGGAGGGGAGGCTAGCCAATCAGCGCCTGGCAGTCCTGGAGGAACGATGGGTGGTGGGGGAACCGGAGCATCGTACGCCGGTTCCGGAGCTATGATTGGCCATCAGCAGATGAGCGCACTGGTCGGGTCTACTAAGGCAAGGTTGATGCTATCGCACCAAGGAGAGGATGCTAATGGACAGGAGTATAGAGAAGGTGAGTTGAAGTTCTGTTAGGAAATCCAGAGTTTACGTTACTAGTACTAGTTGCACTTATTTACTTGCTAGATAGAGATTTGTTCTATCCACCACAACCTTTTTCTTCACTCTGGAGCAACCTAAATATTGCAGTGATACGAGTAATATGAGGCGATCTCGGTACGAGCTTTGAACTGGACTAATGAGTACCTGAACGTAGTGCTGCAATTCGCTAAAATGTGGACAGGTACATCATGCATGCTGTATTGTGGAACTATGTGACGCTTTTGAAACATCCGCGTTGGTATTGCGAGAAGTTGATGAAACACATCAATATGGAACGTGCATATATATTTTATACCACTAAGATATGTTTGTGTGCATAAAAACATCTTACTTCAATGAAAACACGTAATGTATAGCAGCATTACATCTGCTCTTTGCTGGCTTACTCCTGCCTGAACTGTTGTATCGCTTAGACACAGCTGCCTTTATATCATTGTGAGACCTATCAAACATTCGAGTCATCATCCAGGGGGAGAGGGTGTTCTCGAATGTCTAATGGTCAATGTCGCATGCGAGATACCTAAAATGTCTCATGACACTCTTGAAATAATCTGGCAATCGACATTTCTCATTAGAAAAAATCTTGCGAAGTTATGACCACGCGACAATGAGTGACGCGTTCAAGTTTTGTTCACCATTCGAAGTAGCAGTATGAGTTGCTTGAAAATACCTACCTTTTATTCGTTATTGCCTATTTTTTCCCGTCTTAAAATAAGTTAACGAAAGTGAAAGCACAGTGACAAACGATGACAAGAATCACAAAGGTTGCCGATAATATCTGCCTGCTAGTTGACAGATGTCGTTGTTACAGTGTGGCGATCCCTGTTATCGCCACGCCACGGTTCTGATTGCGGCCAACAGTTGACGTCACAATATACGAACTATCACCACTAGAATAGCAGTACCGTGCGTGATTCCGTCGTTATTTATTGTGTGGTGTCTGTAACTATACAGAACGATAACTTTGCACGATCAACTGATGGAAGATTGAAGTAAGTAAGGTTATGTAAGATGCCAAACCTTTCCAATCTGCACGCACGGTCTGACGTCATCATCGGCAGCCCGCCCAATTGAGGGATGAAACTATGCTTTTTAGCGTTTTTTTTTTCTTTTTTAACATGCTCTTATCAGCTTTGTCTGGATGTATGTAACGGAATCTTTGAGCATAATTTTCACCAATTTCCAGAAGTTTGATTAAACTGAAACTTCGCATACGTATCAAGGACCGATGTATCTGATTTGTACCTGTTTTATTTTTTTAAGTTCCCTATTACGATGGAAATCTTACGATCAGAAGAGAAGTCAACCGCCAATCAATCTATAAAGCCTTTCTGGGCTTGGGCCGTTCTAATACCACAGGCAATGACGTAGGTCAATGACTGTATGAAATTGCTTCATAGCTGTGTGAAGCTTAGTTAATATTTTGCGTTAACAACCGTGCTGAGATGTTATGGAAGCGTATCATTTTGTCCGTCGTGAGAAATGTATATTCTGCCAAGGTTGAGCACTTTCTAAAAACCACATAAACTAAACAAACAATGAACCATGAAAATGACAGGTGACATCACTCTTATTCGGTTTCGAACTTGGGAAGAAAAGTGCACTTTTGGCGTTCCAGAAGGATTACTTTGTTCTAGTTCCTAACGAATGGAACATGTACGTCAAACAATTACGAACGCTAAAATTGTTACAAAGTATACTCTGTAACAATTTACGAACGCAGCTCTGCCTTTCGCTAAACCAGCGGTGATGTTCGAGATATTTCGGAGGCTTGCTTTTGATCACTGTCACTTGCTGATCACAGACGACAGATCTCTAGTTGTAAATATGTGTCCACGAGTGTATTCACTTTACAAATTGTAACTGATTTTTGTTTCTTAAATGAGACCAGTGTAGGGTAGATATCCAATTTACAATTTTCTTGTTTCAGAAAAATATGTAGAAGAACGATCTGTATCTCCTTCTACATTCTCGCCTCAACCTGTAATCGTTCAAGCTGCAAATTATTCTCCTTATAGGTGAGTATATGTTCTAAATCAACTTTTCTGATTTATTATATAAATCGTTCTTGTCATTTTACCAGGTTCCAGCCAGAAAATGTAAAATCACGCACAAATCGAAATTCAGATTGGAAAATGTGTTTTTATACTCGTCAAAGTATTGTATCATCAAATGTTTTTTTTTGTAGAAGTTAGATCAAACCGTCAACAGATCTTTGTAATTTTGTTTCACACCGAAGCAGCCGCGCAGACAGGGCACCGCGGCTGCTGAGGACCTCAAAGAAACTTTGTTAATCCGATTTTTGAACTGCCTAAGGTTAGTTGAACTGGGAAGAGCCTCCTCAATACCCTAGGGATAAAGGCCAGTTCTGGGCGTACGAAGTTCGACACGGTTAGGATGGGAGGCGGAAGTCAGGCGGATCTGTCTGGCGCACAAATCGCGCGGCACTCTCTACTTGCTTATCACCTTTCTCTTGTTTCAGCGGTGGAAGTTATGGGAATATTGGATTAGATCTAAAAAGGCACATCGACGATCAAAGCGTCGGTAGTCCATCTAGTACGGGCGAGAGCCTAGACAACCTACAAGAACCGGATGCGAAGAGACCAAGGTCGGTGGGGAAATACGAAGTAGAATAAGTTATTGGTGACTCTGGAGAATGGATTATCAAGTTTTATTATTCCCAAGGTAATACGTCGAATCTGAACATGATGCGAGTTTGGTTGTAATATTTTGTCGGGAACTGATTTTCGTTTAGTGTTTTTGAGGGGTTAAAATGGTTTTCATTTTGCCCCAGTTTTGATGGACAACATAACAGACGGCTAAATGTCACTATGATGTACAGAAATTAGATGGAAATGTGTGTTAGGTATCACTCTTGCTCTAAATTCTTTAAATTTATAGATACTAGATGTTGAAATTGTAGTGCTAAACTAAGTAGGTAGCTGTTCAAATTTTCTCACTTGATACCTTTAAAGGTACACCCAGTGTAATAGAATCCATGAAATACGTAATGGATGGAAGAAAATGAGTTTGGTTAATGATTCGTTTCTCAATGTAAAAACCTTAGCGACTTTTGGTTAATTTACTGTTGCTAAAATAATCTGAATCTGTTTCATGTCCTTCCAATGTCACAATGTCAACTAATACTATATACTAATATAAAAGCCACTGAGTTGGGCAAGTTTGTGTTTGCTTTAAAATTGAGCACTTGTCATTCTTGTTACAAATTCAGAAAAAGCAAATGTTACAAAATTTAAATAGCAGACTAAACATTGATTTTTGTCGTGTGAATCATAAAATCTCATTATAAGCGTACAGAAAAATAAACATATTGTACCTCGGTGGCGTTCAAAATTTACAAATTATTATATAACTAATTACACAAGCCGAAAAAAGTGAGCCGAGCCTCTTACCCAGAAACCAGAGTATATATATTTTTTTCGGAAGGTTTTTGATGAGCTGAATCCGAATCCGTGGCCTAAATATCTGAATTGGCTCTAGTTTCCGAGGTATACCAACCCGAAAGTTCAAAAATGGCGAGTTTTTATGTAGCATTGCGATTCTTTTCCAAAAAACTATACAAATAAGTTTTGCTCTTTCAAATGCCGTCAAGATTTGGCTTAAATATCTTTTTCCATGGAGCGTATCTACCTCGAGAAACTACGACAGTGCCGTTCGTGCTGTAAAATCGACCCCGAAACTTGACGTCTGGAGTACGAGTGGTGCTTTGACAGGGTTGCCACGTTGGGGGATTTTCCACAAAATTTGTGGGATTTTTACTTATATAATTTTTTTGGGGATATAATGTTTTGGGGAAATCACACGTCTACGGATAGAAAGTTCTCCCACTCTTTAAACCAAACCTATCCCTTTCCATCAATTAACAGTGATTTGGGTTTTTTTTTTGTTTAGATAGCAATTCTGAGGGATTTTTGAGCTCGTTCTGGGAAATTCTATCCGACACATTTGGCAACGCTAGTCTGGCATCCCGCCGCTTGAATCTGTAGGTATATTTTTTTATCGATCTTGTTTTTATGAATGATAAATAATAGTATAATAGGCATGGTTGCCTTTGCCAGTCAACCCTGCTGTAATCTGTTCTAGTATTATTTTCATAAAAATTAAGTTTTACAAAAAAAAAACTTAACTGCAGATTCAAGCGCCCGTATCCCGTACAATAACCTCAGAAACCCTGCGCATGCGCAGTAACTGGTACTCTCTTCGATCACTGCGCCCTTGGCAAGGCGTGCGTCAAGTTCTGAGGTCGATTTTCGCTCATTTCGCCGTTTATAAACTCCATGATCTTTTTCTTTCGCTGAGGTATGATACTATGAAATTTTTATTTTGCTGTTCCAGGTCGGTTTAGCATCTATCAGAAGGCAGTATTATTTTATTTTTCAAAAAGTGCGTAATCTAAAATAGTATGCTTAAAATCGGCGTTGATCGGGTAGGGTGGATTGTTGGCTTGTGGTTTGGGTAAGTTTAGATATTTCATGCATGTATGGGTTTTTTCAGTTGGCGTGCCTTATTTCATAAAAATACATTAACTTATTATAAAATTGTTGGTGGGTTATAATTCAAACAACTGTCAAAACAGAGTCTAACGTACTTACTTTCAACACACACTTTTTCAAAAATAAAGTATTACTTTCTTCTGACAGAAGCTAAACATCGTTCAAAATGAAAATTTCAAAAGGCCATGCCTCAGCGAAATAAACAGATTTTTAAGCAAGCTCAACGTCATCTGGAAGGCCTAGGCGTGTACTTTGTGATTATATCCGTTTTTTGAAAAAAAAGCAATTCGCAATGCTACATAACCTCAAATAAATAAAAAAATAACTATTTTTGCACTTTTATGTTGATATATTTCGGAAATTAGTGCCAATTGAGAGATTTGGACCACGGATTTGGATTCAGCGCCTTCGGGAACGTTTGAATTTTCCTGGTAAAATCAAGTTTCATTTTGGGTATACTCAGACTTTGTTTTGTTAAGGTTGATTCAAAATTTTGTAGCCTGAAATAGTTAGCACACTGCTTGTTATTATGTAGCAAAACTTTAATCAATTAAATATTAATTAATTTAAAATTCTATTTCCTTAGAACATGTACAGGGTAAATAATACAATGAATTTGTTCAGATAAGAATAGGTTTCAAAAAACAAAAATTATAGGAATATTATTTTCTGATGAGTACTACTATTATGCAACCCTTGCTATTACGATGCAACTATGTAGTTGACAAAAATATATCGGCAAACAAACACGGTGAATATTGTCAGACCAAATAATAGAAGATTCTAATTAGAAACGACGTTTACTTATCTGTTTAACTGATGAGAGGTAATTGAAACCAAATTTAGTATGTTTAAAAAAATTCATCTCGAGTGGGTTGGCTAAAAAAATCCTGGCGAAACTGTGATTGAATAAAATTGAAATATGCACCTAATATTTGACAACACATGGCACAACTCAAACTGTGACATACTGCACCATACAGTGTGTTACAATATCATTGTTTTGTGTAATAAAAAGTCATTTTTTAATTTTTTATTAATCACAGTCTTGCCAGGAATTTTTTAGGCAACCCACTCGCGATCTATTTTTTAACATACTAAATTTGTTTTAAAACACTTATCATGCATTAAGTAGATGGGTAAAAGCTTTTTCTAGTTCGGCTCTTAGACTAGAAAGAGTTTATTTTGAATAACGTAAATTGTTACTGATAAGACCTTAGAAAATTGAATGGTTCTCCTAGAGATAATGTCATCAGGCGAGAGAACTTATTTTCCCTACTTACATATTTGAGTGCAGACCATTTTTGAACACGTTAGTAGTATGTCGCCAGTTTGACTGGATAATAGGCAGTTTTCATGTCACCGTATATTAAGAATGGCTGGAATTTGGGACTTACATATCATCTAGAGCTTCTATTTCATACCAAATAGCGAGGTGATATGTAAGTTCGAAATTCTCTGCCATTTGAATGATCTGAGCGCAAAGTGGTGGCGATGCGATAAGAAAATGTTACAAATCATGCACTAACAGCACTTATGAATTGAAATGTTAATATCACCCTATGATTTATGAGTTAATTACTAAAATGCGCCAATACTAGATGTAGAATATCTCCTATATTTTGCTGTATATACAAGTATTGGATTTTGACACTGTGATGAAATATCTGAATAATTGACCGTACAAATAAATGTGAATAAATTAGAAAATGTAATCTTGACACTTCTAATCTAGATTTTACCGTTATGACAAATAGAGACACCAAACAACAATTGTGTGATTGTGGTCAGTCTTTCAGGTGCATATTGCAAAGTATATGCATCATGTATAGGAATACAAAAGTGGGTGTCATAGGTACAAAACATGATTATTCATTTGTTATATTGTTGATAGAAATGTCCCTTTTTTTCCGACTATTCACGAATCGTCCATGCTCACCCTGGATCAGTGTTAACAGATATCATAAATATCTTTTGATTCAAAGAGCTTTTTGGACAAGTTCGTTACTTGTTATATAATTGAATCTCCAAAATACCAACTAAGAACCAATTCATACCAATATATAATCCGGGAATGGTATTCCCAATGGCAGTCGAAACGTCAGTAAGGTTCATCATTCATCAACAGTGGTTTTGAAGGAGAGAGGAAAACATTGATGGATCAGCACTAGAACAGAATGACTTTCAAAAGTTTTTACCAAAAAGTAGTTATACTGAGGGAGGAAACTGACCTTGGGTTTGATTTGCACTACTTATAACAAAGCACAGCGATCTATGCGAACCGTCCGTGGTTTCGTGGCCTGCTCATAGATGGCTCGGCATCTGTCGAAGAAGCAGCCATGCAGTGTTGCTAAACTGAGATAAATGTTTAGAAAATGTTACTTCCTTGCTGAGGAGAATGAAGTACAGTTATTTCCTCGGTTTCTACCTACTTTACGGCATAACGTCATACGCAATTCAGAGGTTGACTTCCCTAGGGGATTTGTGCACTGCATAAGGCGATACTTCTAACGCTGCTGCTACTTGCTCTTATGCACACTGACATACTTGAATTGTGCAACGAAGGACCGCACTTTTTGAAAATAATAAAAAAATATTAACACAGACTGTCGACATTATTGTAGTAAGTATCGGATATCAAAAAGAGGTAAACTCAAATCGCACAATACTGACAGTGACAAACACAAATTTTCAAGACTCGTACATCGACGAGAAAATGCAATCGGCCTTCATGCGTGGACGTTTATGTAAGCTCACAGACGTACGTTTTTGGTTTTGTCTCGCCGCCTGAAACTTGTTTCGGATGTTCTTTGTCTTCGATATAAAACGTGGCAATACCTGAGACACAACCGTCGGCTATCTGTATCGAATTTATTGTAGTATTTTGGCTGCAATTGCTAAAATGTCAATGTCAGCTCTAATAAATAAATAAGCTTTTCAGAATACTATTTACAACACGTGGAGAGACGTCGTCATGAGCTGTTTTGTGAACGCCATGTTTTCGGTTAAATCGGTCTATCTCTCTCTAATTAATTCGCCTTGTCTGTCTTCACTTGGTATAATTACTCTTTGGTTATGCATTAAATAGGATAAAGTTATGTCTGTTGATTTCTTTGAATTCACCCTGTTTCAATAACCAGATTATTAACTTACATTAATATCAAGTAGTCGGAAGAAATTCTTACCTATCTGTATACTTATTTCATGTACAACTCGACGTTACATCAAGTCGTTTTCAAATTTGACAGATGTCGATGATAGTGCGTATATGTGAAAACGTGCCATGTGCCGAGGGATACAGTATTATTAAAATGTAGGAAGAGCTGTCATATAAGCGCGCTTATCTGTCAAAAACGACAATAAACTATTGTACTAGCCTGTATGAGAGATTGTTAAACTATTATACATCTTTGATAAACCTTGGTCTAACTATATGTGCAAAAACCTCAGAATTTTATTACTTGATGAACAAATATTTGCATTTACAGTACCTATGTTAAATGTAAACAGTATAAATGGGTGATCTAAGTTACCTTTCTGTTTCAGAATAGTCCAGTCATGTGACATATATCTGTGCTTAATAGTAAGATATGGCATTTTATGTATTTTGAGTTTCCCCTTTAACAAGAAATGTTGAATGACACTCTTAAATTGAGGTAAGGAAGATACCATTGTTTATCTAAATGCACATGTGTATCTGTGGCGACCATATTGAATCATGTGTTATAGATTGACCACAGGATTTCCTAATCTTGTCATGTTAGGCGCCGCATTTCACGAGCTAATTTATACTGAATCCGAAATTTGTAATATAGTAAGAAACGCTTAAAGAACCATTTTGTTCAACAAAATGAGCCTTACGAGCTTTTTATTATTTAGTTCTGTTTTGCTTTCTCATACAGGCTAAGATTAAGTGTATTTTTACAAACATTGTGCGTTTAGTCGTAGTTCACAAAAAATCTAATTGTATACACATACATGTAAGAGTTGAGTAAACTATGTGTATATGTATATACTCAATAAAGAGATCGTTTATGTTTGATTTACGTGGCAGAGAACATTCAAAATGTTAGCATGCTTTATTATGCATGGCCCATGTTAATGATTTCGAGACCAAATTATGTATTCAGTAAGATTTGTAAATATTGTACTAAAAGAAAGTTTATTACTGTTATCTCTCATTATTGTGTATCACCGTGATTGCTTTTACTTTCGAACAGTTTCGACGAATAAAAAAAATTCTTTTTTTGTATATAATTGTAAAACTTGATAATACCCAGTAGAAGTTCAATAAATTTTTGGGTTAAACTCTGAGAATGTATTTTTTCGTATTGCCCATTCGAACTCTTGTATGGATTATATCAATTTTTAAGTTGTGACCATCTTGCTACCAACGCATTTTCTTTTCACGATTATACAGTGTATTATAGCTGGTCTGTATGACAACTTATTTGAAAAATTTATATTTTTTAAATATGATTGGTCGTTTTATTGTTAGTTATATATGTATACAAAATTATAACATCTATATAAATAGGTATTTAAATAAAGTACTACTATTGCTGTGAGATTATTTCTTATATCATTTCTGTCATTGTATACTAGATTTGCTCTTTCATTCATCCTATAAAGTTCTAATTTCTTTGAAGTTTGAAGTCTAATTAACTATGACAACCATTCCAAATTCAATTTCATCCTTAATAAAGGGTGTACATATATACTAAGTGACATATAAATCCGAACACCCAGTTTAAATGGCTTTATTTTAATAAAAGTTGGTGAATGTATTTATCTTACTGTAAATAACAAGTGAAAAAAATTTCAGCCTTATCAGTTGGACATTCCGGTTTTTATACTGCTTTCTTTTTAATTCACTAACGCTCTAAAAATGAATATTTCAGCCGCAGTAAAGAATCAACGTTGGCGGATTTTGGTTCTTGACATCCTTTATGATCGGTTACGATGCCTAGAGTACGGAGACCTGTACGATTTCGTCAACTTAGTGAGTTTGATAGGGGCCGTATAGTGGGACTTCGGGAAGCTGGACTTCCTTTTCGGGCAATTGCAGTTAGAGTGCAAAGAAGTGTAGACACTGTGGTTAGGTGTTGTCAGGCATGGCTTCGAGAAGGCCGTACGCAAAGAGCAAGTGGCACTGGACGCCGCCGTAGAACAACAGACCGTGAAGATCGCCGCCTAAGATTATTGGCCTTAAGGGACCGTTTCTCCACTACCAGGTCCATTGCAAATGAATGGTTTGCAGAACACGGAAGACCTATTGGCCTGCGAAGTGTTTACCGACGAATGAGAAGTTTTGGCTTGTTTTCATACAGGCCACACTGGGTCCTCCCTTTAACTCGAGAACACCGACGTAATCGCCTTGAGTGGTGCAGACAACGGTCACTCTGAGATCAGGAATGGAACAGTATTGTCTTTAGTGACGAGTCTCGATTTTGTTTAGGCATGCACGATGGTCGTGCCAGGGTTAGAAGGCGACGTGGTGAAAGGAGGAATCCACAGTTTTTTGTTGAAAGACATGTTCATCACACTGTTGGAGTTATGGTTTGGGGTGCTATAGCTTATGGTTCCAGGTCACCTTTAATCTTCGTCAGAGGTAACATGAACGCGCAGCGTTATATCCACGAAGTTCTAGAACCCCATCTTTTACCCTATCTTGACACCCTGGCAGATCCAACTTTCCAACAAGATAATGCCCGACCACATGTTGCAAGAATCACAATAGACTTCTTTCAAAATAATGATGTCACATTGTTACCATGGCCATCAAGATCTCCCGACTTATCCCCAATTGAGCACGTGTGGGATATGATGGGTAGGATATTGCTCAATTTGCAACGTCCTCCTCAGACTCTAGAAGCACTTCGAGAGGAGTTGGTGGTTGCCTGGAATGAAATACTACAGGAGGACATTGACCACCTGATCAGAAGCATGCCTAGGTGCGTTGGAGAATGCGTAGCACATCAGGGTGCATCCACACATTATTAAAGGTCAAAGGGCTTTAAAGCAGTGCAATCATTTTGAAATTTTTATCATTTACTTATTATACTTCATTAAGTACTTATACAAAATTTTATTAAAATAAAACCATTTAAACTGGGTGTTCGGATTTATATGTCACTTAGTATATTTCAACATGACGAGGAATAGTTGCGATTAAACATAAAATACGACATCCGGTAAATGGCCAGCACGAAAATTTTGGATAACGTTTTCGCACAACTGTGGCTCTATTTCGTCAATAACGCACCGTATCTCTTCTTAAAGGCCTTCAACTGTTTGTGGCTTGTGCGCATACACCGTTTCCTTCACATCGCCCCAGAGAAAGAAGTCCATTGGCGATTGCCCGATCTTGATGGCCAATTTTGATCGCCAAACCGAGAGATGACACGGTTTGGAAACTGGGTTCGCAGTAACACCATTGTTCGCGTGCTTTGTGGCAGGTCGCACCATATTGTTGGAAGAACATATCCTCCACATCAATTCGATCCAACTGGGGCCACATAAACTTTGTCAATATTTCACAATACCGCACACCATTATTACACGAGGGTTTTCGGAACCCCAAATTCGGCAATTCTGCGTGTTGACGTACCCGTTCAGTTGAAAATATGCCTCATCAGAGAAAATGATTTTCTTCGAGAAATCCGCATCAATATGGTGGTGCTCCTGTGCCCAATCAACAAATTCACGGCGCTGCGCTTGGTCGGTGGCTTGAGTTCTTGCTTGCGTCAGTTGAACCTTGTACGAATGCAAGAACAATCTTTTGTAAGAATTCATTGCAAAGTGGGTCTGGTAAGGTTCAATTCTTGGCCACCATGCCGAATAAAAGTGCCTGGATTCTCGGCCACACTTTCCCGCACTGTGACTATATTTTCGAGGGACCGACCAGGTCGGCGACGAACAGTCAGTGGTCTTCACATTCAGCAACGTGAATGTTGTCTCAAATTTTGTAATTAAACGGCGAACTGTCGACTCATTTGGCGCATTAATGCGACCGAAAATTGTACCTGATTTTTGACAGCGTCGCCTCTGGTAGTACTCTGTGATACTGCTCCATGACGTCTAACCGCGTGGTCTAGGCATGACAGCTGTCATCAAGTAAACACATTAATCAAATTCAAGCGAATAACCAAATGAAAATGGTATTTACCATTTTGGATTCGTATTTACCGATCCGTTCAAGCGAGTGTGGTTACCAGTTTGGTTATTAGATCCGTGACGTCATGACTCAGCTGTTATATGTCATAGTTATCACCGCAAAATTGCGGTATTTACCCAACTCTGGAGAAGTTTTATATTTCTGGTTATTATTTGAAATGTGACAAGTTAGAATTTTACCGGGTATTGGATATTTTTGTTGTACTTCAGCTTCATTTTTGGGAAACTTGATACAGGCTGACTTCAGTTTTAGCACAAAGTAGAGCACCTTATTAGTTATAATCATTACTGTTGTTGGGGACACTTTAAATCTAGTTCTTATGCTTAACAAAGTATTCTGTGTAGCCATATACCACAAGAATATTAAAATATGGCCATATAAACTCACTGGATGATGTCCACCTGTATGCGGTTTTACTAATATCTTTTCTTCAGCACTTTTTCCTATCATGTCTGCTGAATCAATAAATGTTTTCTTTGAAAAGTTTAGAGAATTGAAAGTTATCATAGCTACAAAGCCATGGTTTCATCATTAAAATTTTTGTTCTGAAAAAACATTTCTTCCATTAATATTATGAAAGATTTCTTTTTTAAAGTTTCCAAACACCGTTGTAGACGAAAAAGCACCGATTATTAAGTGATAATAAAAATAATCAGAAATTATATACAAGCTTTTCTAAAATAAACAACTTGCAACAAAACCGCTGTTAAAACCAATGCGTTCAAGCGATTCGAGTAACTAACGTCATCAACCCGTGTGTCATCTTGAACCAGATTATAACCGCGGTACATAACACAGAAAATTATTCGCTTGGATTTGATTCATATCATTTGTACAAAAAAATAGCTGCAAATTCAAATCCGCCGCTCTTGTTGAGACACCCTTTAGTTACTCATTTGGCAGACAGAGTGACTCAACTGCACAACCCAGTGTATTATTTGGTAAGTAAATCTATTTATTTTTTTATCGTAGGGAGTTTCATAAACAGGTATAGTTTAACTCTCGATAATCATTTGTTTCTACGAAGTTCAATTCCTCTTAACTCTAGACGATTGTCAGAATTTTACTTCTGATGGCATTCTTGAGAATTTTCAGTCTTGAACAGTGTTGAAAGTAATAATGCCATAGCTTTTGCAGATTCTTGTGATCAGTATTCAAATATTGAATATATAACTAAAGTGTAAAATTAACTTAGCGCACGTCTCAGACAGCCTCCTCAGCGTAAAATAATAAATGGGTACATCTTTTTCTCAAATCGTTACCACCTGATAATTTAACTACCTCCCATTTGATATTCTTATTTAATGTAATAAGTGTTTTGGTCATAAGGTTTATTTACCACGTTAAAGGAGAATTTCAAATATATGTGGTCTCATTGGCCAAAGATGCGAGATCATCGACATGAAAACCACATGATAAGTTTCATATGTTACATATACTGATAATTTAATATTTCATCTTGCTAACGGTTTTCTTACTCAGCTCCAATCGCACAGAATTCTGATAACATGAACATTACTATTGTCGGATTGTCCTCTCGTATTTCGGTCTATCTTGGTGAAAATACTGAGTGACATCGTAGGTAATCAAACTAACAAAGTTTCACTGATTAGTGCAATAACGACCAACCTGATACATCCTTATGCCATACCGCTAACATCTTGCAGATTCTCATTTGATGAATGTTACTACCAGCAAAAGAAGTAAGCTTAATGGACTTCTGTGACATCTGGGGGGGACGTTTCTTTTTTGGGAGCGAGAATGCATACCCTAGCCGGTTCTGGACTATTGCCGGTTCTCCGGGGTGCCATATTAATGCCAATTGTAATGATGGTGTTTCGCGACCTTGTAACACACTCTATAGTAGTGGAAAAACAAACAAACTGTTACCTGGAAGCCAGATAAATATAAAATATATAATCTTTTGTCATTGATCTGTATTTTGAAAAAGATCACCTTGGTGGTCGTAGGTAGTTTCAAAATATGTTTGATGGCTTGAGAATCATACGAGTTCTGTAAATTAAGTGATGAGACTGGCAACGTAGCGTTCGATCTGGCAACACTGAAGGCGCCGAGCTTAGAGGGGTTGCAGGGGCACATGTGATCCGCCTTCAGTACAAGTTTGAACTCGTTCGAGTTTTTGGTTGTCGGTAGTGATTTTTCTAGTTTTTTCTATTATGTTCTAAAAATGAGTCAGGGCTTCAGACTTGGGCACGGAGCAACGGAAACTATTACTAAACAGGCCTACAAAGAACCGATTAAAATAACGGCAGAATCCTTGACCCTGTCTGTTAAGATCGCCGGTTGACAGTCGGAACGAAGAGTTGAATTTGACTCACATTACCGTTCATCAGATCAAGAACAACTAACTGGGTGTTGCATTACAATAATGCTCCTTGTCACACAGCAATGTCAATAAATCAGTGTTCGGCCTGCAAACAAATTCCTGTGGGTCATCAGCCTCCTTATTCGCCTGACTTGAGTCCTTGTGACTTTTTTAAATATTTCCTCAAGGAAACTCATTTTGGGACAGTCGAACATATTCAAACGATTGTTTGAGTTGCAGCACTGCTATGAAGAGTGGAAGAACCGTCTTCAGCGCTGTGTGGCTTCAGAAGGAGGATGACAATAGAAAAGTGTAGTTATATTTGAACAAAAAAAATCACTTATCACTTAATTTACAGAAATCGTAGAGTTCTATTGGTGGACTACAATAATAAAAGATTATATAAGTTTATGTATCAAGCAGTCTTGACATATGTGGCTTTAAGGTTCATGATATAGTCAAAGGCTTGTATATGGTTGTTAAATATGGAAGGATGTCTAGGAAATTAAAATGGCGATGGTCCGCTGTAACGGGGATGACAGGTCAAAAAATTGACATGAAAATGTGAATATGGTGTTACAATAGGAACGAGGAACTTATTATGTCAACTTAATTTCAAAACTGCGAATTGATCCTAAAGAGAAGCGCAATGGGAAGTAAACAAATGGCGTACTGTTTGATGAGGATAATGCAAATGTTACCAGATATCTGCCACACAGAAGTGGTTTTCACCAGTCAGACTAGAGTTTAGGGTGAGGTTACAGAAATTCTGGAAAGCATTTTTTTAATCAGCCTTTAACTCAGCCATCTTTGTAGGGATCACACTGGTTTGAGAATCTATCAGGATAACGACAAATTATTTGAAACAATGTTTTTATTAAAAGTAAAAATTAGATAACAAACATAACAAAACAATACCAAAGCGTAAATTTTAATTACAAAATCAGCTTTGCAAAAATAAGTCTTATAGTCATACCTATAATACTGCACGTTTGAGCAAAATAGATGAGAGGATCATTTATTATACTCAAATGTCCATTAAGATCTCATTTCATGGGAACTCATAACAGAGGTTTCCAAAAGAAATAATTTTACCATGGTTGAATAAAATTTAAAGCGTTTCACCACAATAGCTAGCGAACTCAACGTAGCAGATTCTTGACCATGTACCGTTATAGCAAAATTTATTGGAGACAATTTGGGATGACATGCTCAGTCAAGTAGTTGCATAGTTGTCAGCGGTTCAAGGTTGCTGGAGAAAAATAACTTCCATATAGGGAAGACTTAAAGAGCTAGAAAATATACACATGACATCCGTTATCTAAAAAACCGGTACCGTATTAAGAATACTTTACTTCTTAAACGGAAGTATGCCCCTCTTATCATTCATCCGCATTCAGACCCTCATGTTAAAGTGTGCCACTCAGCTCGCTGTTCTGTCGATCTTAGGTTCAAACATGAGACAATGTTGAAGAGTAGAAAGAGGTAGAGAAGAAAGAAGAATACAGAGTAAGAAGTAGAAAAGAAAAGATGACAATACAAACTTTGAATCTTGAAAAAAAGAAAGGATCCCAGTTTAAAAATGAACTGATCTGAATCAACCTTGTTAGCAGTATCTCATTAAAATATCAGTTGCACTTTCAAGGGTTTTGAAATTATGTTTGCGATTGCAAAATGGGTACAACTGCTATTTTTTAATGGCTTCCAATAGCACGTGCATCTTTTGAATATACCAACTTGATTTTACTGTCTGGCCAGTTAAACGCCAATATGTTTCACAATATTGTCGTTCAATTTGTTATGAGTGTCCCTAAAAGAGTAGAAGGTACTAATTTTTCGAAGCTGTCTGATCAGCGGGTAATAAGTAGAACGTATGTCCTGTATTCTGATCCACCACTAAACCTGACTTTGAGTCGTAGGCCAAATTCCCGCCAAACGCATTTTCTGGCTGCCTCTTGTACCTAAAGAAATCATCTTTGGCTTTTCTGTAATTTCCTCCATGTTTTTGCATGGTGCCACCCTCTAAAATTAGAGACCTTGCTCTATCGTTGATGAACTCTACGTCTCTGTGGATCTGTCTCTTTCCTCTGTGCCTGTGATAGTGACCGCCTTCGATTCCTGCTGGGACGTCTTGGGACTCGTCTTCTGCATACTGCGAAGCTAAGATGGCATACTCAGGTTTGTAGTGCTCTGAACCTGGATCTTCGGCTCCACCGTGGTTGTAGTCAAAGTAGTGTTCCCCGTAGCCCCCGTTTTTGTCTCCCCATCGGACCTGGATAAATGTTGAAGAAGTCATTAGATTTTGATTACATGTATGTGACCCTGTTGAGGCAAATCTCACACGATCAACACCCATGTTTTACGTAAAATTATGATACCGATCTGACTGCCATGCTTGTCACTTGTGTACGACCTAGACGCTAGCCCACGCCACGGCCAACTCGCTATTATGGCGCCACCTCTAGAAGAATATAACTTACGACTTAGGCAATAGAAATTATGAATGGTCTCTTCTATTGCCACCTCTGAAGCAGATGCTACATCAAGTCAATATGAAGTGAATGGTACCTGATGTGACCATTATGGCGATCAGATCGCTATCTCCGTCATTTTGCAGCTACGTAATAACTGTACAGTATTTACTGCGATCCATCAGCATTTATCATGGAATTTCATATTTATTCACCGCTTAGCCTAAACGTCAGTAATTATTGATGTATGAGGTTAAGTAAAAAATCGACTAACACCGACGGAATCAACATTAAGTACTGATGTAACAGACCACAGTCAATACTGACTGAGTGACATATCTACTGGATGCTTGGGCTACTTTTTTCAAAACGACTATTATCAAGAAAAGGCTGTTGATCCATTACATTCCATTTTTATTTTCTCAAATGTTGTAATCATTGTGGGTAACGTCGTCCATTTTGGAATTCCAATTTTCGATGACTCGTCCGTGCATCTATTTCAAGCGGTATTGGCGAATTACTCGAGTACCTAATGCTGAATTGTAATTTCTCAATCGTATTGTCATATAGGGAATTTTCTAAAGTGTGACATATACAACGCTCTAACCAACCAAGTTATTGCCCGAGAACGTAAAATTAACTGTTTGCCGAATTATTGTTGCAATAGAGCTATGATTTCACGAGCAGCTCTGCAAGTAGAGTGCTGTGCCGCACACTGGGGTTTAGGCGGAAAAAAAATTATAACATGCTATCTACAGTGTCTAAGGGTATATCTAAATGCCATAATAGAGCAGGAAATGAGATAAAAATTGTTAAAATGCATAATAGTAATTTTGGGCAGTGCACATATTCTTGACCACTAACCTGAGAAATCTCTGTCACTTACGGCATTTTTCGCTCTAGGTATATTATGATAATGAAAAAACCTCTAGACAAATAATCAATGTATGCATTCATGTAGAGCTTTTTTGGCTTGTCGGCACATAATTGTCACTATTAAACACCCTGCTATTAAATCCATTTTGAGTATCCGCGCGCAGCGCGCATCGGCTCTCTCGCTCCGCGCGCGCATCGGCTCTCTCGCTCCGCGCGCGCATCGGCTCTCTCGCTCCGCCCACTCAGTGTTCAATTTGCATCAGGTTTAAACGTGTTTCGCGTGCAATTGTTTTACGTGCGCAGTGCGTTTTACTTATAATCTCTAATTATGTCGTCTAAAAGAACAAAAAATGAGTCATTTGAGCCTAACAAGAAAAGAAAAACACTGTCTTTGGAGTGTAAACTGAATATAATTAAAGACTTTGAAGCAAAATGAAAATTTGTGAATTGGCGAAGAAATTTGACCTTCCGGAATCAACAGTCCGAACGGTTGTAAAAGGTAAAGAAAAAATTATGAACGCTGTGAAAGACTCTCAATCTTTGAATTCAAGTATCATCCGTAAGCGTCACGGTATTATCGCACAGATGGAAACATTGCTACAGTCATGGTGTGATAATCAAGTAAGAGTGAAAAATTGTCCTGTTGATCAAAATACAGTGTGCTTTCAAGCAAAGCAGATTTTTGAAAAACTAAAAGAAGAAGCTGGGGAGGCGGCTGAAAATGAAGTGTTTAAAGCTAGTAACGGCTGGTTCAGCCGATTTAAGAGTCGTTGTAATTGGCATAGCATCGCAGAGAGTGGAGAAGCGGCAAGCGCTGATAAAGAAGCTGCATCTCTCTATCCAGAAAAACTCAAAACAATGATAGATGAAGGTGGCTACACTAGCCAAACTATTTTCAACGTAGATGAAACAGGTCTTTTTGGAAGAAAATGCCTAAAAGAACTTTTATTGCGCGTGAAGAGAAAACTTTTCCAGGTTTTAAAGCCGCCAAGGATCGATTAACAGTGATGGTTGGTGCGAATGCAGCTGGAGATTGTAAATTAAAACCTCTCTTAGTTTATCGCTCAGAAAATCCAAGGGCCTTAAAAAATAAATCCAAAGCTGGTTTGCCTGTCATTTGGAAGTCTAATGCGAAAGCTTGGGTGACAGCTTCTCTTTTTGAAGACTGGTTTGGCCATCATTTTATTCCTGAAGTCGAACGTTACTGCCGATTAAAAGAAATCCCATTTAAAGTGATGCTACTAATTGACAATGCACCAGGTCATCCTCCCGCAACTCTAATTAATTTCGATCCACGTGTGGAAGTTGTATTTTTGCCACCAAACACTACCAGCTTGCTTCAACCAATGGACCAGGGAGTCATTAAAACATTTAAAGCTTACTACACAAGGCGGTCATTTGCACATCTACATGAAGCTATGAGACAAAACAATGAGCTTTCTGTTAAAGACTTTTGGAAGCAATTCAATGTTTTAGATGCTGTAAGAATTATTGGACAATCTTGGAATGAGGTTTCACAAAAAACTCTCAATGGTGTCTGGAAAAAACTGTGTCCATTTTTTTTCACCTCTGAAACTCAAGGAGAAACCATTTCAGATCCTGAACAAATCGATAGCATAATAGAAGAAGTGGTCGATATCGCCAAGCAATTAAATTTAGAGGTCGATAATGATGACGTTCAAGAATTGCTAGATTCACACAATCAAGAGCTAACAATTGACGAGGTTATAGAAATGCGTAAGTATGAGCAAGACATTGAACAAACTGATTCGCTAGACCCAGTTGAATCGGTAAATCAAATGACAATTGCAAACTTAACAGAAGGACTCAATTCAATTGAAAAGGGGTTACAAATTTTAGAAAAAATTGATTCTAATGAAGAACGCGTGTCTACTACAAAACGAGGGATAAAAAAATTACTGGTATGCTACGAGGAAATTTTACGTGAAAAGAAGAAAAATTTAACTCGTCAGGCAACATTGTTAGAATATATAAAGCCTTCGACATCAAAATAACTTCGGTTTAGCTTACTTTATTCATAACAATGTAATTTTTTTTATTATCCTACACTTTATTAAACATTTTTCTTCTAAATTATTGTTTTCTTTAAACTCTGGTCCCGATTAAACAAACTTTATATGTATTTATATGCAATATGGTTATTTGGAAGTCCAATGATACTTGATAAAGTGGAGTATGTGAAAACTAGTGGTAAGCAAATGATGAGTCGACAAGTCAACATTCGTAGCATCTTCAATCTTTGTCGGACTCTATCATCTAGCAACAGCGTCTCTCTCCTATGGAGCGTCCTGTAATGCGTACATTTGTTGTGCTTTATTCTGAAAGTGTAGTCGGACGTTCAGAGAAGTCTCAGATATGCTGTATTTCTGAGTCTAATCAAATTAACTGTAGTAATATATCACAGTCGGTAGTGAAGATCATTATATATTCCGCGCCTGCGCTATGCGCTTCAGGAGATAAAGGTGCTTGGCCAATACTCTCCACCATACTACTCCATCAAAGTATGTAATTTACTGCCAACATTGCTTTTAATCTTGTTCTTTCCATAAAGAAATATATACAACTACATCAATAGTTAAAATGTGAATATTTTTGGAAATGTATACTTTTATCCACATCTCTATACAAAAGTCCCCAGTGTGCGCCGTCTTGTTGAAATGAAGTGTGCTAAAGGCAGATAATGGGCTCGAATTTAAAGCAGCAAAATGCTCGGACGCGTCATCTAAGATTGTAATTCCAATTAAGGCCACGTTCGCCTCAGTAACAGCCATTTCAAAGAAATAATGTTTAGAAGGTGATTGTCAATAATGCTTCTTTGCTTTGGTAATAAAAGCAATCCTATAAGGTTGATAGTTTTATTGCTTTCCTTCCTTGTGAATGAATCGCGATTATTAGTTTAAATTTAAAAGCTAGGGTGAGATCAGAGTTACACAAAACGTACAGATTCAGCACCCTATAAGTCAGATTTTAGAACTTACTTATTTCCACAACAGTTCAAACTAGAGGCCAATAAACACCACTACGAATTGCATAACCAACACCAACTAGCAACATGAGAGTTTATCGGAAATGAGCGTGCCTAAGTGCAAAGGCAAAGATTGGATGGACAATCAGAATTTCATCTGGAGAACAAAATGAATAGCAACATCAATTGTGTTATAAGAAGTATTGTGAATATGAATTTGTTCCATTGAAAACCCGCTTTGATAAATACTTCTGGAATTCCAGCCCTATGTTGTAGGTAAAGAGAAAGCATTTGCAATTTTCGTAAAGTTAATCCCTATTGCATGATCCCCTATCCTTCCCATCACCTATACAGCTATTCTATATATTGATGGATATATAGATTTCTAATTATGAATTAAAATGAAAAAAGTTACAGTAGTTATATCATTATTCCATATTTCCATTAATATACGTATATCGAACATACTGCAGCAACTTGAAGCTAGAACATTTTAGCCAAACCTTCATTAACTTTCATTATGCATTATTAAAATGAATGCGACTCATAGCAGTATTAAAATACAAATGTAAAATATTATGCTACTTCAATGGAGAATAGAAAATACAAATTTGTGAGATCGATGGATCGTAGTAGTGAACAAATAGAATAGTTGGACGCTGCCTTCCTCCAACGATGAGAAATACTGATAATTTTCTGAGCGACTTTGCCAATTTTTGGCGAATTTTATTACTCCGCACAACGCGACATTTTACCGATCTAGCAGATTTTAATTACAATACCGAAAAAACAAAGGTATTGCTGAAAAAAATTTGGCTTAGTGAGGAATAACGTCCCTTTAGGATAGATCATTGTCTCATTCCAATATCAAATCACCTATGACTTAGTAAGTGCCAATCTAAGTTCGTTTAACCGGATCACCGTGCTCTACAACTGAAT